TCTCCAATCTACCTTCGGATTATATTGTTCCATCCATGGCATTCCAAGGATGACATCATACCGAGCTAAACGAATTAATCTCCATTCAATGCTCTCCTTGTATCTACCTATGGATAATTCTACACTCCGTGGTAGTGTTTCTATCACTTCAGTTTGCCCGTTTGGCAATTCAACTTCTTCACTCACGTCCTTCATCAACATCAAACCTAACTTCATAGCAACACTCCTTGATAGAAAATTCTCAGTTGCTCCAGGATCAATTAAAACTCTCACCTTGTGTCCTTCCATGAAACCATCAGTGACAATGAGTTGAGCTTGCTTCTTACTCCTTCCATGAGCTCCCAACCATTGCTTTCTTCCAACCTCGCCTTTTCTTCGCTTTGTAGAACCAGTAAGGCCGCGAGGCAAGATTACTGGTGATCTTCGTTTCCCGAAACTGCTTCCTCCACCTCTTCATACTCTATCCCCTCCATATTGTTGAACGGTCGTCGCTGCATGGGCCGTCCTCCTTGTTGTGTCGGCCGAACTCGACAAAACTTGGCTATGTGGCCCATTCGTCCACATGCATAGCATTGGCGATTGTCACGAACTCCAGCTCCTCCTCGAACCATTGCATTATTTGCATAACCTTCTTGCAAATTTGGAACTCATGGTCGCCTAATCTCACCTCCAAATCTTGGTGGTGGTCCTCTTGTTGGTGCAAAATCTTCTCTACGTCGAAGGTTTCCCAACTCCATCGGTGTTGGACCAGATGGATCTCTAAAATTGCTCACTGGTTCACCGTGTGTGACACCAAAAGCACCTGAAATTCGTTGAGCAATTGCGATTGCTTCATTCACAGTAGATGGATTGCTTACCATCACCTCCTTTCGAATTCGATCTTTCAAGCCTCGTTTGAACACGTCCAAGGCTTCAGCTCCACTCATATCCATGATAGATACTTGAAGATCACAAAATTCTTCAATGTACTCATGAATACCTCCTTTCTGCTTCAGATCCCACAACTTCATTCTTGCAGTTTGAAGAGAATCCACCGCTTGAAAATTTTGCAGAAGTCCTTCCTGCATTCCACTCCACGAAATGGTAGCACCTCGTTCTGAAAGCATTCTCTCCCATGTTGTGTACCATGTGAGAGCCTTATCCGTAAGATAAGATCTCATGAACATTCCTGCAATATAATCAGAAACATGAAAATGGGATAAATGAATATTCATCCTCATAATCCATCCCTCTAACACTCCCATTGCTCTACTCCCTTTGTAAGCTTCCACCTTACAGGATTTTCCCATTCGAAGCAAAAGATTTGCTTGATCTTCAATCTCTTGAAGACGTCTCCTATTTGCCTCTGCTGCATCAATAGGAGTTGGTTCTGGCTGAACTTGGGGAGCTTGAACTTGAGGTTCAACTTCCATCTCTCCAACTCTCTCTCTCTCTACTTTCTCACTCTCTAATGCAAAGATTTTATCTTCCATGGCTTGCTGCTTGGTATGCCCATCTACTATCGATTTTCTCAACTCCTTCATCTCTGCCATGATTGCATTGAGAACCTCACCCATATCAATTGATGTTCCCATGCTTTTTCACACTCCCTCTGATACAAAGTGAGTATAATCACTATGTGACCTCTCAACAAAGGAGTCACAAAAGGTGCAGGTGACTCTATCTATAGTACTCCTCTCCATAATTCCTCACAAGAAAATCTCTCCATATTCTCTTCTGTCTATGTACTGTTCTAATCTCTACATAAGTGCTGAATCGAACCGGGACAGGTGGTTCGCGATTCAAATCCATGAAACAATCAGTATAGAATGTATATAGTACAATCCCAAGTCTCTCCATAAGTAACTATTGGAAGAATCAGTGGCACTCTTGACTCCATCACTCTAGTCATAAAATCTGCACCCCAACAAGCCACAAGGTACATCCGAAAATGATGTTTCTCCATGCAACGAAGGTGAATATCGAATAGGTTAGAAATTGGCCAGTGCGGTACTGGATTCCTGTCAATCCCGTCCATATCTGCAAAAACACAATGTCCCCCTTCCACCTCTCTCTACATGCAGATGAATGACCTCTGCCAGCCTTTATACACTCTCAAGACTACACTCCATCATCACTCACTTGCTATTCCATGAGGGGTAATCCACACTCAAGGAAAGAGCAAGGTCGCTCTGATACCATTGTAACACTAGGGTTTAGAGAGAAGTTCACTCGAAGATAGAAACGTAAACTCTGAAGATGAGAGATACCAACAATGGTTCTCCTCTCCCTTATATAGCTCTCACCAACAAGTACAAGGTGATAAGATCTAATCCCCACCATCCATACCACTCCTAGTGGATGGATGACGTGGCGGATAACCCTAACAAGCACACGGATCGCTGACGTGGCGCACCCAACTAACACACTAACTAACACACTCAATCCTTAGCTACAAGCACACGGATTGCTGACGTGGCACTGTCAACTAACACATCCACTCTGTACCTACCAAGTGCGCGGATCGCTGACGTGGCAGCTATGACTAGTGCACACTAAAGTATCTACATCAATATTCAGAGTAACCTCTACTTTAGTTCTAACTAACTAAAGATGGTTACACTACTTCTACATATTTCAAAGATCTACCAAAAGATTTGCAAAGACATTTATATGATCTTGAATGCTCGTATCGGGCTTCATCTTGAATCGTAACAATCGCATATAAGTGTTCATGACATTCGACGGGTTTTTCTGATGGAAGCGTTGCTAAAATGCATCAAACAATTATGACACTTCAAAGTATTCCTTAACTTGCTTGGCTATGGAAGGTTTCAGATAAGCCAACAATGTGGTATGGGAAACAATCCACTCAATCTCACATATGTTAGGAGGTTTTTCTCCTAAATATATAATGAAACCCATGGATCGTAACTTCATTTTTACTTGCCTTTTCCAAATCATCACCTTGGCCATCAAAAAGTGTTATGTTATACCCAAAACCTCCATCCACCTGTCGTCTTGCCAACTCTGCACGTTGAAAAGGAGAGATAATAGCAGCTTCGAAGTCAATTTCCTCCTTTTGAGTCATTTTTCAACTTTTGAAAAACGTTTGAGTCAAGAGCGTTTTAACAATACCCAATTTGCATATACTCCGATGAAAAATATTTCTAAGAAATAACTATGATGGAATATTCTATCATCGTAGTTCTCAATCATATAATTGGTTTCGACCATCACTGTCACCGTCACCTGCGACTGTCACTGTTACTTGTGATCATTCACCTGCTGTGGATTGTTATTGTTGGCCGTCATGCATCACACGTCAAAATCAAGAGTCTTGTGTTTTCACAATTGACCTCAACCTTTCCGTTCTTGAATCGACAATCCACTATCATCACAAACTTTCTATCTCTCTAACTTGCTCTCAACTCATTCAAATATCTCTGGAAAAAAAATTCAAAAACTTGACCTCGTCACAAACAAAGAACTGATCTAAAACTTGTCATTGTCAAAAATTTTATATCGGAAAAACCATCAATATCAGGAAACTCGTCACCGTCGTGAACGCGCTAACATCAGAAATCCGTTAGACACAAAAAATCCATTATCCGCGTTCGACTTTGACTCCAACGACACAATCATGTTTTGATCAATCCAAATTGAAACCAACTCTGATACCAATTGTAAACGTAAAACCTAGAAACACAACGACACACTCAAGCCTGTTAGCTTGAGTGTGTCATATTAAACCAAATCATCAACACAAGACACCGATGTATAACGTGGTTCACCCTCAAGGGCTACGTCCACGGAGGAATACACGCAAGAGACTTTACTGCTCAGGTGAAAGCACAACAAAGAATGCATACAACACTGAAGCATCAGGGTATTTATATACCCAACACAGACGACTAATCTCAACTACAAATAGCTATACATGAGGTTACTACTTAATCGGAATTAACCTCAACAATTACGAAAAGATTTTCAGATTAATCAATATGCTGTTATTATATATGCAATCAACATTCTTGATGAATATAATTTATGGAAAATGATAAATTGTTATATGGTCTAAGTTTTATTAACTTCAAGTCTAAAGATGATGATAAAGCTCTAAAGAATATTACCCACTAGCTTATGAAATGTAAAGTTTGCGTGGTAAGAAAAGAAAAAGAGTTGATTTTCAATTCGACTTGTTGACCAATAATATCATTTTATCGAAGTAGAGGTGAAGAAATAAGATATATATATATATATATATATAGACGATGACATGATTCTCCAAGGTTGTTTCCTAGTCAACCCGCTGCATATTAGACACTTTTGATCATAGTGCCTACAACTGTTTGAAAATTATCTTTGATTGACCGCATTTTAAACACCGTTCTCTAAGTTAGAATCACCGCGGGTCTATATTAAAGTATGTATGACGATGTGTGAATTTGTTTCGTTGGAGTACCATCAGGTAAATCGATTATGTTACTAGTAATCTATTTATGTTGGGGAGTGGTTTCATCAAGTAATTTTCTCTAATCTAGGGTTTTTTTTCCGGCTATAGACTTGGGTCCATTCCCATCCGAGGGAATGTTTTCTTATATATAGTGCTAATCAATTCCAATCCGAGTCAGAAAAAAAGTATTCCATCTAATGTAAAAGAGAGTTGGAACAGAGCACAATATCAGTGGAGAACTTAGATGAGAGCTCTAATTAATCAAGGAACTAAGCTACTTGTGGCATCTTTGTTATTCTTTCTCTCTATGTTTGCCGTAATTTATTTCGCACCTATACACCACAGGATATATCCGTGACGACCAGTTTCGATGAGCTGAAAACCATCGCATGTTGACATGTGAACCTTGCGAAAACCGGCCGGAATTTCGATTCGCGGTTTTTGTTCACATTTCGCCCTTCAGAATGACATCGTACGCCTTGACAGTCGCAGTTGGGTTCCACGCGGTAGAGGAAGACGTTAGGTTTCAGTGCCAGCGGTTAACTGTGGTAGAGCTCGAGGGTCCTAAAACCCAAGAAGGACGGTGGCGAGCGATGGCGGAGTCCGTGCCCGTATCGCTCGCTTTCGAAAGTTACCGCGCTCGTGCTCGTGCTTTTGGTCGATCTTTGGGCTGCCTCGAGCAATGCTCGCCTTGCAGCGGAGCATGACTCCGCACCTTACTCGAATCCTGCCGTGATTCGATGGAGCGCTTGTGTAATTCCGTTTGGGGAGCAGTCAGGAGTTTTTGAGGTGCACGAGTAGTTTGCATGCCCCAGGTGCTTGATTCTCGTGTAGATCTGGAGTAGGCTCGAATTCTTGAGGTGCAGAATTCGAATTGGTGGCTTGATTGCTTGCACGATGGAGCTGGATGGGAGTAATGTCGGTCCGGTGAGTGAAAGTCAGCCGAAAGATGTCAAAGCTCGGGTGAAGCAGGAGCCTATTGATCCTGTAGTTCTGCCGAAAGGGCAGCGTACGGGAACGACGGGTACAGCCATTCGAGGCGAACCAATAGCCCCGAATCTGGGTGTTGATTACGCGTTTCCTCCGCATTTAGAGTATGCACTTGCCTCGCTCTCATCTTCGATTCTCTGTATCTGATGTATGGTTCTTCAGGGTTGCTACAATCATGTGTTGCAATTCTTTGGCTGATATGAATGGGCTGTACGTGTAATTTTTTTACTATGTGCGAGTGTGAGGATCAAGTCATCAGCTTAGTCCGATGATTGTCCGCCCACACCTATGTATGTAATAACTCCTGGAGAGCATGGCTTCCAGATACGCGTACCCTCCTCCTGATGGGAATATATTAACAAACATTGTCAATGCCCTCATTGCTGTCCCTCGATTCTACACTCAGGTATGTGTCATTTTTGTCCTCGTAACCTCAGTAGATTCACTGTGGCTTTCATTTGCACCAGAGGTATTATCGTACTTCTGAACATTGTGCTCTCAAGTCAAAGTTGAGCTTTAGTCTCGACCTGACGGTGTTACAGGATGAGGGGACGTCCCCTTAAGCCTGCACTTGCAGGGCAGAAGATTTAGAAATAAGATAATCCTCTGTTTTTGTGTTGTCTCGAACGATGCGTATCGTGCCTCAAAAATATGTATGGTCGTCCACTTCGAAATCTGTAGGAAGCAGCCGTTGGATGTAGCGTTGTTCGCTATAAAACACAGCTAGGAGCATGTTTCTTTCTAGCTATGTTCACATGTAGCGAAATGGTCATAGTGGCTTCATGTAGAACTTTATAGTGTTTCACGTTGTGTCTTGTCTCTGAATCTGATCAGTGTACCTCAATGGGTTTAGCTCTGTTTGACCAGGTACTGCATCTTATGAACAAGATGAATTTGCCAGCCCCTTTTCGGCCTGCTCTACCAACACCTCCTCTCCCTCCTCCTGCTCCTGCGCAAATTATCCCAAAGCGTCAAGCCGGTGATCTTTCAAGTGGAGAGTCTGAGCTGGAATCATCTGAGGAGGTCTGCAACACTGCTTTGAATCTAGACTTCCATCCCTTGAATGCCTGTGTAAAAGTTTTGAATGAGCGTAATTCTGTAATTTCCAAGCAAGGGTTTCGGCTTTGTACTCTTTTAGCTGTCTTGTTCAGCAAAGTTCAGTTTTAAATTCAACGTTAATACGGTTCTATAGAGAGAATAGCTACAGCCGTTTTTGGGCGTGATATGTCTTGGTGATGATTGAAATATTTTCATATGTATCGCAATTGAAGTCCAGGAGGAGGATAGCGAGTTGGATGGTACTTTTCCGGATACCTCAACATCCGAGAAGGATGCTGAGAAGAAAGGATCATCCAGAAAGCGAATGAAGAGAGAAGCAATTTTGGGTCCAGCTTTAGACAAGGGAGCATCCCATGAGGCCGCCGGCTTGAAGACAATCACAGTCTCCAAAGGTCTCACAATAAAGAAAAGAGCACCTGTTTTGCAGGTTAGTACCGCTTTACAAATTTCATCAAACTGCTTCGCGAGTTTGTGACGTTCGTTTTCTGGCGTGGTTTTTCACAAGTATATTCTCTGATACTCCGGTCATTGTCCGCAGATTAAAATCACTCCAAAGGGAACAAGTAAAGAGCCTGCAGAAGAGGCTAAAGAGCCGGAGGTAGGTCAGCCGGAGGTTGCAGATGAACCCGCTGAACAGCGAACAACAGCAACTCAAGAAGAACTTGAGGCTGGAAAGCTGCATGCGTCGGACATGCTGTCCCTGCCCATTTTTAAAGTGAGTGCCTAATTCTCTCTTGCGCATAAGCCAGATGTAGCTTGGAGTCTGGTCTAGTAGCTGGCCATGAAAATATCTTATCTGATGAAGGCGAGGGGATGTTCGTATTGGTGCAGAACTACGCTTCCGGCAACCCTACGCAGGTGTTGTATATAAAAAATCTATCCAAAGATGTGACGGCGGAGGATTTGTACTATGTCTATGGTATGTGTTCCTCTATTTTACTTAATTCATATCATTATGCTTTTGTTGACATTGGATAAGTGATTTGCTTGCATGTGTCAATCGAATCCATCTAAGTAGTTATCAGAAGAGTTCATTTTAGTCTGAAAATATCTGACCTTACATTTGTTCCTCAGGTGCATTTTTCTCCAGTAGGAGTGAGGCTATGCAACTCCTGAGCATTAAGCTTATGCAGGTGATTCCTCAGTTTATTTGAAGGCTGTCAGCAAGGTCACTCTAACCTAAGTTGGGGTCATTATTGTGGCAAGCCTACTTCTGAAATTTGGATCTTGACTTCAATTTCAGGAAGGACGAATGAGAGGTCAAGCCTTCGTCTATTGGCCTTCAGTAGATCTCGCGAAGATCGCCCTTGTAAGTCGGTGAAGCAAATGTCACTGTACCCTTTTACATAGTACAGGGCTTTGCTAACCTCCCGAATACGTGTTATTTAGTGCTGGACAAGATTCGCAGATCACCTACTACATACATGTTTGACATTGATATCATGTTATTTGTTTGGTCTCTCTTATGCTGCAGGCTGGGAGTCACGGGTACATGCTCAAGGGCAAACCTATGGTGGTTCAGTTTGGACGCAATCAAGCTGCCTTTAAAGCGGATGTAGCTGGAACGAGCACAAGAGCCGATAAATAAGCGTCCACATTTCATCTCAGCAGACAGTAGCGTGTGCAGGTCCTTCTGGCCTTTGACAGCTTAATATACAGTTCAATACAAGCCCGTAAGTCTGGTAGACTGACATACTGGCAGTTCGTGAACACGTTCTGAGGACTGCGCTGCGCAGTTGGCAAAGCTTTGTAGAGGATGTCACTTGTTCATCCTCATGTTCCATGTTCTCAAAGTGAACATAACTTAGTAGCGAGACGCTGAGCATGTCTTATACCTTCTGCTTCATGGAAGCCATCTGTATGTAATTATGAAGAAGATTCTGACTGGTGTTCAAGAGCAGGAATTGCGTGCTTTAGTAAGGTGTATGTCACGACCACGGCTATTTTTTCTTTGATGGACGGATAGGAATGTCTTACTGTGATATTCTCATGGAGTCAAATGCAAAGTTTTAGTGTACGCAAATCAAGAGTTGTTTAAGCGCCTTAGCTCGCGAGGGATTATGTAAAGAAAATTTTGAGTACAGGAAAGGCGCAAGAGCCGAGAGGACTTCTAAATGTGAATCATACACTTACGGAAATTGAAAATCGAGAATGAAAGGATCACAAAGATAGACAGATCCGTTACGAATTTTGAGATTCGAGCGCACTTAAACTTTTAGAGCAACTACACTCACCACTGTCATCAGTATAGCCGACTTATTGGAGTACACTCATGAGAACATATGAGAGCTCTAAGTTTAGTTCTACTTGTTAGACCGTTTTACTACCAGAAGGTTGTATTTCACAACAGAGTATAGATATACTTATGAGAGTACTGCATGTCATAGATACATATATGAATCAACTACAATCACTTCTGTAAACGTCAGAATCTACACAAAAATCTACGAGGTCTACATGGATGTAGAATAACGCGTAGCAAGTAAACGTCATTTTCGGGTATCTTCCATTCTATACGTAAATCAAAGAGTAATAAATGTTTATGTTTGGAAGGAATGGTATCAAACTTTTTTATATCAAGATGATATCTTCATGCCTGAAATAAAGTTTATTAAAACGAGACGATGAATCACTACCAATAAGATTTATGACTTTCCTTACGTAAAGTTACAAGAAAGTCTTATCATTTTGTTCAACTGAAAGTAGCCAAACACGAATATAATCGGAAAACAAATGATAAGCTAATTCACGTAATCCAAACCATGAACGGGAAGGAAAAGAATTTTAAAGTGAATTTTTTGCAGCATGGTTTATAATTTGAAAAGAATTTGTTTGTGTGATATCAAATGTCTTAAATAATCATCAGAATCTTATTGGTAATGGTAACAGATCAAGCTCGGGACCCCAAGGGTCAAAAGGCTAATAAGAACATAAAATAATCATCCAGTTGTGTTACCAAGGGGAGAACCCCTCTAAAGCGGCAAGAGCAGTAGACCACGATTGATAACATATCTAAAGTAGCAACCTAAAACGTAAGGCTCAAGCTGCAGTAAAGAATAAAATTCTTTACAACAATCTTATGAGCCGTTCTAATATCCATGTATCTATAACAAGTAAGAAACACATGCTCTTCGTCCTCTATATTCTTGCTCTCACATACAGTGTAGAAACATGTGAATGTGCTGCCTTCGTCCTTCATCAATATGTAAATTGTGAGATTCCATTCTATGTCGTGCAATAATATGATGTAAAAGAGTAGAAATCCTAGCAATAAGATATTCTTATTGGAAGTAAACAAGCATAGGGTTTACATGAAGTATGTAGATCTCCATTTTGATGTCGGATTTGCTCTAAAGAATGTTGAGAGCTTTTTCCTATAGATGTTGGTGAAGTGCCAATGGTTGCATGTCCCAGTGTTGTTCCTCCACAGTCCATCTTGAGTACCGAGCCAGCACATCTGAGAACCACTCTTCGGAACGTGTGTTTTGTAAAGCTTGATGAGGAAGTCGAGAAGGACTAAGAGATTTTACCCGTGCAATGTAATTGATGGTCAAATAGAGAGCTTCAACCTCAATAGAAAGGAAAACCTGTTTCAGCCAATACGATGGCATAGGGGGTTTGGTTTTTCACCCCGAGTTCTTCTTGGCGGAATATCTTCTGAATCTTCTCAAGACGTTTCCATCCTGTCTTCTTCCAACTAGGACCTCATACTTGGATCCTCTGTAAAATCACTAACAACACTACAATCTTAAAATATTTTTTTTTAAGTTCTCAGGACACAAGATGAACTTTTCTACATCTATTTAATATTGAATAAAGAGTTTTGTAACCAGTTTTTACTCTCTTTTGCACACAATATGCCCAATTGTAATCATGAGAAAAATCAATGCCTAAGTATTTGTAAACCTTCACTTGTTTTAACTCTAATTCTTTGTGAAATAAAGAAAGATTGGATCTAGTGCCCACTAAAATGATTTTTGATTTCTCCAAGTTGAACTCCATTTCATTCTTGGTACAAAAGTTTGCTAATGTGTCAAGGTGTTTTTGTTAACTAATAGCATCACTTGCTAATAAGACGATATCATCTGCATACAATAGAGATTTGATAATAAAATTTCCACTCTCACTTTTGTCTAACCACCTTTCTATATTATCTATGAAAATCCCAATTAAAATTGGAGAGAGAGAATAACCTTGAATGACTCCAATGGTGTTCAGGATTTTTGTTGGTTGAGAAGCATTGATTTCTTTTCTTTTCCATAAAACCTTGTAAGACACCGTGTTAAAATCTTTTTAAAAATCTATGAAGGCACAAAATAGAGCTAACAGTTGTCCTTAGATTTTTTCCATAATACACGTAGAACCAGAATATGCTCGACAACGTTGTATGTTGTGGGAGAATAGGCTTGAACTCTTGATCTCTTCTGAAAACACTCTGTTCATGTATTCAACTTTGATTCCAACAACTTCCCAAACAACTTTGCAAAAACACTTCTTGCCATGATAGTTTGATAGTTTGTCGCCACGTCTTTCACACTTGATTTGTGGATGGAAACAATATTCCATAATGACAAAGTTTGAGGAAAATCGTAGACAAATGCATCTTCTAAAGCTTTGATGAAGAATGGTACAATACAGTCTCTTTCCCACTTGAGAATTTCAACGGACAAACCATCCAAATCTTCACTTTTGCCATTTGCTAAACTTCTAAGTGGAGTCTTCATCTCCTCTTCAGAGAATAAACCAGGCACTACTTCACATTTCGGCATAGAGCTAGCTTTTGAAAAGAAGTAAAGCTTTTCGGCAAAAGCTAACAGGTATTGGGGATCCAAAGAGGATTTTGCAGACGTTATAACTAATCTTTTTGAAAAATATTTAGGATCTTGCATCAGCTCTTTAGTCAGAGATTCCTGCTTTCTTTTCAAGAAGCTTATTTCTTAGACTTCACCCAGCTGTTTGTATATCCTTGTCAAAAGAAGTCAGCTTTGGAGATTGAAAGACCTATCAACTGCTCTTGGCCTTGCTAGCTTGCAATCAGAGTCAAACTATCCGTTACGAGGCAATCCTTTAGTCTTTCTGTTGCTATGTTGTAAAAATAACAACTTACACAGGGAGTTTTTGAGTAGTTCTATGAATTACAAACTAGATGTATGTGGGTTATGACTCCAATCAATGTGTTTCAAGAGATCTTGTAAATGTGTACAATAAAGTTTTTTTTTACAAGGTAGTAAACGGAAACTAGGAAAAGATTGAACAGGTTTGTTGATTGAGGAAGTAATAGTTTTTGAAATTGATATAGTAAACAAGAGAGGCGCATGATCGAATTCGGATTGAAGGTTAAGAACTTTGAAAGTGGAGATAAGAGAACTACTAACTAAGGAAGATAGAAGAAAATCTATCATACTAGCACAAGAAGAGAAGAAACATGTGTTGAAATAAGAGTTGGGAAAGTCATTAAGGACTATCAAATTACAAATGGCTCCAAAAATTAGAAAATGTTCTGTAAAAGAGTTTGTAGAAGGATCGAAAGAGAGTCTAGATCATTGACTATTGTCAATTTCTTCCAAAGCATAAGAGGTCAAAGAGCTATTGGGTACAACTTATGCGAGCATTGAAGTCTCCAGCTAGAAAGACATCTCATTGACTATAATATTTGAATACATCTCTAATGAGCCTATGAAATGGTTGGCTCTGGTGACAAAAACGTGTAGAGTTGATAGACATGTATAATGGTGCAAAGTAACATACTCCCAGATAGCAATGAGATACTCCAAGCACAATACGTAATCAATGATATTGATCTCCGATATCTTGAGCTTCTAAATGAAAGAGAGATAACAGTTTATGAAAAGTGTCAATACCTCCATGTCTCGTTCCTGCGAATTGTTTTCTCTAGTTCCATGTTGATCCCACCAAAGTGAATTCTTGTATCTCGGCGATAGTGTTACTTTTGTATTCCCAAGTGTCCATAATGTTGATGGCGTCTCCCTTCTCCAAGTTTGAATCGGCACTCCCTTACTTTGATGATGACAATCCTTGAATATTCCACACCAACACCCTCAACTTCCTGGATTGCTATGTAGATGACTATCTTATAATCTGTGTCACAATCACTCTACCATTGTGTAAATAAGCGACAAAACTTGACATTTGAGACTCCTTGACATTTTCAAGTTCTTTACTTCTAGCTTTTACTTGCAATGGGATAAGGTCGGGATCCAATCATATTCTCTTCCCTTGATAATAGATTTGTAACCCATGGCAATATCACGTAAAGACTGATTGACAAACTTAAGAAGAATGGTTTGAGCTTGTGTGCCAATTTTTCTGATCCGAAAAGCCTGAACTAAATCTGGATTGTGAACATGTAGTGTGTCAACTAATAATTTAGTGACGACACTCTTCAACTCTTTATTTTCTGTTTCTGGTAAATCATAAAATCTAACATTCTTTATACGAGAATATTGATTTGCATATTGATCTCTTGTTTTTAAGAGAAAGAAATATGCGCAACCTTAGTAGCCTTGACATAAAACTTGAGTTTCAATTCTAAGGTTTCTATCACTTCGTGGAATTCTGGACTACTAGGAACAATTGCTAATGATGTGATGTTAGTATGGATTTCCGTGAGGGTTTCAAAAATATAAAGCATCACACTTGAGTTCTCAAAATCCTCATGGCTGTCTGTGAACTTTTCAACTACCGTATTTGAGTATGAGCTAGAGTGAGCTGAACAATTTCTACCTTAAATTCTTGACGAAGTTTATCAAGGTTGTTCAAGATTATTTGAATCAACTTGAGTATTTAATTTTAAGAGGCCATCATCACTTCTTCACACTTCTTCTCATCCAATCTGAGTAGCTTATTTCCCCTATAGAACAAAATATTCTCTCTCTCCGAAATCGCAGACGATCCTTGATGCCTTGAAAAGCTCCAAAATCTTCACAGCTTCCACATGTAGAAACGATGATTTCTCACTCCTCAACAACCACGGGCACTCTACCACCTGTGGATCGTAGACATTTGCTTCTGTAGCCGTCGCTATTTGTAGTATCACACCACTTCACTACTCTAAATGTATCATTGTTCAATCTCTTCCGTAGCCATCGCTATCGCGGTCGTCATCGCTAGTACTTGACTCCTTCACTACCTCCGACAGACCACACACCAACCCTAATTTAAGTTTTACTGAATGTTTTCTTTACATTTGGAAAGCCAGAACGATCGTCATTTCACCTTCAGGAGCGACGTTCTCATCACCAGTCACAATCCATTTCGTGCGTATTCAATCTTTCCTCGAATCCTTCACTACATTCACCTCGCTCCACTCTTCTTCACCTCTCGCCACATCACATTTAGGAGAATATACTCACAAATCGGTTCTCGTACCTCGCACTCCTGCGCCGCTGCTGCTAGTGCTTGCGACCACTTTGCCCTCCCTTTCGCTCACCAATCCGCACGGCACTTCCTCCCTCGGTCACACATGCAAGCAATCAAGAATACATTCTACACTTGTCTTTCGCATCTTAGCTTTTCGCCAATTTAGTATTTTATTTATTTATTTCCGCCAATATTAATAACTACGTAACTGTTGAACTAAATATAACTTCATCTATCTATCTAAAAGCTTTTTGGGTAAAAGTGTAACATCTTCATCATGATAAAAATTTTATTTACATCTTCAATTTGCAAGTAATGTTCAACATGTAGAACATTGATATGTTTTTAGTCACATAATATTATGGTTCCAAATACTCTTCAAATATAACTCTTGAGTTATATGTGCACTTTTGATATCTTTTATTTTCAAATAATAATAAGCAATCACATGTTCAATGACGAGACATTTAAATTCTTTCTACAAAAACCTACGAAATATAAGAGAAAAATATATACCATGATACAGCTGGATACTGAATGAGATATAGTCTTGACGGATTATATATATATATATATATATATACTTACTCTCTTACTCACTTAACTTCATTGCCATACATATAAGCTTGTGATATAGACATGGGTTCAAAAGGGTTTTATTAGATTCACAAAAATGTATCTTTGAACACAATCATGGCTAAGCTCCTGTCAAAATAAATATAAATGCAAGTCACTGTGAAGGTAAAGTTCCATGAACACCCAAAGTGGTATTTTGTAACTGACGGTAGGCGCAATTAGCCCAATCCACAGCCCATTATTACACTGACCAGGTGAAAGCGCGCATGGTTGAAGCGGGTACTTCAGTTCACAAGTGAAGTTGTAACTGTCGTAAAGATTAGCCAACCAGGTAAGAGACGAATGACTGCGTTACCGATAATATGCAGTAATATTCACTGCAGTATTCTCCGTACGGGAAACAAACGTGGTGAGAGGCTCTGGACGACGTAGGACTCATTAAACCCCGATACTGACGTGACCAGCTCAACGCAGTTTACGCTTGCTCAGATGAATGAACACGCAGGCCGCCAGTAGTTCAGATCACTCGTCTCCTCGAGCATGAAAGCATGAAACATGAAGGTTGGTGGTCAGTCCACAATTTGCCAAGAAGACGAGACGAACATAAAAAACACGTGATGGAGAGTTTGGGTTCAAGATGTTCCGTGCAACTATGATCCCGAATCACAGCCAAGCCTATTGTCTAGGCACTTGGGAGACGCATGCTATGATTCGAGCTGTGATCGATAGAGAGGACATTGATGCAGGGATGATTAGGTGGCGGCGCACACTGATTATCCGTCCTTTGCGTAGGGGTGGTCAGAAAATAAGCCCCATCGATGGATCGAGCTCGGCTCGCTGCCTCTGATGTGTCCGATTCAGCCATCGAACTCGAGAATTGCTTCGCAGTGAGACTCATCCTAGAATTCAAGATTGGACCGAAGAGGTTTCGTAGGTTGACCACAGCGCATCCCATCCCATCCCATCCCGTCCATAGCAGCAGGAAAAGGCCTGCCTGCCAAAGGTTGTTCGAGAACCAGCAGCCTGGCTGGCTGAATGGCTGGCTTGCTGGAGATCTCACGTAAAAAGTCGCTGCGATCTGGGACGAACGGAAGACAGACGAGGATGTCTACCTGCATGTAGTACGTGTACTGGGACATAGCTGGGATCGTGATTTGCCCAAAGCCCAGGAACGCAGAGGGGCGGAGGGGCTGGAGTTTATTATTTGGTGGTGGAGTAGTAGGCAATGATGCGTGGATTTAACGAGAGGCGGGGGCGGGCAGTTGGTGGCGAGGCCTCTGGATGAGAGGGCGTCGGGAGATATTGGGCTATGGCACGAGACTCAGAACAGTTGGAGAAGGAAGGAAGAGCGAGCGACCACGAAAACATAGCAGTTATTATACAAGGGTGATCTTGAGTGTGTGTTTGATGGCTGCTCCCACGGGTAAGAAGAGCGTGATTAGGCCCCTCGGCTCCTACAGCCTGGGAGGCGAACCAAGTGAGCGAAAGTCCGCACCCGTCTCACCAACCACCTCCTCGGTACGGGCTCATGCGCATCGCATTGTCGGGGCTCGCAGCTCGCAGCTCCCCGAGTCGGTCTCCATGGAGCCTAGTCCCCTCACTATAATGACAGCACACATGCTAGGAGGATTCATCTGCAGCCTCGTGGGAAGCTACGGATCCATTTGCACCTCTTTTCTTTTCACGCTTCGAATGCTTCATTCGTACAAAATCTTGCCCCTGAGACCAAGAACGGCATCAGAGTTTGTGGAGCACGTTCGGGCCAACTTTGCCCAAGAGTCGGAGCTTGCAGCTGCAGAAGCGAATGAGACCCGGGCTCTTCGTGCAGCACTTTTCAGACATCCATGCTCCAGTTTTTCCTCCACGTCAGAAGAATGAATGTGATTCAGTAGCGGTGGATGGAGACTTGAATTGCGCTGAGCTGAGCTGACGAGAGTCGATCGTCGAGCGACTTCTGCAGTTGCTCTTGGCTCACATGCTCTCCACATCCCGACAGGATACAGTCGCAGCCTGCAGAGCTACGATATTTTAGGTGAGGCTGGTCACTTTCTGTGTACTTCGGTGGTGCTTGTCGTATAGATCTTCAACACGGGCGAAAGAACGAGAACAGCAAGTTCGTAGAATGAACTGTATCATCTGAAAAATTGAGACAAGGATCATTCATGCTATCCTTTCTGACAAAACTGGAATCGTCTGAACCAAAGTCAAGCCGTGACAACGATTGAAGCTGATTCAGACGCCTCCGTCTCCCTTCAGATGATACAGAAAGGCATCTCGTAGCGGCCTCGGGATTCAAGAAATTCATGCGGAGCTTATTGTCTTCTAATTGGAAAACGATAGACTTTCCTAGTTTGCTGAAGATCTTAGACTGTAGACTTTTTCCGCCCTTTGACGCCCACCGAGTTCATGATCACCAGTCATGTGTCAGAATTTACACTGTCAACGGGCTAAGTCTGCTTCAGCTGACCTGGAAATCATGCCATGGCTGCTAGTGACATAGTTCAAGAACCTCTAGCGCTTACACTGCGAACGAAGGCAAATGAATACTCAGAACCTCTTGGTTCGCGTTGCCTTCGTACTTTAGAGCCTATGATTCATCAGCTGACAATAGTTCACAAAAATCACGAGCCTTCAAGCATTGGAATTAATGTGCCACGGAAATATGGCTGCAAATACCATAAGAAATTGTCCATCGTCTCTCACAGTCATGGATTCACAGCGTACACTTTACTCATGACAATGGCTTTGAATTGCAATTGAGCGTCTCGTGAAGTTGGATTCATTCGTCAAACTGATGTTGATATCATTCAAATTTTTAAAGGATCGTTCGTGCACTCTGACCTTGGCCTTGCCATTTTCCTTTCACCTTGCCTATAGACCGATGGGACATGATGATTATATATTCTGTCGTTGTGGCTGACGTTTGCGTTTCTTCTGGTGTATTTGAAAGCTCCAGGTTCCTCCAGGACTGGGTGAATTTGGAAAGGTTGGCAATATTTCTCAAAATTGGATTCGAAAATTTGGCATAAAATGGTTCTATCGCCCGAAGCCTCTCTTAGTTCTGGATCGACCAGGGAGGTGGAGAGGACTCTGGACAAGAAAGACGGAAAATCGTTTTACAATCCGGGTGGCGAGGGATGTTCCCGGAACTTTGAATTAGATCCACATTCCGAGAATCCCTGGAGTACCCCAAGCGAAATTTGGGAACAGGAAGAGGCTTTGATGAATTCGCAAACACAGATGCAGCTGAATTTTCTCGATCAGAAGGATGTTCCGCTTGGAGGTTTAGGCCACCCATACGAAGAACTCGTCCCAGGAAATCAGACTCTTCATGACATAATCATGCCGGCCGCTGGAGTTCAGTCCTTACGTACAAGTCTAGGAGGGGATGCGTTTGGAGATGCGCTTTCGAAGGAGAGTGGCGACAGGGAGATAAAGCAAGAGATGCGTGCAGATTCCTCCGATGGCAGTGATCCGATGGATGAGGATGAAGACAAAGGTGGATCCGGCTCCCGATCTGGCAGGAGACACCTCTCGAAGAATCTGGTTGCAGAACGAAAGCGAAGAAAAAAGCTGAACGAGCGATTGTATGCCCTCCGTGCCCTGGTTCCAAAGATCACGAAGGTGATGCCTCGACCAAAGATTATCTCATGATTAGACCAAAGAATATACTCGTCCTTAATGGTTCCAGACTCTCTGCTTTCGATTCCTCCTATATATTCTTTTGTTTCAGGTGCTTCGTCCACCACAGACTGTTTCATCTTCTCCAAGATCTGGACACTTCGTGGCAGTCAGCTTTATGTCTCGTCTGTAGCTGTATTCAACAGCTTCTTGCATACGGACTATTTTGCAGCTTTTTCTGTCGTTGTATATTTAGAAGCAACTGTAGTACTTCCATATCCCGCTTCAGTTGGGATCGGTTGGGATCCACTTTTTGACGAAATTTTCTTCGGCATGGAAGAATGCAAGGTCCAGCAGCCCGAGCAGTGTTCAAAGGGACAGCTTATCTTGCTTCACATTGTTGTTAGTAAGTAAGTTTTGGATGCGACATGCGATTTTCAACGCACAGGTCCTCCTGAATTGAATTTTCAGGCAAGCAACGGAATCTTGAAGGGATTGTCTGTATCTGCAGATGGATCGAGCTTCAATTCTCGGTGATGCTATAGAGTACGTGCGGGAACTACAAGCTCGAGTAGATTGTCTCCAGAAGGAGCTGCTCGATGATGAAGAAATCCTTAACGTTGATGCCATACTGGAAGACGGTAACAGAGAAGGCTGCTTTGAAGACATCAAAACCTCTGAGCCACGGCTTGACATCATCCCCGAAGAACAACAAATAGAGAATCTTGTTCAGCCTATGGAAGTAAGTAGTTTTTCACAAAATATATTTCAAATCTTGTGATTGGCAGAGCATTACCTTTTCGCCCTCAAGTTTCTCGATACTTTTTGGAATGCTTCTGATTTTTTGTGATAATGCTGAATCCTTTGAACTCCACACACACTGAACGCGCAGGTCTATGTGCACAAGTTGGATGAAGCCGTATTTACTGTCCGAATTATAAGTGAAAAGTCTGAAGGAATGTTTCTGGGCGTCCTACGCATCATGGATGAGTATGGATTTGATATTTTACATGCGAATATCATTACCCACCGTGGCATTGCGCTGCACGTTTTCAGAGCAGAGGTAATGATTATCAGACTTTAAAAGCACACGTAACCGCTTGGAATATTCGTAGCGTTCAGATCATTATGTCACCGATGCTCGAATCCCACTTCCTGATCCAAGTTTCACTTTGTGTGCAGATTAGAGACAAGAAGACCCCCACGATAGAACAAGTGAAGGAGAGCTTATTACAATTATCTAAATTTCAGTTCGGCGGATTTGATAATCCAAATGAATTGGTGAATGAGCCTATGAATATAGTAAGTTCGACGCCTGATCATAGACAGTCGTGAATTTAGAAAAATTACACACATATCTGCGTTTCAATATCTGGGGTTTGACACAAAAGTGTAAAACCTTGTTCCTCTAAGTCTAGTCATCATCAACTTCCTCTTGTTAAAAAGTTTCTTATATTTCCTTGTACAAGGTTGACAGAATTTATAAAACTTTGATACATCGAAGAACTACACGTTTTTCTCTTGTTGTGAGCATGCAAGACGACTGTCAGCGTCTGGCACCCAGGACCTCCCATGATTCGATACAAGATCTGCTGTCCACTGACAGTACAATGCAACTACATGTGAAGCCTGCCAATTATCCTGATATCTCGAAGTGTGGCAATACAAGTGTTTTGAGGTTCTTTTCGCACTTGATGATTTACTAGGACTAGAATCCCAAGTCCAAATCTCGTGACACAGGTCACAATCGTGCTTCAACAGTACGATGGTCGACCACAGAGAAATTCGAAGATTCATTGAAATCTTCTCTGACAGAATTTGTCGGCTTTGGATCCAGTTTTATCCTTAGACAGGTCCATGGACTTTGTTGGTGGCGGTTGTTTCACGTACACAGCACATCACATCACAGCAGTCACCGCTTGGTGGATGAGAACGACGCAGCATGGATCGGAGTAGCGAGACTTCGATACTTAGAAATGCCATTAGAGCTGGAAAAAATTCGTGCGTTTCTTTTGGCAGAAGGGACTTGCTGCAGACAGAGCAATTTCCAGTCACTACTGAGTGAGTAGTTAGTCCAACAGTGAGTTCCTTTTTCTGTTCTTTTCTTTTTTCGTGACTCTCAAAGTGAACCGAAAAATTCTTCACGTGAATTTTCATTCTTTCCTCCTCTTTGCAATGTTTAATTGCAAAGAAAGCTTAATATAATATAATAATATAATTATTTAATGTTTAATCGTCGAAGAATGTCATCAACAAGTTGCTATATGACTCAAGAAGTCGACGGAGTGATGTCTCCTCATAATTTCAGGACTAGGAATAACAATGGCTCAGACCCTAATACTAAATCCTAAACGACTTGTCGTTGTCATCTGGACCTTCAAACGCTGGTTCCAAAATTTGAAAATGCAACTAGAAATAGATAACGATAAGAAAATCGTTTACGCATAGCAACAAATGGAAGCCCTAAACTCCTTATTAATTTATTGAATAATGTTTTCCAATGATGCTTTCGCAAATATGGTAAATAGTATATAGATCAACCCCGTGGAACCAAAAAATCAAAAAGTTAAAAAACACAATACACACTCTAAACTAGTGAGAGAATCAAAAGAACCCTTAACTAGTGCCAAGAACACTTAAACTAATAACTTACCTCGTAAAACAATCTACATCATAACGCTCAAGGTGCAAGAGTATTGTCACTGAGGACAAAATCTGTGAACATCGTATGAAAACATTCGAGCTAGGAGGATACCCTTTAATTCATCTCGTGAGCCTGCAGTTTGTTCGGGCACGAGAGACTGTGAATAAGGCGGAAAAAGGGAAATATTCAAGAGACCTCAATTTTGTAGTTACAATTCACTGAAATTGCCCCGAAATTGCAGGAAGGATGATTTAATGAATCTATGGTGTCAGAAATGCATAAATGGAATATGTTTCTAGTTTGCAGTGTCTACTGAAGAAGAGAAGAAATGGAGTCTGTGTGATTGATTTGGTATGCAACCGAGGTCCTCGAACACCTAACGGATTGTGCGATGGGAGAAAGTCGTCATCATCATGATTGACCTATTTCTCGCAATACGGAATCCGGATCCTGCAAGATCGTGAATGTCGCTGCGCGCGCTGTTTCTGCGATCTATTGGATTTCAAGAATCGATCGAGCGTCGGGTGATACGGATCACATGGGGCAACGCATCACCTCGCCGAACTTTGAATCCTTCGTGATGTCCCCGGGGCCCTCGTGTGAACCTCACCCATGAAACCTGAAAGGAGTTTGATATTCTTGATGGCGATCTGGGTTCCTCTTCGCGTGGGTGACATGTGCTCAATTTGATGGAGGAGTGTGTAGATTTCTTCACGACTCAGGACATCTTCTTTGATACGATCTACCAGGGCATCTGTATTTTTTCTATCGCAGAATCACGGGAGCGAAGCGTATACGATGCCTGAATTTTGTGATTCACAACTGTTGCAAGGAAATTCTTGGAATTCATTGACGATTCTTCAAAGAGATGAATAAATGGGTCATCTGAAAATTCCCTGTTCAGAGAGTAGATGAAACCACTATCTTGAAGAAGTAGCTATTGTCAATGTTGGCTCTGTCTTCGATTTCAATCTCTTCTTGGTGTGGAGAACCAAGCACTACTAGGAGATCGAAGATCGACCGCTGCCCCTTACCTGTGACACATACAAGATGGGTTGATTATCTTATCTCGTCAATTCGCACAGAAAGATCTTCTCCCGTGTCCTGCTTGAGAACTCGATAGCAGAAGCAATTGAAAATCGAGAGACAATCGAATATTTGAGACGAACTCGTGTCAAGACTGTGACTTTAAGCCGCTGATTCCTTCAGAAAACTCCCAGTTGTCGAATGGAGGTCACCAATTTGCCGAAAGGCCCCGACATTCAGAGTCTGCTTAAAGTGAAGGGCAGTTTCACTGGTCCTGACGCCGGAAGCACTCTTACACTTGCACTGTGTGTCGTTCTCAATATTGCTTCTTGTCTCTGCGTCAAGAGAGGGATATTCAAGTCTCAAGATAATGGAACAACATCAACCACAAGCACAACATCAGGGCTCATGCCCACAAACTAAATTTGACAGACAACGATAATATCCTGCACATCCATGTGGCCGATTCGCAGAGCTAAGCAATCCTTGGCAACTGTATACACTTGGCCAAGTTGATCTGATGTGTGAGCCCGCGCTTTGTATTCGGATTCGGTGGAGTTTCTCAAAGTACCGAACTAGTTACAGTCTGGATTTCTGATAAAGAAGATTCATGACTCCCTAAAATCACAGCCGTGAAGATTGTCTCGTCTGGTCATAGCTCGACTTCAATTTCTGTGACACTGTAATAGTCGGTAGAAGAGGATCAAGCTGAGCATCATCATGGCGGAGGGTGGAGACGATGAGATTTACGTCCTCAGAGACATGTCTAAGATTCCTGCAATCACTCAGTTGGATGATCTAGTTCGTCAAGGTGCTCTCAAAGGCGAGAAAGCATCTTACGCCAAGGAGAAGTGAGTACACAAGACTTAGACTTGCAATCTAGCATCTGATCATAATTCGTATATACCTGCAAAAGATCGCAACGACGACACTGACTGATGACATTGTGATGGTGCATTTGATTTCAGATGGGAAGCTCTGAAGGACACCTATCTTTCAATAACGGGCACGGAAAGGAAGCTAAAAATTGAGGTCGATGAGATGGAGGTCCAGCTGAAGGTCATACTTTTCTCCACACCTAGAAGAGTGGGAGGATTGGACAAGTCTTCAGTCAGAAGTTCGGACGTTTCAGTGTTCAATGAATTTGGCTCGTGAATGATATCCAAAATTGGCCCGAGGGTTTGATGGTCACCGTTTCTTGTACTGTCGTGCAGGGACTACAAAACGAGTTGGGACGGGTCCTCAAGTGCGCTGAGGAGGATGAAGTAACGATAGATCTGGTTAAAGAAGATGCTGAAGCAGCAGAAGCAGAAGCTGCTCTCATGAGGTACTACGCTTCTCCTGTTCCAGATTCATGCTGCGGGCTGTTTTTACAACGAGTCGTTCAGAATTGAGAACTGATTGTGTTCCAAGCTGACCTTGAAAAACTAAGATGATCACAACTTGAAAGCAAACACCACATCCCTACACATTGTCAGCACATATTCTGCTCAGTGAACTCATACACCCAATTGTGTAACCGGAGTCGAGGCTTTTAAGAGTCGTTCAGAATTGAGAACTGATTCTGCTCCAAGCTGACCTTGAAAAATTGAGTTAACCTCAACTTGAAAGCAACACCACATCCCTACACATTGTCCGCACACAGTCTGCTCAGTAAACTCATACATCCAAATGTTTAACTGGAGTCGAGGCTTTTTAGAGTGGGACAATTACGTGCGGACTTCCAGGATTGTTTCAAGTTTAATTTTCCTTCTTCAACTATCTATGACAAGAATTTCAATATTGACATTATCAACTATTTCGTGATTTTTATGAGTTTAAGAAGAGCCTGTCATTGTGCTACTCTAGAAGACAGAAGTTACTGAGGGCCGTTGAAAATAATACCATACGCCATCCTGTGTGCTAGAGTTGGAAGAGCTCTTGGAGTCTACCACATTGTCCTTCTCAATCATGTATGGATCGGCTTGTAGGGAGAAGGAACAGTCTGTTCTTATGGAAGTCACCGATCTTACTCGACTTCAAGAGCTTTATCATGAAAAGATTCAGGAGATCGAAAGAGAACATGCCACTGCTCTTGCTCCCCTCCTCAACCGACTCAGGGTACTCGGGAGCAATATCCTTGAGCTTTTAAAGAGTCGTTTATACATTCCTAAAATACATTCATATCCTCTGTGGTCCGCCGTCAGTTCCTACGATCCTCTGAACGCAAAAGTTTGAGTACAGCTTCCGGGAAACTTCTCGCCGTTGTTCACAAAGTTGTTACAATAAGTTCTTCGATACCATCATCTCCCACGATATTGATTCTGAAACATTGCACTTTCTGAGCTAACTATTCAAGGGACTGCTGTTGGTCTTGAGTGCAGCTTGACATCCAGGATGCGAAGGATTCAATTGCTGAGAATCACGTCAAGACAGAGCAATGTACCAAGGAGGTGCGGCTCATTGTGAAGCTTCGGATACAATGTATGTTTTGACCAACTGGTCTAGCCAGTTTTGTTTTTTGAACTTTAGAAGTACAAGCCTTCGACCAGCTTCTTATGTAGCAGGCTCTCCTGTCGTTCGGAAGTTTACATCAGACTACTTGAACTGCACAAATTGTTGGGAAGTTCATGTGTCCATTTCTGCTTGGTACAGATTGAGGACTGTAAGATCAAGGTTGAAGAAACGTTGGAGGAGATTGCGAACATCCGTAATAGAAAGAAGGACCAGATTGTCAGTATCGACAGCCTTGAAGGTCAACCAGAAAAGTATAGAAAACAGGTCATTTACATTTCCTACCTATGGCTATGTTTTGAGAAAATAACTAAATTTACGAATAGTTCTGAATGGAAATGCCTCAAGGTTCAGCCTGAGCTTGAAGTCTTCACTAAGTGACTTACCAGCTCGTTTTCATCCTCAGGCCGACATTCTCATAACAGCCGTGAAGGCCCTTCAGATGCAAGATCAGAAATGGTTGGACAAGGTAAGCCATGATGTCCTCTCTTCATGCTTTTTCTTATTCTTACTTGTGATTCTCACAAGCATACTACTAAACATTTAAGCTCATCATACAAACTGGGCAAGTCAGATGTATAAACTCTAATTGTGTGACAATGATAAAAGGACCTGTTTATGTTACTTTTGAAGGTTTAAGTTCGATGACCTTATGAAACGTACGCTAGGAAATTGATGTTGACGAGACTGTAACTATTATGAGTTACCAGATTAACCAGATGAAGATAACCAGTATACGTCAGAAGTAACGCAATTCAGCTGTCCGAAACATCACAATCACAATTCCAACATTTGGATAAGCTTATTTTTAGTAATGTTTCTATCAGAAGATGTTTGCAGACGATGAACCATGTGTGTACACTATGATGAAGAACAAAAGCTGACCTCTTATAGGATTCAACTTTTGAAAATAATTAGGACACAAAACTCGAATTGGCAAGAAATCGAATAAACTCATTTTCTGCCCATCTACCTAACTGACCTTGGTTTTGTAAGGAGAGTTTTGAGGATTCTGAGAGCATGTTTCGTTTGGCATCATAAGGTCAAAGATGTGGATGCTGGGATAAGTAGTCATCAAGCTAGTGTTAAGCATCTACAAGAAGAGCTAGCCAATGCTGCTATCCAGATTGAGAAGAATCGTCTCCTCACAGAACAAAAGGTACAAAAATTATGGTTGACGGAAAACATAAACTGAATGCGCAGACAGTAAAACAATTTCAAACACAAGCCTGCAAGGTTTCCACATGTTTATGTTTCCTGGATTTTATTATCTTTTTGGGACTTGATCTAGATTTTACGCATGTTCCTGCTTTGTATCAATTACTTTTTCCTTTTATAAAAACACTTGATCTACTTTCAGAGTTTACTCGTCCACTCCTTAAGGTGCGTAACAGCATATTCTGACATCGTGAAGATTCTCGTGATGCGGTATTCAAGGAGAGACAAGCAGCTGACTTTCAAAGGGACCTTGAACTTGCCACACTTGAAGTTGATGATTATCTTGCGGATCAAGTGAGTACTTCCTTCACTGACACAACTGATGGCATGATACTTTCACGTACTTTGCATAAACATCACCTGCTGATAAAACATGTATTAGTGTAAAGAGTTTGATCAGAGCTTCTGGATATACACTGGCTTATTTAACATCCACCCGTACCTTAAAACCAGGTTAATGTGGATATGCAATTGAGATCACGAATGCTAGATCTCAAACTGGATCAAGAGCACCTGGCAACACGCAACAAGGAGAAAGACAAGGCTTTACGTAGACTGAAGTATGAAGAACAGCTGGTGGCCAATATCCAGTCGCATTTACCTGCTCTTATAATGGACCGTGACAAAATACACCACCAGGTAAAATGCACGTAAGATGGCGTTTTGCATAGCAAAAGCGAATGCCGCACTGACTGTGCTTACTGTGATTCTTCACCTCTTGTTGAAGGAAGATGTGAGATGAGCCTGACACAACACTTAAGCAAGGTACCATAGTAACTTACTAACTGCAGTCTGTGATTATCAGGTTGTTCTAGTGGAGGCTGAGAAGAAGAAAGTTACGGCCCAGGTGGACGAAATTCGAAGAGAAATAGACATTCAGATGCACAATCTTCTGAACGTGGAAGGTTTGGCGAAAGAAGTTTCCGCCGCCTTACGTGCAAGTCATGAAAAAGTAAGAATGTAGGGCACACCTGTGTCAAAATCCCTTGTTATAATTATGAAGGTAGACGATGCCTGAAATTTTGCAAACTTTTGTTTCTCTAACGTGTGGTATACTTGAGAATGTCTTCTTAAATACTGACGGTATTGGTATCAGTAATGGATGTGTCTTCTTGCATCGATCCATAGCATCATTTGCCATCAGCCTCGTGAGTCACGGGTATGCCAACGTCACAATCATTATCTTCAATCTGACTTTACATTGATGGTTGATATTTGAATGTGTTCCTACATGTGCGGTTGATACAGGTTTTAGCTCTGGAGAAGGATGTAGTCGAATGTGCTAATATTGAGCGATTGAAGAACCAGCACATAGTCAATTTGACAGGCATTAGGGAGCGGATGAGCCGCCAGGCTGCTGTTAAAGTACATAAACGTCTGACCATCTGATAATATTTGAGCCTAATTCAGGACGTTTTATTCCCGTCTTATCATATTGGTAGGAGGATACCGTCATCTTGCAGAGCATGGAGTGGCCTCCATATTACTCCTTGCCTGATATGCCACGCACGTCAGTCCTAAGTTTCGCTTGTCGTTTGTTCCAATCTTTTAGCTTCACAAAATCTTTTTAGACAAAATATCTTAATATTTTGTCTCAAACCTTATTCGAAACTTGAGTACACCTAATGCAACTGAACTGGCAACAGATGTAATCTTTTGTACATGTGTTGTTCATATGCAGCATCACATGTGGAAGGAAGCAGAGAAGAAACTACATGTTGAAGAGATATTGCTCTTGAACACGCAAAAAAAACACGCAGAACTCCTGAAACAAGTGGAGGATGGAATATCCATGTATAATCTGGTTAGAAGTCAGCGAAACAAATATGCAGCCCTTGTTCAGGTCTATACAAGTCCCTTCAGCTTGAAATGATGAAATAACTCTATTTCTAATTACAATTCTAGTCATTCTTCTAGAATGCTGAAAGCGCCGGAAGGGAGCATCCATCCCAGTGTTATACCGCTTCATTTACTGGCTTGCTCTTTCTGCAAGTCATAAGTCGTTTTGCCAGCTTACAAGAAAGACGAATCAAGGAAGTAAAACATAAAACCTGAAAGCAGAGCAAGAATGCTGCAAGTTTTCCTCTCCTTTAGGCCTTGCTCTTCTCCAGGTCTGTGGATAAGATCTTCTCATTCTTCTACATGGACATAATTGATAACTGCTAACTTACTGTGCTTTTGAGCAGGCAAGCGCCATTTCTATCGCCGAGATGAAAGATAAGCTGATGCAGATCAACACCGAAGTGGAAGCTCTGCAGAGTGATGTGAAGTATAAGGACAAAGTGCTCAACAAACAGAGGAGTGAGTTTCTCGTTAGTGTCAGAGGTCGCACTCGCGCTCTGACCGACCTTTCAAAAGCTACCATTCTCCTTCGTGAGACCCAGGTAAAGTGTTGTGCTTTATTATTTGCAGTATTTTGTACACCACCTACTTTTGTCGTTGTGGAGCTTCAGGAAGTTTCAATTGGCCAAGCTGATCAAAGTTTCACACTTGTGTTAAACATCCTTGGACTACAGGCGAATGCAGAGGAATATGTGATAGAATTAAGTAAACTGGAGTTCTTCGTTACCTCAGCACAAAGAGAAATGGACACGACCCGCAGGTTGTACGCATTGGAGGTTACCAAGCGGAATCAGACAGGGATAGCCTTAATTGACCGGAACGATGAACTGTGTATTTTGTATGAGAAGTTTAATGTTCAGGTCCGTTCCTTTCTTTTACAGCAGAATACAAACGGCCCTTTAAATACATTTATACATGGGAGTTTATACGTATCTTCGTTAATATTTGTACCTACTCGCAACTAGAGCGCGTTATATAGATACTTGGAGCCACTTGGTGTCACAAAGTTGTGATCCTACTATTAAGTCAATGCTTAAAGACAAAGTCGAGGACATTGTTATCTCCCGAGGATCTCCATCGGATAAGCATGGTAGGATATTGCTATTTGATTATGATACTTCTCAGAAGTCAGTTTGTATATGCTCGCATTTTCTTGTAAGCGATCTTGAAAATTATGTCTGGATGCATCTATTTAGGGCGAGCTATTGAAAAATTCGGAATTGGAACTGTCGAAACGAAATGATGAGATAAGATTTCTGAAGATACAATGCAAACATGTGAAGCAATCGATTTTTACTGCGTACCAAACGGCTCCAGATTTCCCGGGAATGTACAAAACTCTTGAAGATCTTAGAAATCAGGTACCAAACTTATGCCAATATTGATTATGAAGTCATGTGGATGTTTGTCACCTCTTTCCAGGCTGAGCTCAACCCTGTATAACAGTTAGACAGTGTCCATGGTATTTTGACTGCTCTCTATGTTGTGGTATCGAAAGCTGGATGAGGCAAAAAAATCCACTTCGAGATTGGCAGACCTGGTGGAAAATCCAGAGAACACTACAAGGTGGCGACTACTGCCTGGGCGGGACTTGAATGAGCTGGATCTTCATGCCAAAATGACCGCTATTGAAGAATTTCTTTCTGCAAAAGCAGATCAGGCTTTAGAAAAAAATCTTATCCTTGAAGAGGTATGTCGCATATGATCGACATTCAGACGCTTGTCTTTGATGCATACAGACTGAAATGTGGAGCAAAATGAGTGTTCTCATTAAAATAAGACATTTTTAATATTCTAATCTGAAATCTAATCTATTCAAAACGCTCAGATTATCAACTGCGTTTTGACTTTTTAGATCACAGCTCTAGCTGAAGAATGTAAGAGGCAAGCAGGAGACGGAAAAGATGGCCACCTTGCTAGGTTAGGGAAGGTAAACTTTTACCAAAGGTTCATGGACTCCATCACAAGGCGTCTCATGGCCACAGTCTCAGAGCTATCTCTTTGTCAGGTTAGTGTCTCCTTCACCATTGTATTAACTTACACATTGTGATGTATTTGTGATATGTATATCTTAGCGCACGAAGCTGATTTATTCAGCTAAATGTTGCGCGTGGTGACCTCCAAAGGCAAGACTCCTCTTATCGTATTTATAAGACACGTTTCGAGAAAGAAAAGATGAAGTAATTTACTACTTCCAAGGAGAATGGTTTCGTCAACTTCTATGTTTTCCTATTTGTATTTCGTGTGATGCAGGCTACCGCCATGAGCTTGAAGGAAGAAAGAGACAGGCTTACTAAACAATTGTACGCAGCTTACACAAGACTGGCAGTCGGAGAGGTTTGTAATCTTGAGATTATGTGATTGATGCGATCTAGAACACGTGAAGTCAGAACGACAGTTTCCATAAGTAAAATTGAAACATAAAGAATTCTCCTTGCACACCTATATGACCTATGGTTTGGAGTAAGGATGATAGGACCATTACATTCAAACAGAGATTTTAGGCAAGAACATGAATCTCGTCACACTCATGCCACAGTTCTGAGAATATATGGTCATTTCGTTGCGCACTGGGTAGGACTGGAAAACCCCAATACACATATCGAGGAACAATTAAAACAAGAGAGGCAAATTAAGGTCTGTAGGTAAAAGATCTTTCGATCTGGAGGATTCTGAGTTTTGAGAATGTGGTCGTACAACAGGCTCCTACAGAGAAAGCCTTGAGAGATTGGGATGCAAAGCAACGAGAGAGGAAGCTGCTGCGGAAGTTGGAAACTGCTCGAGAACAGGCCCGATTAGAAGAACAGCTGGACGTTGAAAGAAGAGCTCAGGCACTACTGTACGCACAAGAATCTAAATCACTAAATTATACGAATCTACAAAACGAAACTTTCTATCGACATCCTTCTGTTTCAAATCCGGTGGCCTAGCCTCTACTGAGAGATATTGCATAGTGTTATCTTTCCATTCATTCATGCCATGTTACTCCACCTTGTACCAAAAAATTTCATTCATGCGCATAGGACGTGCAGGCAAAGGAAGGGAGATTCTAAGAGAATTGAAAGTTTGGGAACATGTTGTGTTTGCAGAAAATCGACAGCAGAGCAAAGGCCAAATGCTTACATCGAAAACGACCTAGGCTTGCCCAAGCCTTTCGGTTTGTATGCTCCCTTCAAACCATCAGATATTGGAGGCCAACTGAAATACTATCACAGGCCTGACAGCAAGCCGGTGGAGCTTTGAGATCACAGTATAAGGATTATCTTAGTCCCCTTGCCTTCCCTCGAGCCCAGCTTTCGACTTCAGTCACGCATTTTCCTTGCATGCCTTCAGTTTGTTACGCTCTGGAAGCGCAAGGATTGACAAGCGTATGGAGTCTCAACAGCTGCGGATAGATTGTAGTTAACTTGAGACCACGTCCGGAAAATGTTTTTGTATAGCTTGCGTCACAGCACATTCGTGTTGTAAATTTGCTAGATGAATATTGTTAAATCTTTGTTACAAGCAGAATATTAAGGGTGATTTCAAGTTTATGTTTCTGTCTCTTACTTGCACGAATGGAACCTTACAAATCCTTTTTGACAAATGACATTTTCACCTCCTTTCATCTGCCCTTTTTGTCGAATGACCTGACTTGACCTTTTCACAGAAAAATCTCATTTTTTGAAGTTGAAATTGTATCTGGACGTTTTGATTTTTAATCGAAATGAATAGTTTTCAAATGTGTCATATGGTGATAATGTGAGTTATTTGTTTCATGTTTTTCTATCTTGTGGTTAAATTTACTGAATAATGATAAAAAGACAAAAACACATCAAGTTTTAAACAAAATTTGCTTAAAGAAACTTTGTTTTAATTTAGAGATAATTACATATATCAAGGTCAAATTAATGTAGTTTATACTTGAATAAAAATTTTAATAATAATAAATTAAATCAAACTAATATTCAAATATTAGTGTAAAGAATGGATGACAATTTTTAAATCATTGACTTGATATATCTTAAACTTCACTCGTGAAATTGAAAATTCTCTCTACAGGATACATCAAGAAGTCATCATTATAGTTGATCTCTAAATTCATGCAATAGTGTGAAAATTTCGTGAATATATATATATACAAAATTCATAACAAAACGAGTTGATAAATTTGCTATAGAGTAATAATAGTGAAGCATCTGATTCCAAGTGTTGAAATTTGTCATGATATGAATATTCTAAATTCACAGTGTATATTGCATACATATTTTGTCCTGATTAAAAATTAATATATAATTGAATGTGACATATATAGCATTTAACAACTAGGTTTATCAATATAATTATATAAAATCAAGCTAAAAACAACAGCAGCCAAATAACAACAACATCGAAATATATTGTCATTTTGAAAAAAATATTCACAATATTAAATTCTTACATCCACATTTTTTACAAATTTTTTAAATAAAAAAATTTTAAAAAAATCTAATTTTAAAAAATGTGCAAGAATGAACGATTTAAATTTTAAATTTTTTTCTTTGTTGAAAAAGTTGATTGGAATTTTTTGATGCTTAAGATAGTGAAATACTGATGTACTCAATCATATCTCTATGCCGTACATTTTATTTCTAAGTCGATTATTCATAGTAAACGATTATAACAAAGATAGATTTCATCATCATTTGTAACTATACTTTATCTTAAAAAACTACCATCAATTTTTAAAGGAATATTTTTGTTTACTAGCTATGATATACATCTTCAGTTTCTTTATCTTGACTCATTAATTATGATTGAGATTTGTAATCAATTACGATCAAAACTTTACATTTTTACTGCAATATTTTCAGTATCATACTGTTTGGTAAAAAAGATAGAATGATCATCTTGACTTGATTATTTTTTTATTATTTAAAAAAAATAAAAAAATTAGCTTGATCTATCTACGTGCATCCAATTATCAATTCAACATATAAATTTGAGATAAAATTAAAATCAACATGTATTTATCAAAGTTATTTTTTTAAGATAAAGTATAGTTACAAATAACTAATTAGGACTATAATTTGAGAATATATCAGCATGCAATCAACAAACTAGATGATACAAAATAAATGAACTATGAATGAATAGCCAAAATGTTCTATATACTTTATATCTCATCAAAAAATCACTATTTTGCAAATCATAATGAGAAATACGTATCTATTGTTCAATATTTAACGATTTTCATGATCAAAATATATAATACTATCAAAGGTAATATGAATGCATTTAAATGGAATCAAAAGATTTATGTGAAATAAAATAAGTGTATTGAGGAATAATATTATAAAAAATATGAAACAAAGTTTGTAGATATTTCAATTGACATCAAGTGCGTCAAGTACATATTTGATAAGTGAAATTGTAAATATACCACAATCGCCCTTTGAGAATGCATAAATTTTGTGCTGATGTCTTACAAAATTATTGAAAATAGGAAAAAAATTCATAATTTAAAAATTATTACATATTACAATATTACAGTTTTATTATCAAACCTATAAGATGAAACTCATTGATCAAGTAACAAAAAGTTGAATAATTTGCTTTGTATTGCTTGTAATGTATGTTTATCTAAGACATGGTCACACAACATGACATGATTACATTTTTAAATCTATTTTTTTTCTCAAAAAAGTGGTTAGCCAATGTTATAAGTAAATAGCTCATATATTTTTTTTCATGGAATTTATAAAAATTCACCAGAAAGACTGGAAGTAGATCTGGATAATGTAGACTGAACAATTGAAAAAATATTTGATTAAGATTAATATCACTTCCACAATGTTTATGAAAAAATTAGAATGACGAATGAAGGTATTGAAGTGATGCTTGTTCTAAAACTGACAAAAGAGGATAGGACTGATTGCTTTATGAGCACATGAATCGTGAGCTTTGTTTATATTTTTATTAAATGGAGATCTTTAACTGTTGTTATTTTACGAATCTATGTCTTACCGATAAGATGTATCAGTCTAAACTAATTTGTAGGGATACTGAACTCACAGGGACAAAATGTAGTCCATTCTATACGCTCACATGCTCAATAACAACCGTAACACTTCGTCAAACTAGAAAATCTTAAAAACTAATTTTGTTCCTACTTTAAAAATTACGCCTAGATGTTTGTTGAATTAGTTACAAATGTGAAGTGATTAAAAAAAATTCATTTTAGTACATATGTAATGTAAATAAACTTAATGTGAGGTAATACTGTAATATGGAATGCCGTACTTATGTGCAGTGCAAGCAGTACCAGAGTTGGAGTTGATGTACTACAAATCCCAGAAAAGCCTCCAGCTTCGTCCCTGAAACGCTCTCATGACACGCTGGCATCAAATTGATCAAGTCCTGGACAAAGTTGACGGCAATGGCAAGAAGCAAATAAAATAAATAAAATCTGATGAAAATATCCAACTTGGAGGCTAAATACTAAAACGCAAATATTCTCTTTTGAAAGGTAGTGCTTTTAAGATCTGAACGCATAGATTGCAAGATGCCAGATGAGCTATTGAGCTCGAGAGGGAAGCATGGACCACCAGCTAATACTGATTCTGATTCTTGACCATATATCCTCACCCTCTCCCAAACATAATAATATAAAAAATTGCAAAGGAAACTCGCTTTTTGCGAGTTTCCTTCGCAATTGTGAAGATACAATCAATAAATAATATCAAAATAAAAATGAAGAGGGTGGGTAGGGTCAAAGAAACCTCGTAGAGCTTTGGTTCGCTTTGAAATGGAGATATTTATTTATGAAATCTGTTGGAAAGAAAAAAAAGGAAAAAAAGCAGCACGAAATTAAAGGAGAGTCAAGTTTGTCCACTTTGAAGGAGGGAGGGGAGCCTGGCAGGCAACAAGAATCCGAACGTGCGCACACGTGGACGTGTACGTCATTGGTGGAGAAGGAGGCCGATGTGGCTGGATGCTGACATGGCTTTACTTGCGGCGCCAGCATGTGCGGCGACATACCGTAGTCCGAAGCACTTTGCGGCAGGCATCGCTTGTCTCTCTCTCCTGCAGGGCTGGAGATAAAACAAGCTCGAAGGGCAAACCGTGAGCAGATTTGATTGCTGCTGTGGCAGCGACATCGATCGATTTCTCTAAATATTCTTTTTTCACTCGAATCGATCGATCTGCTGATGAGTGTTTCCCCGCGCTTCAGAAATCAAATTTTGGTGAAGTTGCGAGCGAGAGGGGGCGATGGCTGCATCCTCCCCGACGATGAGCTTGTGGCTTTGGCTGAAGGGACTGTGGACTGTCATCATTGACACAATCGGCCAGCGATTTCGATGTCGCCATCTTCCCAAGCGCCTTCCCCTTCCGCACTTCGCCCATTTTACTTGCATCGTCACAGGTTCTACGGGCGGCATTGGAATGGAAATTGCCCGGTCGGTTTCGATTCTTCACTCTCAGCCTCACACCTTCTCTTTCAATCAAGCACGCGAATTTTTGCTTTTCTTGTGTCTTAAGTAGTTGTGACCTCCGTGATCGACCTTTCAAGGAGTTCAGTGCAACTGATAATGTCTTCTTCTTTGTGAAGACATTTTGACAGCACTCTGGATTGATAATATTCATGCGGAATTGGTAGATGGTTCGAAATCGGAGTGGAGATTGGATTTCAAATATATCTTAGGAAATACGAAAACCTTTGAGATTTGGTATGCGAGTACCTTCAGCCATTGGTCGAAGAGAAAATATAAGCTGATAATTGCGAAAGACGGTACTGAGCCTGGATAAGGGCCAAACCTTCTTTGGGAAGCTCATCAGAATCTTAAGTTCTTGATCCTGTTACACTTTACGGTACAAGTGGAAAATTGAAAGTGATAAATTAGGAGAAATTGTCGAAGTATATATATTGCGTTATTGCGCAATCTGAGGAAGAAATCGTGTTTCCTCTCCAGTGAGTTTGCAGCTTCAGGAGCACATGTGATATTGGCGGTACGAAATACTTCAAATGGGAAGAAGCTGATTGAGCAATGGACGAAGGAGCGGGAAATTTCCAGAGGTCCAGAAATCAGAGCTGAGGTTTAGTTCTGCCGAAGCATAAACAGTTCACTTGCAATCTTGTAGTGATGAAGAGATTGGTTTGTATGAATTATTTGAGAATTCGTGGACATCGTCACCAACAGGAAGTGGAAATGTGCCTACACAAAACTCTGCACGTCCATGGTGAACAACTTACGTTGTCAACCATGAAGGCTGCACCACCTAAACAATAAGATTTTGGCATCAAATTCTCGAATTCTTGGATGCTCATAGGTTACTTTACATAACTTATGGGACCTGGCTACTAATGCGCAACTACTTCTTTCAGGTGATGGAGCTTGACCTCTTGAAACTCTCCTCCGTCCGTACTTTTGCCCAAGAATGGGAACGCAGAAACCTTCCATTGCACGCTCTCATAAACAACGCTGGGATCTTCGCTATGAATGGTATGTGTTGAACATCCGATTCCTGAATAGATTGATTATCAAAACCTGGATGTACTGAAATCTTTTGCGAGAATCGAGAATCTTTTGGGTGATTCCCTTAGGTGAAATCTTCGAGGATTTTACCTCGACAGATTGATTCTTAAGTTACCGGGTGGCGTTTAGTCAGTTTTTGTTAGTTTATTCCACTTGCTGTCAGTTGGAAGACCTTGAAATTGTCCTAAAAAATCAGACCTTCAAAAGGTCGGATATCGGTGTCCTTCTTTTCTTTTTTGTTTCTGTTTGTGTCTTTGCGAAGGGATTCTTATTCACATCTAATCATTGCTGTGTCTCCTCCGTGCAATCAGTCAAACAGAAGTTCTCAGATGACGGTTTTGAGCATCATTTGCAAGTGAACTTCTTGGGTAATGCACTTCTGTCTATTTTGCTGCTTCCATCACTTTTGCGCGGTGCTCCATCTCGGATAATCAATGTCAACTCCTGTGTGAGTGATTCGTACCATCTTGTAGCCATTTTGGTTCATATTAATGTGTAATCAAGATGCATTTTATTGGGTAACAAGTTTTTCGCTTCAACTGCATCACTTCTGATTGTACATGCAATCTGAACTTCACATCGGGTTTCAGTGTAGTAGAATGCCTTCAGTTATAGGTCCCGCCGCTCGTAGGGAGTTCTACTACTCATATGGTGCTAAATAACTATTTAAGTGGTTGAAAAGTGGAGAATGATTTGAAGTCATGAGCAAAATGGTGACCACATTCTTAGGCTCTGCTTGCCTCATTGTGTTTGTTTTTTTACAGGGTAAAGGAGACACTTTGGACCTAAAGGTTTAAAACTCTGTTTAGTAGTTCTGCTCATAGGACCTTCTTCGGGACAAGTATTAACTCGTTACCAACGTTTGCCAGATGCACCATATGGGATTTGTAGATCCTGAAGATCTGAATATCACCAAAAGGAGGTATAGCTCTACAGGTGCTTACAGTGGGAGCAAATTGGCTCAGGTGATTAAACTCCTGCATCATAGTACCAAAGTAAAAGCTTATGTATTCCATCAAGTAGTGCGTTCAAGGCGATCGCCAAAGTTGCAAATTGTCAATGTCCATGAGGATTACATGATCATTGTTTCATTCCGATAGTACTTTGAGAACATTTGGGTTCAGACCTAGTACTCACAACTGAAAACTTTGCTGCAGCATCTTTTTAGCCGTATTCTTCACATGAGAATTCCTAAGGAGGCTGGTATTGATGTTATTCTTACTCATCCTGGTGAAGTGATGACGCAAATGGTATGTAGTGGTCTTGTAACTTTAAACACCACTTATGCAGTCTCTGATTTGTAGTTATTGATTGAAGTTTTTTTCCCAAAATAGGATTTGAGATTCAGAATGTCTACGTTAAAGTGACTGCCCCGATAGTTAGTGGTCCAAATTTACAACTTTGGGATTGCTGATGTAGACGCGGGATTTACCGAAGATTATCCAGAAGGTTGAGGTGATCAGCTCAGTATTCCGACTTTCAGCAGCTGAAGGTGATCACATGTTTCTTCTTCTTTTAAAGTAGGGCATGGAAGGTTTTTTTTATAATCTTTTACTCTGTAATAGGTGCGTTTTTGTCTGAACCTATCCTGTGCAGCATAAATCCATACTCTAGAGTTTTGACTCGCAAAGACTCCTTCCTGTCACTTCAATCTGAGCACAAAAATGTTCATGCAGGTGCGAGAGGTGTGATTTTCTGCGCAACAGACAAGCAGGTCTTCGCGTATACACGAGCTTTACGCGAGATGGGGCAACCTATATGTCCCTACTTTTCATCTAACTGTAAACCTGCGGATGTTGCCAAGCTTGCTAACGACATGGAAACGGCAATGAAAGTCTGGAACAAGACTCTGGAGCTTTTGGATCTTCCAGCGGACATTGTTGAGAAACAATTTCAAAGAAAAGAGGACAGCGCTACTTCAGAAGTTCAATCATGAGGTAATTGCTCAATGGCAGCTTGTGCTTAATAAATGGATTCTTCTAACGGGGAAGTCAGTGTACATTAACTTTTGTGTATATCTTGACAAGCTACTACAGTTTGTTCTCATGGATGATTGTAAGATGTTCTCAGAATGTATCATTCTGTCATGTTTGCATAACAAGACTGACATGTAAGTGCGAGTTGTCGGAAGTATAATGCATGTAAATTGACAACCTGCATGCTCTCTTCAAAGGCCTAGGGCTTAGTCTCCAAATGCTGAAGGTGGAACATTTTTTTGTGGAGCCTGTGATATCGACATTGCAGTGGAGGTAGTGGGTGGCATCAAGAAATATAATTAAGTGTGTCGGCAGCAACGACGAGCTTGTTGCATTTTGAGACACTGAGTTTAGTCAAAATTGTTCGGAATGTTGTTCAACTAGGTTAGATTCTATCTTATCTTCGATCGCACAACTCGGCCTGTTCTCCAACCTTCATTACCTTGTCCGTCCGGTAGTAGTTGAAAGTGCCAATAGTTACGCATCACAATGTCTTCTGTACAACCATTTGCACTAATTCAACGCAATATCAAACATTGGAGATGAAATTGGGCACACAATTATGTTTAGTGTCGTGAAGTGTTCGATGAAAACTCCGATGATAACAAAATGCTAAGTGGCATACATCGGTTGCAGGGAATAAAACTGAACTACGTTGTTGGATTGACGGCATGGCTGCATTGAAATGAAAATTGAAAAATGGGGTCATGTGCAGCAATTATCAACTTGTGTTCATTTAAAAAAAAATCAGATCTCTGTTGTGTTCATTGTACCTCGCTGGAACGCAAAATGAAAGTTAGTTGAGAATGTAACTGTTTAATGGAAAATGAATTTTCCAGGTTAAAGGTGACTAACCGGGGTTAGTCTGACCCTAAAACCACAGCACGCAGAATTCGAAAATTTACCAGGTTATTTCAATGACAGTACTAGGGATTTTCGAAAGAAAACGTCCCTTCGATTAAGGTACAATTGTGGGGAGATGTGTCTGGTTATAGAAATAGAAATAAGGATGAAATTCTTTTCCAGTCGCAACGTGAAGATTTTTATACAAATTTCTTCTTCGACATTGAGTAGAAAGTGGGGATTTGGAGACTCTTCATCGTGAGAGTTTCCACATAGTAGGGGCCTCGTGGTCACATTCTCTCATGCTTGGAGTGAGTTCTGACTGCATAATCTTGTCAAACTTGGCAACTCAGATTGTCATGATTGTGTCTACAGCAGAAATGCTCCTTGTCCTAGTACTTTCTTCCATTATGATTTCCAATGCAAACTCTTACTCAATATGTCTGCTTAATGTCTATCGGGTTGTCCGGGCAAGAAAACTAAAGCCATATTTCCCAGTTTCGTACTGAAGTGTTTCTAGATGTTCCTCACGTCAAGTTTGCTATTGCGTCACCCTTGTATCCTAATTGTGGCACATTACTTACCGCGTCACGTTGCTCCCGAGATTATACTCTGAATATGGATGAAAGATGGACAACATGTGCCAAGAAAATTCAAGGATGCACCACTTAGATATCTGGTTTTACACATAGAAGTCAACTGTAAAAGACATTATTTGAATGGAAGGAGTAAGGCTTCAAGGTTTCTTCAAAGGTTCTTCATGGCCGTCGTCGACTTCATCGATGATAACTTGTACAGAAGTAAGGAGGACAGCGAATGACGCCTTCTCTTCTGACGGCTATGAAAACAAACTCCCCGCTATTCGAAGCCCATCAATAATTGGTGGGAGTTTGTTTCCATAGCGGTTAGGGGAAGACGAATGAGTAGTTTACCAAGTCGATCTCCGTCCCTCCATGGTAAAATGCCAACATCGTCCCGCATTCCCTCGCAGAAGCAAGCGCCAAAAGTCGTAGGAGACTTATAGTGACTTCGGAAACGGTACATGGATACGGAACATCTCTGTGTTGGGCTAAAAGCGCGAAGTGGAGAGCGAGAGGATCGGAGAAGGGGATGTAGTATAAGTCGAAGGAGAAAGCAGAGAGCTACAGATCAAAATAGGATAAGACATGAATCGAATGATACAATACAATTCTAAACGAATACTGATAAGGGTAACGGGAATTGAATGAACCACAAACTGAGTGCACAAAAGTTTTATGCTTCCAAAGTTCTGGCGGAATTCCACTCACGCTACATGTCAAAGCTAGTACACATGTAAAACTCAATCATCTCTGAAGTCCAGGAAGTGACCGTCTTCTCACGCACGACGTTAGATATACGCGAGGCATCACATAAAAATATGTAGAGATCTGGATTGTAGCTGGTTAGACTAGATTTAACAAGCTTTCTTCCATAGCATTAGTAACCTCACTTGGCTTTCTAATTCCGAATACCGCCTGAGTCAGACTTCCAAAGGTTGTCTACGACCTTTCTACGAGATTACTGCTTCTTTGCGCCTAAACCTTCTTTTAAACCCTAAACCCTAGATTTTTCGAGAAAATTTCTTGTGGGACCCCATCGTAGGGCAGAATGCTCGATGGGATCCAATACGTTCCATTTTACCCTATGGACCCTTACGGCCGTTACCACGCCACTAAAGTTCACCGTCACTTATGTTTTTATACGAATTCTTGTAACTGATTTGTTTACATTTCCATGGAAAAAGTAAATTTTCCCGGAAGTTCAGCTAGTCTGAATTTCCATGGCTGCCAATTTTCAACATGCGAGAGTCCTTGTTCTCACGGCCGAGAATGATTTTACACTTATAATGTATTGGGGTTATTTACTTACACTTCTTTTCCAAAACTCTTGGCCGAAATCACGTTAGTTGCTATTTTGGTCCGTGAAGTCACTGCTTTGAGTACCTGAAGGTGCCTCGTTGAAAACTACTGAATAAATAAACTTGGGGGAGAAGTCACTTTTCAACAAAGAACCTCAGTTTTTTTCCTAACCAGGACTCAAAGTAGTTACAAGAACTCGTAGTAGAACATCGGTGACGGTGGATCGAACTGCCGTCGGAAGGGTCCCATCGTGCAAAATAGAACGCATTGGGTGTTGCACATTGATGGTGTCCCATCAAGTATTTCTCTCTAGATTTTTCTTATCCCAATGGTCTGATCTTACGGATAATTCTGTAGCTCTGTTAGAGCTCTGCACAGGTGCAGAGCTCTAATGAACCTTTGTTTTGCGTAGTTAGAGTGTTAGTATTTATCTATGCTGTAAAGCACATTAACTCCCTGATATGGTGAAAATCAAAGTTAGAGTTCTTCCTCTTCTTGGAGGTTGCTACCGTGTTGTTGAAAGCTAGTATGTATGAGTATAATAAGCTACAAGATCTCATAACAAGATCTCATTATCTCTCGCTTTATATATCTTACTCTCCAATCATCTCTTATTATGATTGGAGAGTAAGATATATAACATTTTAATGAGAAGGATAAGTGGTACATGGTGACCGGGGATGGGACGAAGGTCACCATTGGTAGACTTGGTCCACTTTTGGCTCCTCAGTCAATAGAAAGAGAGCAAGCCAAATATCGCAAGATTAACGAACAGGTTTTAAATTTATTGAATAAAACTTGTTAACTGACTGTTATGTTCATGGTCAATATATTATAGCAGACGGTTCAAAAAGATGACAATAAATATCTCTGTTTACGGCAAAAACTATCCAACATAAATCTCATGGCATGTGCATTGATGACCGACTAAAATAAACAAAAATGATTCTTGAAGATGAAAAAGCTGGCAATGTGATTGCACATATGGTCAAGTCAGATTACGTGTACAGGATTGGTGAATCAAACCTCATTTGAACATTGCAGTGTTCGCTTCACAATCCAGCACTCAAAAGGTGATTGCGGAGTATTGAAAGAACTCATGACCAGCAAAAGATCCACTCCAACGTGTGTTCTAGCATTAAATTTAGAGTTCATTGCTCAAAATTACACATGGAGCCAAACTTAGCCTGAAAAAAAACCTTATCATAACCTGCCTGATTGTCACAAACTAATAGGTACCCGATAAAAAAGATTTAAAAGTTGCTATAATTTTACTGCTGCTGAAGACAGAAAGAATCTGACTTTACTCGTAAATGTACAACTACATCATTGCGTTACTACCACTAACTAACTAAATCAGCGAGTACGCTTTCACAAAGTCACCTTGCTCTGTGATACGTGGAAAATTAGCAATCATATAAATGAGCCTTGCTTGCTTGCATTTCACCAAAACTGCAGCGGAACGAATTATTCTGCTCGAGCCCGATGAGGGAGCTTGGGCTGGGGAAGGAGCGATTGGGCTCCATATTGCTACGTCATACGTACATACAGAACAGACTACAGGGCATTGTACAGGGGAGCTGCCACGCAAGCATCACCGATTCTGCTCACGAAAGCGAGAAATCTTCACTTGTTGCTCCCGTTCCAACGTGGACACAAGGGGATCCGGTCCTACGCGGCGTGATGAGAGTGCGACCAGTACTCAGCAACCAGTCGAGCGAAAAGCGTCGAACTATTCTCCAGAAGCTTCATCGGCTGATCGTACTCCACCAGCAGACCTGCCATCATCACATCAATCCCACGTGGACAGACCACGTCAGCACCACGTCAGCAATCCGACTGAACATAACGAAAAGTGCTCGAAAAACGATATCGCGGAACAGAAAAGTAAAGTTCCTCCTTCCTCGATGGATTATAATCATTGGAGGTGTGCATTGGAGGATTAAATCACATGCGCGCTGCATTGGCTTTTCTCTCAAATGCTCTCATTTCTCTGGAGGTCTGACGAAACATAATGATGAACGAATGTATTCTTAAATCCGACATGCTTCCATGGCGGATACGATCATACAGAGCTCGCAAATGGGGGTATGGCAAATGGTTCCAAGTCTCTTACCATCATTTAGAGCCATGACCATGTCGCTGTCAATGACTGTCGGGATTCGATGTGCGACTGTAATGACAGTGCTGTCGGTAAACTCTTCGCGGATGACCTTTTGCAAGATGGCATCCGTGGTGTTGTCAATGGACGCTGTTGCCTCATCGAGAACGAGAATGCGATTGTGTTTCAGCAGCACTCTGCCCAGACAGAACAGCTGCCTTTGACCCACGCTCCAGTTCTCTCCATCATCAGTGACTGGATGCACCGAAGTAATGTATCAGAACGGATATATATATTCCAAACTCGCATCACTGACGGCCATGACAGCAACTCTCATCACTGGAAACTAATGCATGTCAACTACATGAAAAACTTGACATGTCATGCACATGTGAAAGTGAGGCTGCGACGACAAGAGCGCCAAGCAGAGGGAGGCATCGAAAGGGCAGTACCTTTGAAGTCTAGTTTCTCTTCCTTGTTTCGGATAACGTCACCCAGCTGACATTTTTCCAGAGCCTGCATATGCATCACAAATATTTAGGCGGAAAGCCATTTCTGACTCATCTTTGCACGGGTGTACAATTGAAGCTTTTTCTGTCAATTTCAATGGAGGCTATCAATTAAACTTGTGTCACGACAGATGTTGTGAACTTCATGCTCTCAATTACTGGTAAGCGGTCCTTGTATCGCCAAAAAAAGGGGAAGACTGCAGAGTGTGAAAAAGTTTCAGTACTAGTCTGCTTGAACTATCACTGTTAGCATTTATCCAGGAGGAGGGAGAACACAGCAATTCCTTCATGGTACTCACCATCCAGACATCCTCATCTGTGTGCTCTCCGAGTGGGTCCATATTGAAACGCACGGTCCCCCGAAATAGAGCTGGCTCCTGGGGTATGATACTCAACCGAGAGCGCAAGTCATGGAGGCCAATGGTCGAAATGTCCAGACCGTCGATGGTTATGGTCCCTGCAGATGGCTCCACGAGGCGAAACAGTGAGCTGATAAGCGTGGTCTTCCCACTTCCTGTGCGACCGACGACTCCTACTCTCTGTCCTGCTTCGAAGCTGCAAGTGATTCCCCTCAATACCAGAGGCGTGTTCGACCTGTACCGAACCTGCACGTTTACAGGAAACATCAGTTCGACTTCCCATCAGAATTGGCCTTGAGCTATCTCAATTGGTTGAAGCGACTTTTACAACTTGCCCCATAGTTTACACCGATCTCAGCGCATATCCAAGCATGTTCATCCTTAACAGGCGGGCAAGTTCTCAAGAAATGTGTTTCACCTGCAGATTGTTCATTTCGATCCGGCCTTGGGTAGGCCAGTTCGTCGGAGGGCGGGAGTCCTTGATAATGGCAGGAGCCTCGGGTTCGTTATACATGTATTGTTTCACACGCTCCACCGAGATGATGTGATTTGCCAGGACGCACTGATTGTTAACACTGGCCATCATGACCATATTGAGAGACAGGCCGTACGTCAACACCAGTCCGGCGAACCCTGTGTCCAAGTCGAAATTGCCAACATCGTTAGATCGATTCTGTCATGTGTATCATTCTGGATCAGAAGTCAGAAATCTGGAACGGTGTGAAACTCGGTCGGTCAGTCATGCGTGAGGAGTTCAGATTTATGAGCTGATAGATTCAGCTTCATCAATGTCATGATTCATCGACTGCAAGAAATGTATTCAGTAGAAGTAATAGTCCATCGCTGTTTGGAAAGAGCTCTACAGCGTTCATCCATGCATGAGTAAAGTTAGACTTGGCTGGTTGGTGCAGTGGATTCGAGCACCACTGGACATTTGAGTTTGCACGAGTAAAGAGAGTATGAGACAAGATTCTTACCAGGTTCAACCGTTCCAGAGGGCAGAAGAACCATGACCAGAGCACAAGAGCACAAGAGACAAGTACAGAGAAAGTCCAAGCGTTGGGTGAGCCACTCGTTCGCTGAAATGGTGTGAAAGAAAGGAGCAGCATTTGAGTTCACGTGCTCCTCATTCTTCCTCTTGAATGTGTCCTCTCTTCCAAAAGCCCGAATAGTTGTTGCTCCGGCGATCGTTTCTCCGAAATGATTCACTACTGGGGACTTGGATGTGGCGTTGATTCTCATCAACTGTCTTGCCGAAGTCAGATAATAATGCTGCACACGATGGACACATACAGTCAGTTGATTATCAGCAGTCAGTTCCTGCCTCTCTAAATCCCATCCAAGTACAGGATCGAGAGGCATTTCCGATCTTACAGACACTACCGTGCAACGATCAATAGCATAAAAATACTGGAAGATCTAGGAATTCGGAAACGAACCTGAAGCCATCTGTTGATGAAGATCACTGGGATCACAACGATCAAAGTTTGCCAAGTGACCACAGCTGTCACCGCCAAAGTGGTCAAAGCGTTCATGGTTGACGAGATTGTGAAACCGAAGGCCAATGGGACATCATTATCCAGAATTTGTAGGTCTGATGATATCTGGAGAATCAAAGACAGCCAACCTGAATCAGAACATGCACAAAAAATACGCCAATCTCCAAAAAGATAGCGTGATGACAACCCATTGCAAGAATAACACCTATACCAACAATGACACTAGCAGTCTATGAATTGTTCTATGAATTGTTCCCATATCAGCAGCTGATTGTTTCGATAACAGAACACACAGATTTCGCAAGAGCTTACCCGACTTAGAATCCTTCCAAGCGGAGTAGAGTCGAAGAAACTCATAGGAGAGCGGAATATAGAGGTCATCAACCTCGAGTACAGAACTCTGGATGTAGCCATACCCATGAAAAACGAAAACACGGTACGCAGGGCAACAAATCCAGCAGAACTAAGGTTTATCGCCGAATAAACTCCAACCAAGCGGGCAAGAGTGATCTTCGGGTTCTCGACTTGTGACGCCATCCACCAGTTGCTCATCACTTGCCCCGAAAGGAAAATTGTGACAACCCCGACGGCGCCCAGGAGGTACAACCATCCTCTGGCTTGGGTGAGGTACTCGATGAACGGGGCCAAGCCAGAGTCACCTGTTTCCTGCTCTTCCTTCTTTACGAGCTGGACCTCATTCTTCCAAGACCCTGCCACTGAAGCCTGCACTTCCTTGCGGCTCGACGAGTCGGAATCAGCAGTTTGTAAAAGGCCTGTGGAGTCATTGAGGTGTTCACCATGAAGATTCATAGTTTCCACGTGGGCGCTGACAAGCTCTGCGAACGCACTGCCAGTTGAGGCTAGTTCGCTGTACCTTCCTGATTGAATAATCTGCCCATCCTTCAGAAGCTGCAGGGAAAAGCGAATCCTCGTCAGAAGGAACATTTGAATACAACAACAAGGTTCACCACAAGCATAAAACCAATTTGATCATGCTGAAAATCTCGAGCTTACTTACCAGAATCATGTCGACAGCCGGTAAAAATTCCACCTGATGTGTGACTAAAATCACTGTCTTGGATAACAGAACACCTCTGACGCAATCCTGCACACGATTCACCGTGTATGTTACTTTAAGGTTCTACGAAGCATGCTAGGACTCCCAGGACTTCACATTTTCCGGTGATGGATCCGATACTTTCATGCGCTGGGAATAATAGTGTAAAACCAAAGATAAGAGTGCATGCCGAACACACTACACGAAACTATGTAAAGCAGATCTCTTCCACACATAGTTCACTTTCCTCGGTGCTCTACATGAATGACGCTTCGGCATTTTCTCTTCTAAAACCGCGACTTTTTTTATAAAGATCCAAAACCTTATGTCATGATCGCAACAAAATCACACGTTCACAACTGAGCACCACGAGGAGTTGAAGACTATTTTTGTGAGAGAGCAGATGTTGAGACCAATTCAATGAGCCTACTTTAAAAATGCTTGAGCCAGTGTGGGCATCCACAGCGCTGAACGGATCATCAAGAAGGTAAATGTCAGCATCTTGGTAGACTGCTCTCGCCAGCTGTATGCGCTGCTTCTGACCACCGCTCATGTTGATGCCCCTCTCTCCTATTTCAGTGAGATCTCCATATTCAAAACCTTGAATGTCTGATTCCAACGCGCAGGCTCGAATGGTCTCTTCATATCTACTTCTGTCCATGGGTTTCCCGAACAGAATATTATCTCTTATCGTTCCACTCTGTATCCACGCCGTCTGTGCTACGTACGCGATGCTGCCCGACACTTTTATCTGCACGGAAGTGAGGACATCGTGTCAACATTCTTCTTGGAGACGAGAATCAAATTCGGAAAGATACTCCCCATCAGTTGAAGACCGAGGAGACAGATGAGCACTTGCATAGAAGGTGTTCGCTACTGAAGGTATTTAAGGCAATTAAATCAAAGGCTTCTCGGACAGCAAGAAGATGTGGAAGAGAAAATGCTTACCTCCCCAGAAAGCTTGGGTATGTCCCCAAGGATCGAGTAGATAAGAGTGGACTTTCCAGCTCCGACAGTCCCACAGACGGCCACGTGCTGTCCATGCTTGATTTCCATACTGATGTTTCTCAGTGTTGGAACTGCATCTGCACTGTCCCAGCTGAGCACTGCTTTCTGCATGCTGATGGCAACATCTCCACATTTGACTTGGGTCCTGTCAACTGCATCAGCCTGCAGTTCATCCTCTTGCAGAAATTTGGTTATCCGTCCCAAAGCCACTCCTGCTTGGATGACTGCAGCAAACACATCTGGAAGAGAACGTATGGGCTCCTGCACGATACGCAGTGTAGCTAGAGCTGTGAACACGTTGCTCGCATTCAGAGGGATGTCGAGGAAGACACAGGCACAGAAAGTAGCCGTGGACACAAACACCGGAGTCATCCAGAACACAAGGGACTTGACGGTGCGATGAATCTGAGTTATTTTCAGCCATCGCACTTCCTCTGTTCGCAGCTTGCCAATCTCCTCCTGGAACCTCAGCTCCCAAGCTTGCAGCTTCAAAATCTTCATGTTCCGGAGGGCTTCCGAGGTTGCTCGTAGCCTGTTATCCTGAGCGGCCATGAGACGATTCACGCTTCGGTGCTCGGCTCTGGCCAGAGGAGTGTTCAATATCATGGTGCAGATGATGACGATCAAACCTGCGATCGTTGCCCATTGAACTGTGTACGAGAGAATGGCCAAGGCGATGGTGATTTGCACAGGCGTGGTCCACAGCTTATGCAGCCAGTCTGGAGCTTCTCCAACTCGGTAAGCATCCACCACCATGTAGTTCACCACTTCACCAGTCGAGTGCCTCTGTCGGCCTGCGCTCGACAGTCTCAGCTCCTTGCGGAAGATGGCGCCGATGAGAGACGAGCGCAGATGCATTCCCAATCTCCGACTGCCGAAATTCCACTGCCGCTGCGTAAGAGACTCCAGCATTTTGGCCGAGAACAGGCCCAGCACGATGACGTAGCCATCATACGGAAAGAACCGAACACCAGATGCGTATTTGATAAATGTATTGAGCAGCATTGGGCCCGAGAGGGCCATGGACACTTTCAGAAAAGCAAAGAACCCTGTGGCGGCCAGGCTTTTCCAGTAGCATGCTGCCAGGACGGATAAGACGGTTGGTTTTCTACCGGGATTCTTCTCCTTCTGATTCTTCCACTCTCTTATGAATCTAGCTATGGCTGCTTCGCTCCTGTCATGAGGGCCTAGGCTAGGCACATCGCTGTGCTCCAAGGGCTGCTTATAACCCTTCCTCAGCAGCGGATCGAGCCAAAAAAATGCTGCTCGACTTACGATCCCAGCTGTGGCAAAAGGCGTGATATTCTCACCAGACTTCTCGATGATATCAGCATTATCATCAGACGAGCTTCCTGGCAGAAGAGGCTCTTCGGCACTGCCCTTCAAATCATTGTTTGACTTTCTTCTCAGACCCCTGATCCCGAGAAGGAGGTACATGCAGAACACTGGCCACGACAGCACAGCCCAAAGTCTCAAAGCAAAAACCCCCTTGGCAGACACCAGGTCTGCTGCGGACAAAATTGCATCGAAGGTGCCGAGCAGAAAAGCTATTATCCACCATATGCGAAGAAATGTCTCGATCTTGTATCTGACTTGTGCTTTGGCACTGTATGCCAGGAATATCCAAGTGCATCCCTGGGCTACTGCTACAGCCCACTCGTGCACTGCTACATGCTGAGTTCCTTTCCAGTTCCATGCCACGAGCCATGAGGCAAGTCCCACATTCCCGACTCCAGCTACTGCTGCCGCCCAGCAGGATCCAGTGACGAGGAGCGAAGAATCAACTCGAGATTTTCCAGTGAACTTCACTGAAGCCCTGCTGGGACGATAGAGAGCTGATAACAGGAAGACAAAAAAGAGGGCCAGAAAAAACAGCTGGGTTCCTATACTGACAGCGTGTCGAGCGCAAGGTGCAATGGCAAGAGCTGATCCCAGCCCCGGCGTACTCTCGACTAACTTTACCCAGTGCTCGCATGGCTTTCCACAGCTGTTCTTTTGTGACGGTTCTGCATTATCACAGAACGTGGTCCATATGCCTGCAGGCAAGACAAACGAAGGAGAACACATGCCACTAGTGAGCAATTTACAACATGTGTGCACGAAAAGTAGCAGGTAGAAGTGTCAATCCAGGTCAGAGATTGATCTAGACTCAAGCTTACCGTCCAGCATCGCTACTGCGTTGAAGCTACCGCCGCTTGACTTCTCCTCTGGTTGAGTTGCAGTATCTTTTTGGGCCCTGAAACATCAGATTGCTCATTCGGTCATGGAATCGCTCGAACAGACACGACAAGAAATCTTCCGTACCGACTGACAGATGCATAGATTCACAAAGCATCCATGCGGGACCAACACTAATCCTCAGGCAGCAGACATCCTCGTGCTGTCACAGACATCTGACGTAAAGAGCAGGTGGGGTCAATTGTTTTGTCTATGTCAAAGTCGAGACGACCAATGCAGAGAGCTGACAAAAACTCTCTTTTACGAAGTTTAGCTTCCCGAGATGATTTCGTCATCTCCCACACGTAGTTTTGTATGTCTCAACCGTGAATCAGCAGAATCCCTCGAGAATCAGCAGACTTCTCTCTCCGTGACCCTTAGCAGAATCGGATGATGGAACGAGATAGTTTCGTCATCTCCTAAACTTAGTTTTGTATGTCTCAACCGTGAATCAGCAGAATCCCTCGAGAATCAGTAGACTTCTCTCTCCGTGACCCTTTCCAGAATCGATAATGGACCATTGGAACATGGAAACTGTCAGCTACACCAACTCAAGGTAAAGGAACAGCTGTACTGTATGAATCTCTCCACCAACCGTTACATGACGTGATACATGAATGAAACGTCTTGAACATGTGTCCGGAGCCCAATCGTCCATTTTCAAAGTAGAATTTGATAGAATTGGAGGTCTGTGTCATGCACTTCAAGGTACAAGCTTTACCGTAAAGGAGATCTATTGACCGTCAACAGAGTCCACAAAGTACCAAGACCAGTGATCTAAGGCTCAGCTTAAGATGTAATTGTCCGAACACTGGATTCGCTTTTCAGCATTCATCGTCTCATCATTTCAATGAATTCGGTTGGAGTGGGATGTTTCATGGCAACTGAAGGTAGACGTGCAATAAGTTACAGCATGATGGTCACCGGCATCTGGTGGACGGTGTCCGAGACCTGAGAAATGTCAATCTTTTCGAACTAACATTACTCATTCCTGACTAGAAAGGGGATGGAAGTTACTGACACACCAACCTTTAGGAGAGGCCCAAACTCAGTTCGGCTCGAGCAACGACGCAGTGAGATGCACACTGTGAGAGCGCGAATTGTCGACGAGCGGGCCAGACGCTTTATGAATCTCAATTGCGCTGACCACTCGTGCCGCTCTCCACTCGAGGAATCAGACGCAGGCAGAGCCAGACCAACGAGAAAAGCCTGGACGACATCCAGATTTTGTACATGTAGTAATTGAACAGTAAATTCTGCCCTTGCCCCTGTGGAGATGAAAGGAGAGGAAGATGCTTTCAGGAACACTGTCTGTCTCTCTCTCCTTCTCTCTCTTGCGATCGAGAGGACACTGGATCTCAGGAGCTGTTCATGGCTTTAAGTAGACAGAGCTTCGGCTGCAGCTGCAGCAGCAGCAGCTGCTGCCAACAGCATCGGGATGATGACTTTCATGGCACAGAGACATGACAGACCACTCAATGAATGCAGTTACTGCATCCAACCAACCGGTAGAGTCATATGCCCTCTCACTCAGGACAAGCAGAATATTCTTCCCCACACAAGAATAGCCATGACATGACATTCCTTGCCATGGCCGACGAATGATGGCGATTACTTGCATACATTTTATTGGGGCTAGCCCCATACTAGACGTACGGTTTCATGGGGGGCCTTCCAATATTTTTCGTCGTTATTCTGGTGGACTCTTGCCACGCAATAATTGCCTTGACCGAGTCAAGGCTTTCTTTTCATGCTTTTCTCTCTCTCTCTCTCTCTCTCTCTTTCTTTTGCTTCTATTTTGGCTTTTGCGCTCTCACAGGCATTGCCCTGCGGTGGAGGCAACCGGTTCCCGTGTATCGTGTCATACAGAACAAGATGCTGGTCCCCTCCAGATCTGCTCTTTCTTTCCTTGTTCGGTGGTCATGGGGAAGGCCCATTACAATTTTAGCAAATGATGATGGAGTCCTCCAATCCTTATTCCCATACTGCTCGCAATTGAGTGTTTTAGTGAATATGCACTCCACTCCCCATTCAGCTGCAATTATATCTGACCAACATACATGTCCACTGGAAAAGGTGCTCCGGTCGGAACTTTGAAATCCACGGCCAGTCTCTGGCAGTGAGAAAAAAATTTAATCCTCTACAATTTCTTTGTCCTTTACAAGCTCTCGGAGAGTAATGTAATGTTTGCAGATAGATACAAAGTTTATAGGCAAGCTCCATGCAATGCCTACGGGGATTGATTCTCTACACGTTTCAGGAGTACGCAGCGTGAGCTCCTACAACTCCCACAGAGCTCTCACTCCTCAAAAGATCTGGATTGTACGTATGGGCAAAAGTAAATTGGTCTGGGAAATTTGTTGTTACGCAGGACGACGATGCACTCATGGACGCAGGCAGGTGATAGGAACCCGTTCTCCATGCCACCTGAATGCAGGGACGGGCGTTGATCCTACCATGTCTAGAACTACATGGACAGCCTCAGAAGCTCAGAGGCTCCTCAGAGGCTCAGACGATCATACCTACCACAGTAATGAAGTCATATTGCTGACCTTGCGTGTGATCATGATCTCCGGTCCTGGTTACCCGCCGCGTTTCATCCTCGTACGTCGTGATGGGGTCTTCACATCGCTTGGCTACTCACTTGCTGTCCTGCAAAGGCACGCAGTCTATGCCCCAGGTCCAGGTCCTGCACCGGATGTACACCATCATCACTTCATACACTTGCGAGTTCAGTACAGTTCTCGAGCCCTGCCTGCTGCACAAGCCATTCCATGGATTCCTGGTTATCGAAGAACTTCTGATTCCCTCCTCAGAAATCTCGAATCGAACAAAAGGGGCGGCCAAGCCAATAGCCATCTCTGATGGCGGTGAAGCACGTGTCATGTCGATGATTTCTGCAGTTTGTCTTTCCTCGAGGAAAGCGATCGGCTCGAACACGATCTCGCCGAATTCTGATTGGGAAGTCTCGCGCAAGAATATCCTCGCGACCTCAGCGGCTTGCTTACATGTCACAGAGAGTGGCACTGTCGACGTGTCATGCCGCTGACATGACAAGTCACTGTCTTCACCGGGGAGCTGAGGCGTCCACTCGGACTGGCGTCGGTTGACGTGGACACCTGTTTGTCAACCCCGGTTTCTGTGTCGTCAAATGGGCTAAATAAAGTCGAGCCATGGCGCTGACCGTTGCAAAGTCCAAAGGTGCTTCCATGATCCGTTGCATCCATCGAAACGCGCATCGGGGGGATTCAGGACGTTCTGCTGTTGCTCCTGCTGATGGCGGGCATTTGGGTTCTAACTTCAACGTTTGCAGTTTTTCATCAATGACACCGATGCATGATGAAGATGTGGAGAGATGAGCTCAATTCATGCACCCATCATGATCGTTTACTTATGTCTACATGCTCTTCCTTACTTCAGATGAGTTCCAAATAATTCCATAGCAATATGGACTAGAATTCCACATATTCAGAACTTCTTATGGTGTGTCAAATTTATACGAGGGCAACTACAACATTAGCTCTAATTGCTTTTGGATAGGTTTTCACATACAAAAGTTGTCATATATATATTTATAATAATTTATTTATATTTAACATAAAAAATCTACAAATGTCACATAAACATCACTACCACACTCAATATTAGAAACTGGATGCTCTTATATCAAGTAGTATTCTACTCCGTTGGTTTGAGTGGTCAATGTGAATAGATCAATAACTACAATGTATAATCAGTCATCTATCTGCAATCCATACCATATAAAATGAACTTGCTTGCTAATGTCGTGGAAGTTCTCTCTACTTCACAGTGGCCTCCATCCATCATACATGAGGGTATAAGGGCTCCACAAGTATCTAAAACATCCACATAACTTGTCTCCATATGATTGATGAAATGTGTGCTCGTGTCTCTATCGATCGGTGGATTAAGTATCGACACCCTCGGGAATGGCCCAGACAACAACAGCTCGCAGAAGCCCTTTTGAAGAGGTGGCAGTAGGGTCATTACACAACTTCCGGAGTTTTGGAGCTAACGCTAATTTCGAGCTAAAAATGCTTGTAAATGGAAAACTACAGCAAATTTCTCGCATCGGATTGCGGGTCCTTCCAACGAGAATGACACCTCCCCATCCCATAGTTCGTTCTATCATCTGGCATTCTCGATGACGTGCATGTTTCCATCCGTCCAGCTCATGCAAAGTGAGGCACTTCCATAAGCTTGTAATGGCTCAGTATTCAGCCTCCTCACAGAAACATAATATAAAAAAAGAGACCTGCCAGAGCTTTGATTGAGTGTTTTTTTTCCCGCTATTATTTTTTTCTTTGAAAAAGCTGAAAGTTAAATATGACGATGGAATTCAGAAGGACGCATGGAATTCAAACAGTGAACGAAGAAAGTGAATGCTGTAGAGGATAACAAAGAGGGGCGGAAAGAAATCTCAAAAAAAGCCAAAAAGACGTCTGTTAACAGTATTACTATATCACTTAGACATTTTGGGACATGGGACATTCCCACTGTGATAATTTCAGTCTTGGGACGAGCGCCTGCAAGCTCCCATATATGCACGTGAATGCATGGGTTCCATATGTTACTCTTATATGGCAAGTACATTTTCAATTCATGCCATTGTCACAAACAAAAACAAAAAACAAACAAAAAAAAAAGCCATGGAGAACATGGGGCAGATTTTACAGCCCTTAGCTTCAACACCCTCGTGACAACATTGACTGCTTCTGTGGCGGTTGGAAAAGTCTGCCCAAATATCCTACCGGCGAACATCTCAACTATAGACAAGTGAAGTGAAGGGAGGGGTCTTTAACTGACAACACTTGCTTCTTTGGAATTGGACGACCAACCATTGTGGACCCATGGTGCTCGATCGTGCGAACATGTTGATGACCAAACAGATCCATAAGAGAGTGATATTTGATCAAGAAGGTGGTAAGTGGTCGTAACAATCAAAAGCCTACTACCCCATTTGTCTGGTAAGAGAAAGAAAAACAAATTTGCATGGCCAGAGTTCTAGGGTCTGTGAAAATGCATGTATCCATGCAGATAATACTGTTCTCTTTTCTGTATCTTCTGTGTATTTACGACTGACGGTAAATGCGAAAGAGAAGATGATATAATGGACACGGGAGAGCTTCAGTCATTGTGAGTCGAAACTATGCCCGTATTTGAGATTTAAGAGACAATACTTAAATTAGACCAGAATTGGGCTCCATCGGTACTACAACTGAAGATTATGGAGAATTAGAATATTTTCTAAATCCTTACTTTTAGAGGTACATCAGAGTTTCCATTTGTTGCATAGTGCAAATTATGCTTTGGAAATTTATTATCGCTCCCCTTTAATTTAGTTTATGCACCCACACTAAATCTTACACGTCATTCTTCATTAAATACTTACCCATGTTAAGCATAGACTTTATTTTAAATAGTTATGTGAAAATACTAAACTTCGGATATTTCTTATCTTACTCTGCACTTAGTAATTCAAATGAAAATCATTCAAATCCTCAAACATGCGTTCGATTAAGATACAATAGAATCCTTGTAACTGCTGCCATGCAGGCGGGAAATGGTAATCTTGACGTAATTATCTTCTAGTCACGCTGTTGGCTTCTTTCTCCACTCAGCCTTACCTCAGTTTGTGTGGCTATTTGTTGAGTCTCTTAAAATTCGCAACGAATTTTAAAATCAGCTTTGAAAATGTTCCTAAAAAACAAGAATTTGTTTGAATACATTCAATAAATAAAAAACCAGAATTTGCTTCATTTTTAAAAAAACCCCTCGAAGTCTGCAGTGGGATTTTGCTATGCACTAAGTAGTTCCAAAGTCAGAGGTCAAAGTAATCAGAAGGTGAGAGAAGTATCAGCTCTAGTCCATGATCGACTTTGGCATTCTGCTGGAAAGGGCTCCGAGACTCACACATGGCTTCTCTCTCTCTCCTACTCTTACTCACAACCAACAATGAAAAGAGCTAGAAAGTCAGATTCCATCATCTCGGGTGACAAGGCGACATGAAACTCAGTAGGGAATGAGGAGACTAGTCTTTCATCACGGTGACAGATTCCACTGTCTGTATTTCCCCATAAGTCTGGACACGAAACTCACACGAGATAAACGCCACCTGGAAATGATGGCAGATTATGGAAATGCCAGGACCCAGGAATCCGTACGCGCCAGCATCTGCTAGTGCAGGAATCCGCCGCCGTACGTGAGGTCGAAGTGGGAGAGCATAATAGCAATAAGGTTCGGCAGCAGGAATAGGAGCTTCACCGAGCTTCATTGGATGAAATATGAACTCCATTGCTTCTGTTTGGACCCTGCGGTCTTTTGTTCTCATCGACCCATTTGTGTGGTCATATCATCGACACCCAGCGTTACAAGAGAGAGACATCATGAAGTCCACTAGACCTTGCCTCGGAGATCCGAATTACTTGCACGGGGTACAAATTTCAATCGTATCTTCATATCAGATGGACCTTTCCCAGAGATGATCCGTCAGCTGAAATTAAAATGAATCAGATTCTCAGGATTGGAGACGGTGCATAACCTACGACCTACGAATATTTCTGCCTCAGGGAAAAGCAGTATTTTGATTTAAGGACTGTAGACTTTCTGATTCTGAAATGCAGAAACAGACGAAAACTGAAGAACGATCTTCATCTAGAGCTTTCGTACCAGCTACAACGCCACTGCGACAGAACTGGCCAGACAAATCTGAGTCCTTCCCTCCCTGCCTGACAAACATGAAGTATTATGAGCCCCTCCATCTTCTTCTGGTAATCACGTGGCAACCGCTCGTACGAAATCCGAAATTTACTTCCTGTCAAATCCTTCCCGATCTCTCGATCGATCATTGCAAGCACGTTCGGGTAACTGAAAAGGGGAGTTTCGTATTGTACAGGAGTCCTGACTAGAGCATCCATCACATACCCAGTCGAGCGTCACATAGTTGCTTCACTGATCGAATTGAAGTGGGTGCACTGCACACTAACACATCTATCTATCTAAGTACATCAAATGCACATTGTGGGGGAAGCTCTGGACTGTGCTCAAGATGTCATATTGCCCAGGCCAAGTAGATGTAGAAAGATGGGTAGAACCATCAAGAGGTGCGAGGAACGAAGTGGGATTCTGGGGCTAGGCCCAGTAGCTTCACTATGTGGAATATGTCACACAGGAAATAAATTGTTTGAACTATCAACAAATGACAGAAGCTTCTAACATTATCATGATTGTTCTCTACTGATTATAACAATTGTAATGGAAACAAGTTGAATGAGATAGGTTGATGAATATGTGGCAATAAGGATGTGACTACTGGGTTGAAAAAAAATTTCCATGTGCTCAAGGTAAGTGTGGTTTAAATTCGAGGTTTTGTGGCACACGTTATTGGCACTATATTCGACATGGGGATCAAGGTACACGGAACTAGTTTTAGGGACTGACATATGGTGTTGGAAGCAGGATCATCAAACGGTTAGTTCCCTCTTGTAATTCACGATGAAATCGACAAATGTAGTCTTCGCTGGTCTTGCAAAAGTCAAGGGCCGATTGAACGAGGAGTCTCAGTTTGTCGGTTGAGTTTTAGCTTTTGGCCTTTTCCTTTTACCCTGTCTTGTCATATGGAGCCCTACTTGACAATGCAGTTTGTGGAAACCATTCGGTTGTATTGGCCTACAATCGCCGTCCGTTGTTGTTGCCTCTCCGTTCGAATTCCAGCCGAGGCAAACATAGGAGGAAAACAATTTCATCAGACTATTCGATGATTTGTCAAGATGGCAGACACTGTGGTTATTCTAGTCAGTAGTTTGCCGATCTGGCGTATGAATTTCATGAGGGTGAAAACTTGTTGCATACATGGTTAGCAATCTCGTGAGTCCAAAACTATGTTCAGTGCTTAAGGAATGGGCTGTCATTATTCTAAGGTGTTGGAATCAATAATAGGCGATGAAACTCCTCCGCACTTAAAGAATTCACAAAAGACTTCGAAGTGAATCTCAACCGAGAAATATCTGGAATCGTTTGTCAACCTTTGACGATGGAGAAACGAAACGAACCGAACCAAACCAAACCGATGACAGCAGTATGTAGAATCACGAAAAGTCCATGAACAAGAACGGACCGATAACTACTGCACGCTGAGCAAAAACCTTTTGGACGATGCTCTGGAATCGTGCGTGGGAGAACGTGAGATTCATTTCCACTGTGAAACCATCTGCTGCAGAAGTCCACAGAGCTTTCGATTTTTGGAGCTCGTTCTGGCTGTTCTGGCTACAATATAGGCTACGATTCTTATTTTCAGATTCTTTACTCGTCAAAGAGCTCGAGTCACCATGCGGAACGGAAGGATCAGATCTGAGGCGTTTCATGAAGCAGCAATAAGACTATGGAAACCAAACATTTGAATCACAATGAGAGAGAAAGTGTAGAGCTACGGTCCGAACAAACTCTGAGCAGACAGCAAGCAGCCTTCGAAATTCGAGCCCCCCTGATCCGACAAAAGGAACTGACGGAGCTGGATAATGACAAGACGTAGCACGCAGTCCCACCACCCTACTGCGCAGGAATGTATGTGGCCACCTAGAACCTGCACCCGTGACAACCGCGTCCACCGATCGAATCGACGCACAAGAACACGAGCGAGCGAGCGAGCACCGACAGGGGTCGTTGCAAAGGTCCGGTTTTACCGAGGGTCCGAGGGAGCAGTAGTGGTACAGTTCGTTCGAGTCGGAGATTCAGATCATGGCTCAGAGAGAGAGAGAGACAGACAGAGGAAGGTACAAGAAGGAAGACGCTGCGTGATGTCACCTCCTCATGCCTCACAAGGGTACGTGGGGTAGATGCATGCCATGGCGCCAGACAGTTGCTTCCGTCATGACGTATCCGAATTTGGCGAGACAAATGACAGTCGCTCACAGTGTCACTCGGGGGCGGGTCCTGACTTCTGAGCTGCTGCCGACGCCGTCCTGTAATTAGCTCTGGCCAGTCCAGCCAGTGCCAGAGGCAGGCAGAACGGCCGGACGGGAGTTCCGCGGATGCGGATTGGTGATGGAAAGCTGATCTTCGCCACAAGATTCAACTTCGCAGAGAGCCATAGGAGCACTTTGAAGGAGTCGAGGAAGGTTCCGGGAGAGGTTCGCAAGGCCGATGTACAGTCCTTGGACCCATATTCTAGACGTCATATCACCTGAGCACATAAGAGAAGGCCAGGCTAAATCACTCCGAGGACGAGTGGCGGATCTTGGGACGATTTTGGAAGGTAGAAGACTTTTGCCTGGCTGGATGGATGGATGGTGCATTTGTGTAGCTCAGCTCTATACACAGGGTATACATATAAATATAAGCATGTCCTTGATTCTGGCCTGGCAACGTCCTTGCTCAGGATCTAGACTCTTGGTTTGCTGTACATATTTCACTGCACGTGTAAGCTTGGCGATAAGTGGGGAAAAGGGTGCCGGAGGGGAGACAACTGAAGGGAGGGTAGAGCAGTGCAGCAGCTCAGATCAGATCTAGCTATGGCTAGGTGATATGGATTTGAAGATTTCCACATACTAAGGTGGCATAGCTAATCTAGAGCTGAGGAAGGTCCCGTGGGAGATTCATGGGCAATAATTTGGATTAAACAAATACAGATTGAATTTGCTTTCACATGGCCCCATATGAGGCAGACCCCGTCGATTGGATGCTTGATATGTGGCTTGCAGACCAACAGCATCTGCCCTGCTTTTCGTGAAAAGGGCTCAGTGGAGTTCATAGGATCAAGTTTGCTAGATCCTATGGTGATGGTGAAGTCCTACAGGCTGAGCCCAGGCTTTATGGAAATATTAGCCATCTTATGAGGCATTGTAAAACTAGTCCTTTGCTTTGAGCAACTTTGTTCCTGCTTCTCATGGTCCTTCTCAGAGTTGGCTTTCTGCTTCACCACCTCCACAACAAGTCAAAACATGCACGCTCGTACTAGTCGATGTATTATTTTTTTGCCATGTATGACATGACCCACTTTGTCAGACGTACGAATCTTCATGCCGCAGATCATGTGTTTTACAGTGTTTGCCTTAGAAGATTCGGCATACAAGAGGATAAGTCTTAGAGAGGATTTGTGTTCGAGCTCATCAGATTCAAGCACCTAGAACCCAGCAGGAGGAGGCTGCGAGGAGAAGGAAGGGAAAAGGCAGCGAGACTGAGGTCTGTTATATTTTGCAATGCACAGAAGTCAGTCTGTGTTCACTCAGAGCTCGACTTCGCGCCTTATTTGAACCAGTCGATCACGACTGTCAAGCTTAGGTAAGTGAAATATTAAGCAATGCACTTAAAGCAGATCTCTTGACTGAACAGATCTGGCTGGAGTGAAGTCGATTTCTCACTGGACAAGTGTTCTGAGCGGCAACAGGGCAGGGCAACAACAGGCAGTCGTTGAACTGGATAAATTCTTTCACAATAAAGCCCAACTGGATGTTGCATCGTTCGTCTGACGGCTGTTTCTTCTGCCTTGCAATCATCCAGATCCAGAACCTGTTTGGTTCCTATCCCTTCGAAAGGAAATGCTAAACTCAGGATCCGTGGTGTTAAGAAGATTATCTGAAGATCACATTCAGTTATCTCCAATCCTTCCTTCATAACTTGGACGAGTTATCATGCAACATTTCGGACGCTGTCAGCTTCAATTTGTGTACAGCCAGAGGGGCTTAGTCTACCTTTGTCTCAGTCTCTGTTGAGGACTTCGCTTTCAGCCTCAAGGTTTTGTAAACATCATTATGTGACAATTGACCAACTGTAAGAAGGTACCAACTCTGGACCACCTTGCACATGTTGGTACCTCTGAATCAACCTTGCACATAACCACATTAAGATCTGAAAGCCACCCAAAAGCCAGAAAGGCGTGGGTCGTCTCGAACGGAGATTGATCTGGATTATCCTTAATCCACAACCAAGAGGCTGGCAACAACGTGGATCAATAACAGTATTCGAAGAGAGCACACTGGATAGACACCTCAATCAAACTCTTTAAGGGAATGTGTAAAGTGAGTGCCATCTGTTGGAATGCTGCAGTCTTGTAGGAATCAGCACTTCAGTGCTGATTACAACTCAAATTAAAATATCATGATCGGATCCCTTGAGTAAAGGGAGTGAGGAGACTTGAAGGCGCACTTTTGTTTTTGAAACAACGAGATATTCACATAGTGGGCCATACCTGTTGAACTCCATAGCCAGGCAATGAAAAACAGCCAGCTGCACTGAGCATGAGCAGTACTACGATGTACAGGGTCTGAGAATGTGAGCTGACGCTCAGAGCTTGGAGGTCAAAATTGAAACCAGGGAACAGAAGAGGTTTGAGAATTTTCTCAGCAGCAGAAACAAGAAACTGAGTCCTGGACTGACCACACCGCAAGCAACGAGAGGGGACAGAGAAAATTGTCAGCCACACTTTGCTTCGGCACTGCAGAGGACCCGAGTGTCAAATCCATATATGACCTCGAGTCGGAATTAGCATCCCCCGAAACTCATCATCTTCTTGCTCTTCTCGCTGTGACTGACGCCCCTCTCTGATTTTCTCTTGAATGAAGAGAGAGGGAAACGAGTTCATCCAACAGAAGTGCGTGGATACAATGACTCCAACACCCTTCGCTGACTAATTGAAACCTCATCGACCGATCAGTAAATGCCTCGTATCTTCTTCCTCGTAACCTTCTGCTTCCGGAGACGAGCTTTCACTCCAACCTTATCTCACCGATGATACCAACCAAGCTTCTCAAGGGAGGACAGTCCCTCTACTTCGATGCAGAAGCAAATGGACTCCATCAATCTCAGAACTTGTGGGCGTTCGTGGTTCTCAGCGCTCGGAGGAGATCGTCTGTGCCTCCTACAACTCCCGAATCTTGCCATTCTTCAGCTATGGCAGGTTGTTAAATTTGTATGCATTCCTGGTTTTCTCCATGGAGCTTGCATGTCAGTTCATGTCATCGACTCTACAATGGACAATGAATGGTCGGATGAGTCCAGTTGAAGGAAGCAATCGGGAGCAAGGACTGCTGGTGACTGATTGCTGCTGCTGGTTTCAGAAGCAAGGTTTGCAGGCCTCGAGTGAGTGCCGTGTGGTCGATTCCTTGGCCGCTGGCAAAGCGATGATTATTATAAGCTTGAACAATTCGTACCTGTCCTAAGCACGATTAGGCAGATCCTACTTTTCCCCGACGATTGACTTTCCGAATTTCCCTAGCATCAAGTGACCCCGAGTGCCACCGTGCTCTGCCAGCACGGTGCGCCGGTACAGGTCGCTCCAATGACGATGAAGCCCACACATTCACATTCCAGTCTGCATCGGATCTTCTTCGAAAGAAGACGAGGCAATGGTCCCCCGGTTGACGAATTCCGTAAGGGGCCCGGCTCTCGCCCTCGAGCAGCACGAGCAGCAGCAGCAGAACGTGTTGCGAACTGTCAGTCTGAAGAAAAAGACTTCTCCGCCGCTCGGCGAACGCGACCTTCCCCGCACGCGATTGGATTTCATCCTATCCTGCAATCGATCGATAGTCCGGGTCGACCTGTGGACTCTGCCGCGTGCGCTGCGATGGTCAACAAAAGCGCGAAAGAGGGAGGGAGAGAGAGAGAGAGAGAGGAGCAGAGCTGACGGCAGAGGAGACCCGGACAGAGAAGCACACGGTCCAATTCGCCGTGCCCTATTGCACATGCGATTCTGCAAACTGAACGAGCATCCACTCTAAAGATGCACGAGGAGGACGGCGGAGGCAGGGGCGAGAGAGGAGCGATGGTGCTTCAAGAACCCCGTGGCGGACCGATCGGCAGATGTTGATGCGAGTCGAAGCCCGAGGAAGCGCGAAGGCGAGCGAGAGCGAGAAGGAGGTCGAGAAGAGAAGGAGCGAGTTTATGCCGCGGGGAGGCCTCAATTTCTGCAGCCGGATCGCGACATTTCAGGCCTCTGGTCTGATGCTGATGCCGAGTTGACTTGTTTATTATAAAATATTTGTGAGTAATCGCCCGTGTGATGGTGATGCTCTGTTCTTCTGCTAGTTGTTGATCGACCGTGTTTGCGCGAGAAGGCTCGGAGGCGAAACAGGGCTGCGAGTCAACCGCGTTGGACTGAGGCGGAGAAAACCTCGTGCATCGAGCGAGGAAGAAATAACGGAAGCGGATCTGTCTGTCTGTCAGCCCGAGCTCGGACGGGTGGAAGAAATGGAGGAATCGACAGGAGGCAGCAGGAACATGGTAGCGAATGGCTTCAAGGACGAGGAAGAGGAGGACGAGGAATTATCGTCGGAATTGATATTTCTAGGATCAGGGTCGTCGACGGGAGTGCCGAGCCCCCTTTGTCTGCTGAGGCCCGCCGATCCACCATGTCACGTCTGCCACAGCGCCATGGAGGGGCCTCCGGAAATCAACAAGAATTATCGGTGCAATCCATCGCTGTTGATCAACTATAAGCACGAGGACGGGAGCCGCAGATACATTCAGATAGACGCCGGGAAGAATTTCAAGGAGCAAGTGCTGCGGTGGTTCTTGATCCACAAGGTGCCGAGGTTGGACGCGCTGCTGCTGACGCACGAGCACGCCGACGCCATGCTAGGGCTGGACGACATCCGAGGCGTGCAGAACTACAACTCCATGAACGACATCGCGGCCATGCCCGTCTTCGTCTCGCAGCACACCATGGACAGCGTAAATGCCAAATTCCCGTATCTGGTCGAGAAGACGCTCAAGGAGGGCCAGGAGGTTCGCAGGGTGGCGCAGCTTGACTGGCGCGTCATCGACACCTCGTGCTCCGCCCTCTTCGATGCCGTGGGGCTGGAAATCACGCCCCTGCCTGTGATGCACGGGGAGGATTACCTGAGTCTAGGGTTTCTGTTCGGCAAGAAGCACCGAGTCGCCTACATTTCGGATGTGTCTCGCATTCCCGAGACCACCGAGCAGGTGATTTCAGCTGCTGGAGATTTGGGCCCCGTCGACATCCTCATCCTCGATAGTCTGTACAAATCCGGACCTCACAATACCCATTTCTGCTACGAGGACAGCTTAGCAGCAGTGAAAAGACTGCGGCCTAGAAGAGCTTTCTTCGTGGGCATGACGCACGAGTTCGAGCACGAGAGGGACAATGCAGAGCTCGCCGAGTGGTCTCAACGAGAGGGCATCGAGGTCCAATTAGCTTACGACGGCATGAGGATACCAGTTTGCCTTGGATGAGGTTTCTGCTGTGGCTTCTTCAGCAGAATTAGGAAGATTAAGTTATGGGATTGATTCACATTTGGGTGCCTTGCTCTGCTCGAGTGGCTCGTAGCTCTTAGTGGCTTGGTGGAGGTGTCCGTGTTGTTGTATACCATATTTTTTATTGACAGTCACCGAGTTCAGAAATTTGAGAAGCAAGGCACCATGAAATGAAAATTCGCTCGCCCAAGCTTCGATCGAAGCCTGAGAAAGTATAACAATGACGAGAGAAAATTTGCCAATTCCGTCCAGTGTTGGGTCTGTCTAGTGCTGCTAGAGCCTCGATTTCCAAGATTTTCCTTCTCGAGAATTCCTCTATTTTGGTACGCGAGGTGGAAAACCTCCGTCCGTGTCCTGGAAAGTTGATACTCTGGCCACCGAGAAGCCTCGAGAGCTTGAGTCCATGGAGCACGCCATTCGAGATGCATGTGCAGGCTGAGATCTCAGATTCTGGACCCCCAAGCTTTTCCAAACAAGGAAACATCAAATCTTACGTGTTGAATGGCCCTCAGAGTAATTGTGCTTTCGCATACTCTTAGACCATGTTGCTGCAGATACTACAGACCTACGGACAGACTCCGACACACGACGGTCCTGAGCTCATGTCCTCTTGAGAGGTCATGCTCAGGTGATGATGGTTCTTAATACATTTTTAGACTTTACCAGCAGGTGTACATCTCTCTTTCACATTGTGATGCGACTAGGACTAGTCACATCTAACTCTTCTAGGGGTCTAGTTTTCTTCTCGCTACTTATTTATTAGTTTCGACTTGACCAAGGCTGGACATTTTGACATTCTGACCTGTTAAACCACCAACACGGTTAACTTGTAGTGTGCTAGCGTAAACAAAGTACAGGATGCCGAATTCAGATCCGGCCTACCACAAATGGGTCTCGACCTGGTAACAGAAGCACCGCTTAAAAAAGGACTGTCCTGGTGACATGCTCGCCTTATTTCGTAGATTGGGTTCCGATTATAGAAGAATAGATTCACATGCGGTTGTCTGCGCACCTAAAGAGAATGTTTCACTTTCCGCACCAATCATAGCTTTACATCCAATTCGGGCATGTGCTCGGCTTGCAACAGCTGCATTTGGCGAGGTGTCGAGGCCATTATTATTAGCTTTTGAGAGTCAAATCCACGCTGGATAATCCAATGACGTTTGCCTTAATAATGAGATCTTCCCTCCACTGCGGTTGGCCGATTTTCCCAAATGATGTTTCTAGCGGGTAGAGTATACATGTTGCATGTGACAACTTGGACTAACTCAGTGTTGGCCACGTGTCTCTACACGTGTCAGTTCAACTAACCACTTCCATCCTAATCAACAGAAGTACATTTGACAGTCCTGTCTACAAACAAGATTCAATCTGATAAAAGACAAGATGCAGCGTCTTCTACAATTCAGAAACACGCCTAGCTATCACATGGAGTCCGACAATCAGTTCTTCGTACTACGCAAGGCACACGAAGAGGTCAGGAGTGTGCGATGTCATCACAAGAGCTCAGTTTCGTGAACCCGTCTGAGGATTTGAAACAAAGTCACAAACAAGTCATGCTGACCTTTCTACTGTGAAACCTGAAGGGCCAAGATAGAAGGTTTTCAGAGATCTCTTTTTATTAATGCAAAAAGACGGCCCATTACCAGTCTTACACATGTGCGCTGAGTGCAGAGATTCCAATTAACGCCTAAAGCTGGAGAAATGTTGTGGGGACCATTAACCTGGAACTCCACTGAAAACATCAAACTCCACACGGACCTCATTCCCAAATTCTCTAGTAGAGAACGCTCTAAATTGTGTTCCGGACGGCCTCCCTTGGATAGAAGGGACTTTCAGAAGAACTGTGACATAAGAATGAGAGGGCTTCTGATAACAAGGAACATTTATGTACACATGAGTCATCTAATCTACATCGTCTACCCCGTGTCCGTAGTAACTAAGGGTTTTGAGTATCTATACGAAGGGCTCCATTATCACCCACGTCGACCCGAATGGTGACACTAATTCTACAAAACTTCTTGACCCTTTGATCAAGTTGACCCGTCCCCAACCACTTGGAGTCACTACCGATCAGCAACGCGAATCATCACCACGTGAGGGATATTTCACATGGGAACGAATGAGACGTCGATGATGTCTGATGGCTGGTTCTAGAATGAATAACACTCAAGAGGCCATGAGTGCTGGGGGTTGAATGGTCTTATAACATGCCAGGCTACAAAGAGGCATTCTTGACCTGGAGTCCCTGTACTTGTAGGTGTTCGGACATGACGGGGCAGCACACTTCTCCCGAGCAGGTGGATAACTGCAAAGTACAAGAATAAGTTCGATCTCGTCATGGTGGTGGAAACAAAATCTCGGTACATCACACATCTGGATTGAAGTGACTGCAGATAAACGATTAAAAAAATTCCAGTTACCTAGGAGGAGGCGCGATGAAAATTTGAGGAAGCTCAATATCCTGCGAGAAAGAAACAATAGTCCCTTCGGGCTTAATGGTCCACCGGATACTGTTGGTTGCAGGTTCCAATGCTGCAGCTTTCTTTCCCTGCAAACGACGAACGATGGACACACAGTCAAGATGAGCGGCACCCAAAGCAGGAGTATGGCCAACTACGACAAGCACTGTTTCCGACTCAAGAATTTGCAAGAGATTGGAAAGCATTCTCTACCTGTTCAATTTCTTGACGTTGTTTGAGCAAACGCTCTTCCTTCTTCTTCCTCGATGAATCCTGGCCTAAAATCTTTTGAATAGCAGAAGCCTGACAATTGCCAAACAAGAAATAGTTCAGTACAAAAACATTGTTTGCAAACGCATCTACACCTTCTTGAAGACCACACACAAGGCTAACTCGAGGCTTCCAGGAAAAAAGATCTAACAATCCGCACGTGATACGCACGTCGGCCTTTCTTAAAAACTTAAACGAAACTGCGATTAAAGAAGACTTGGCATTTGATACCGATGAACCATTCATTTATACCTGAATCTCCTTTGCAGTCTTCTCAACAAGCTGCTTCCGCCTCCGGGCAGCCTCGGCTTTTTTAACTTGTCGCTCTTCTTCAGTGAGCTTCTCCCTACCTCCTGTAAACCATACGCCAACCAAAACATCAGTCTCTTTACACGCTCGATGTGCTACCACAATTGCTTTTCGTCGCCCTAAAGGTTTTGTTCCCCAAAATATGAACAAGAATGCAAAGCAAACCTGAATAATCTGGCTGATGTTCCTACTCGGACGCAACTTCTAAAATACGCAACAACTTAATTACGACACTTGAGCAAAGTTGAACTTACGTCTGCCACCCATTGTCTGAGTCAAACCACTTGGAAATTCGATCAGGCTTGGTCCGATCTCGGAATCTCCTTCTTTGCCCAACTGCATGGTTCGTTGTCGGGCTGTCAGAGGTGCGTTTCTTCCTTTCCCAGGGTAAGATACACTGTCCTGAGACTTCCGCCTCTTGGCTTTGGTAGGTCGATCTTCCTCTTCCATATCATCTGAGAGATCTTCAGATACTGATGCATCCTTGTCGGAGGCATCTCCTCCCTTGTTGAAGTCTTCGTCATCGTCCTCTCGGCTTTTTCCACCAGCCTCTTCCACCGGGGATTGTTCTCCTTCAGCAGTATCCATCTTCGTATCCTCAGGAATATCATCGGCAAAATCCTCAAGAACCTTCTTCTTGGGTATCCTGGAGCTCTTGCGGACACTAGGTGTGGATGCCTCCGCAGCTGAAGGACTGGCAGCACTGCGATTTGATCTGTCTTCATTCGTCTCAGAATCTCCAACATCAGTGGTTTTAGCCGGTGGGGTAGAAGGAGAAACATTGTCCTGCTTCTTAACAACGACGGCGCGTGGATCATAGTCATCGTCGTCAGAATTGTCCTGAAAGATTGGAAGTGGACAGGTCAGACAAGGAAAAAATCTGGATCACTGTCAGGGCCGTCTCGTACATGAAGGAACAAGGGATCTTGTAGAACATAAAATGCACTCGTAATGTAAGCCCAGGCCTCTACGTTTGACATGTTCTAAAACAAAGAACTTAATGGTTACAGGGCATGACGCAATCATGACAATGAGCGAGAAGCAAGGGCAGGACGTGACGAACGACATACTACACTGTGATCTCGCTGCAGAGTTCCTCGTGCAAGACCTAAAGCTGATTGTAAGAGAACTGGAGATCAAGAACGGTCTCAGGCTTCATCGGGGGTGGCAAGCACTAACCTGGAGGATCAGTCGATGCCTGCGCTTCTTGGCAGGCTCTGGCAGTTTCTCAGAACGCTTCTCACTTTGCTTCTCGCAAGATTTTGACTCAAATCCGGGGGGTAGAGACTCTTGCTTCCTCAGGCCGTCAGAATGCAAAACCTTACTGATGCCTCCCACTTTGAGCTTCAGTTTCGTCGGTAGCCTCGCCTCCCCTGGCTTGTTGACCTTCTCGCTGGAGTGCTGGCTCTTGTCTCGATCGCTCCTCTCCTTCTTATCAGAAGGAGCAGACGAGGGCTCTCTATCGGCCCTGTCCCTTCTTTCAGATGGAGCAGAGGAAAAGAAATCCCGACCCCGCTCTCGATTGTCTTTCAAAAACCTGTCCCTCTCTGCAATCTCCTTCCAACTTCTTTCCGTCCTTTTCTTCTCCTCTCTGCCATAAGACTTCCCATGCTCTCCATCGGAGTCATCGTGGTCTCGATCTCGATCTCGAGAATACTTGCTCGGCCTCCAGTTCCCATCTCTCTCGTCGGAACGGCGATCTCGTGAGTCTCTTCCATCTCTGCCATCCCTCTTCCGAATGAACTTGCCCTCGTATCTGTGGGCTTCTCTCCTGTCATCTCGCTTGTAATCTCGGCCGTCATCTCTTCCGGACCTCCTCTCGCCCTCGCCCTTGTAATCCCTACTATCGCCAGGCCTCTTCTCTCCTTCGCCCCTCCTCGAATACACGATGCTCTTGCCGTTCTTGTCCATCTCCGTCTCATGAGTGTCCTCGTCCTCGGCTGATGCAGAGTCTACGAAGCTTCGGAAGCGTTCTCTAGGCCTCTTTTCTGTCGTCCCGTGAAGATATGCGCTCAAGCCGTCGTCTTTGTCATAGTCCCTGTGAGAAGGTCCCAACACATGAGGAGCGGACGAAGAAACGGGTGCCATGGTTTCGTTTTTAGGTGAGTTACGATCCTTAGGTATGGATGACATATCCTTCGAGGCGGAGCCCGGAGGAGAAAGGTTGAGAAGGGTAACAGAACGGGGACGACGCAGAACATCAGACCGATGCCTGCGCACACCCCTTGCGATCTCTGGAACCTGAACCATGTCCTGCATCTCCTGCCTGTCCGTCATCCTGCTCCTTCTTCCTAACTTACAAAAACTTGCAGAAACGAAATCCTTCTCTTTCTCTCTCTTTCCTCACGAAAGTAGAAAGCAACACGCACTACAGAGATGTAAGCGATTTACTCGTCGACACGAGAACATCCAGTACTGCAACGACGACAAATCTTATGCACCGCCTTCCGAATATCTACGAGACGAGAAATAGATGGTAGATAGACGGATAAATATACAGGCGGGGTGACGATCGAGCCAACAGAATCGCTGGTATGAATCGCGACCCAGAACGAGAGACGAGAGACAGCGACGCTCGATTCCTAAGCCTCAGGCAAACAGAGCAGACGGGCGGACAGGAGAAAAAGGGCATCGCCCGCACGAAAGCAACACACCCAGACCCACACACAATCTTTCCCTCGCTCGCTCGCTCGCTCACTCACTCACAACTGCGGACGACCGAGAGAGAGGAGGAAAGCACGAGACCCATCGGACTAGAAGTCGGACTAGAGACGGAGCAAGAGGGAGAGAGCGTGCGGGAAGCAACGGCCTCGGGCAGGAGAGAGAAAGCTCGGGCGACGAAGAGCAGCAAGGGATGAGGACGACGACGACGAAGAGGAAGAAGACGAGGGCAACGGCAGGCGGGACGGGCAGAGGTTACGGGGCGAGAGGGCGCGGCTGCTGCTGCTGCTGCTGCTGGTGCTGCGAGGGGGGCACGGGGGAGAGGGCGAGGAGGAGAGGAAGAGGAAGAGGAGGAGGAGGAGGAGAGGCGAAGAGGGTCGCGGGTCGTAACCAAACGAGCAGACCCGAATGGCATCCCATCCCCCCAGCGCCCTGCAATTGGCACACCCAATCTCATAGAAGAGCGGCAGCGGCAGCAGCAGCAGCAGTACCACCGCCGCAACCACCAGCTCTGGTGGTAGTGGAGGCAGTGGAAGACGGCAGATCGGATAGAAGATATGGCCCGCAGCACCACCACCCAGAACAAGACTAAGAAGCAGCATGCGATAGAAGACGGACGCGGAGGCGGACCGGGAGCGGAAAAGAGAGAGCACGCAGAAGAGGACGAATACGTGAAGAACAAGCCGAGCAATAGCAACAGCGAAGGCGCGAGCGAGAGAGAACGAGCGAGCGAGCGAGCCCGAGCCCGAGCCCGGACGATGATGATGGACAGCGCGCATTACAGCACCGGTGGTGAGGTTAGGGCAGCAGCAGCAGCGGACCTGAAAGGTGGATGAGGAGGAGCAGCTATGGTACATAATGGAGCGGGTAAAGCGGCGAGCACAGAGTTCTCACAGATGGACGCAACCAAGCACCCACGCCCCGCCAGGGAGCACCGCAGCAACGCTGCGCTGCGCTCTGCGAGCGAGGCAAGGCAAGGCAAGCCAGGCAGCCACAGGCACAGGCACAGGCACAGCCAAGGAGGGAAGGCAGACAGGAAGGAAGGAAGGAAGGAAGGACTGAAAGAAAGCACGCCAGGCACAAATGGAGGGAATGAAGCCCGAAGGCTATGCCGAGCACAGCACAGCGCACCACCACCACCACCACCGCATAGAATAGCATAGCATAGCAAAGGCAAGCACAGCAAAGCACTCCCTAGTGGTACCAACAGCAGAGTGTGGGATTGGATTGGGGGTAGCCAGCCGCACCAGTATTGGGAAGGAACGCCCCGACAAGCCAGAGGAGGCCCCCTCGGCCCCTCCCTCCCTCCCTCCCTCCCTCCCCTCCCCTCCCCTCCCTCCTCCCTCTTCCTCCCCTCCCAAAAGCTCCTCTCCTCTCCTCTGCTCGCTCTCCTTCCTTCCTTCCTTTCTCCTTGTGCTGTTGCTTTCCTGTGACTGATGTAAAGCACGCGGTAGCGTTGTTGTAAGCACCAACTCCGCCCGGACGTTCAATTAGTGGAGGGAGGTATACGTTAGGGGATTCTTCGCTACCACGAGCGCTTGTCCTCTGCGCTGCTCTCCCTCGGCTCTCGCTCTCTCTCTCTCTCTCTCTCTCTCGCTCCTCTCATCGCTCTCCATCGATCGTCCCAACCACCGACCGACCGACCGACCGCCCGCCCGCCCGCCCGTGCCCTAAGCCGGGCCGGGCCGGGCCGGGCGAGGAGCGCGGCCCTCCCCTCCGGCCCTACCCTCGCGGCGACGAGGAATGCTAACTGGATGGGTTCCTCGGCCGCTTCGCTTCGTTCGTTCGTTCTTGGCGTCTGTTAGCGCGACGGAGCCTCCAAATCTGGTGGCGGTTTCGCGGGCCTTGCGGTGGCCGAGTCGCCCGAGACCGAGACCGAGACCGAGACCCCTGGAGGTGCCGGCCGGGGCAAGATGGGGCTGTCCGTCGCGACGGGCGGGCGCGTTAGTTACAGGGACCGTCTTACCGGCACGCGGCCGGTCGCCGAGTCTCGCGGGGGCTAGCGGGTCGAGGTCGTTAGTCAGTCCGGTAAATGGTGACTCGACCCTTTTACCGGCTCAACGACGACAACTCGCTCGCTCGCTCGCTCCCTCGTCGACCTCGTCGACTTCTCTCTCTGCTTCCGATGGCCATAGCTTCGTCCTCGTCCCCTGGCACTGCAGCAATCAAACCTCGCGGAAGCTGTCATTTTTGGACTCTTTTGCCACATGACGTCGTGATCTACACTGGACGCATGAGCATGTCTCGTTGCTCCTTTATTTTATAGCCTGTCTGACGACCTCCCCCAGCCCACACATGCATGTGGAGTCAAATATTTCGGTGGCTACTGCGTCAATCGGTCGAACGAATTTCGAGTGGTGTTCTGGGATTGCTCTTTGTTGGCAAACTTTCTGCCTGATCTTGTTAGTAAGAGTGATTGATTTTCAGGTAGTTGAGGGGCACTGAAGTAAATGACTACGACTTGGGTCATTCGTTTACCCCTTGTTCCACTCGTTTACCACCTCCCTTCTTGTGATCAGTCATGTGTGCATAGCCACGAACCTCAGAATTGTTCAAAGTTTTACCATAATATACACGAAGTGATGGTCGAGTGTTGAGGACTTTGGAGGCGAGAGGAAAACCAATACTCTATAGATGCTGAATCGTGTTCTGGTGCAACATCTGTCGTCATCATCCGAATCAAGAAGGAACAAAAATAAGAGGTATTGGCCGGGGAACAGGGCTATGTTACCAGGTTACTCATGTTTGATTGATGTACATAGTGCTAACAAATCACAGTGTCCCCATGTAACAAATAAATTACAGTATCGTAATGCATGCATCGATTATTTTATGTACATCCAAGATTTGTGCTACCAGATCTGCATGGAGAAGTTCTAAGTATGAAGTGGGCAAAGTCTATGTGTATTTATGTTCTAAGGAAGAACTGTGGCACCTGCCTAACCGCTAGAAGAGCATTTCTTAGAACCAACTTCCTTGCCCACAAAATGCTCTGTATAGAACCAAGTGCTGAACAATGACTTCAAATATATGCAATACTTCTATATTGAATACCGTGTTAAAGACAAAAGTCAATGGGCTATGGTTGTTACCTTTCTCCCGATTCATCGAAGATTCACTTAGTAATCCAAGTCTCAATACTTTCACCTTCCCATAAAAGTTTATTTAGCATTGCCTAATAACATATATCGATTTCTTAAGTTTACGTCAGAAGTTCTTATCACGTATTACTTTATCTGTTCATTCGGTGTGCATTTTTTTCTACATCTAAAGTTAACTACTTCAACTCACATGGTTTTAAAACAAATGCACTAGTCTTCGTGTACTTTGAAAAAGAACATAAGATTGCAGTGATTGAAGTGATTGGTAATTTATTTTCTCATATGTTATAATGAGAATTTAACGAGAACACATGAAAAATTCCATATGTTTCTACATAGAGAATCAAGTTTTATTTTTTTTCAGAAATCATACCTTCAGGAGTGTGTTGCCGTTGTTTTTAACTCTGTATCGATGAGAAATTGATGAGTTTTGCAGAATACTCTTCTAAATGCTCCATTCATTAGACCTCATGCCCTTAATGTAATTATCGAGGTGAACAAGCTCGAGTTTACTTCCAAAAGTGCATTTCTCACATGAGTATTGTAATTCACGGGAAGATAAAATAGGTTGAAGACCGTATCTGGCAAAGTCATGGACCAGTCCAAAACATTACGACTTGATGGGTATTCTCATATATTTTGTTCTATTGCTTGGCACTCCAACTTTCATCCATCATAACTTGGTGTCTAAATGATTAAATCATGATCCAGTTGATATCCAGCTATTTTGACCTTAGACCTCACGTTGTTGCACGTAGACCAAATCTTCTAAATATTTAGTCCGCTGCTGCCACATTCACATTCGCTTGAGGATGCTCTCGTTACGTCCTCGGAGGTCACAGCAAAGAATGGCTATATTCTGAAAAGATCTACTGTCTGACTGTACGTGGTAGATCAGACTGGTCGGCCACAGTCTAACGCAGTTGGAAGGGCCCTGAAGGGTAGTACAGTACAAGGCAAATGCTATGGCAATGTTCTTATACGAAAGTCAATCTCCATTACAGTACACCACTCTAGAGCAGAGCATTAAACCCTAACCAAAAAACCAGCTCACGGTTTTCCTCAATAACAAGTTCTCTGGTTTTGAGACGTTGGAGTGGCTGGCTGGGTTTGTGAGTACGGATTTGGGAAAGTTGGGCCCACAGTGAGGGCAGGCTGGTTGAGGTATTAACGTGGTTAAGATCCCAGAATTTTAAATAGACACGATGCTTTCTAAGATTTCTCTCTTCTCATGAAGTGGCTGGTAAAAAATTGATCGATTGATTTGATCAATGTGCGACTTTGTGATCGAATCTCAAAAGTCTTTGTGAGATCGATTGGACTCATTCATCGGATTACAATGGCAGTTGAGAAGATCAGGATGGTGTTTCTTCTGTGTATTTTTCTGTTTTCTCTATTTCTGTTTCCTGTTTGAGAGAGAGAGAGAGAGAGAGAGAGAGAGAGAGAGAGAGAAAAGAAGAAGAAGAAGAAGAAGACGAATTTCATGGCCTGGGTTAATTGCAGGCTTTAACCTGGGTTCATAGGTATGGCAATGAGAGGATTGAAGCTATGGCAAAAGCTAGGATTGACAGAGAAGCTCAATTCCTCTACTCTGAGCGGAGCTTACCATGAATTTGGCGCAATCTGTCATAGTTTCAGATCCTTGTGTTCTGTAGCTGCTGCACAGAGCTCATCTGAATGTTCTGCACGAGGATACCGGAACAGCGATTCTATCAAGCTTAGAAGTTTTTCGAGCAGGAAGGAGAACTATGGAGCTGGAACAGAAGATGTTCGGAACTCTAAATATAAGAGGCCTTCTGGTACGTGTTGCAGTTTGATTTATACAATTGAATCAATCACACAGGTTTCAATTGTTTTGAACGTTGAGGCTAAAGTCGCATCTCGGTCATGATTGTCTCTAACAGATACATGGAGTTTGCAGTGCGCGCTGATTCTCTATTTATCTTGAATCGATGAAAGTAAATTGATACATTTCTTGCACTAGATTTTGGAATGAAAACATGTCGATCATCATTTAATCGTTGTGTAGTTTCTTTGTACCTCTCGTTGCCACCAATCAGATAAGGGGAGATAAAGCTCTCTAATTCAAGTTGTTCAATCTCTGCAGGACAAGAGCAATTGACGTTCACAGGAACCAAGGGAAAAGTCGCCAGAGATGAGGCAGGCATGTCTTTCACCTCGTATTCTTTAGCAGTTGTTCTTAAGACTGGTATGGATAATCAGCAAAAGCAGATGTTTCCGCTCGTAACATTTTCTCTTTTACGTAACCACTATCACTGGGCCCTGGGTTTTGTGTTTGAAACATTAAGAAAGTGTGGCTAGATTTAGTGGCCCATTGGTGTTATCGTACCAAGTTGAACTCGAAGGCGATGATGATTTGTCAGCATTGTGCTATGATCGAATCTAGAGTTCAGTATTGCCCAAACTTTTGCGAAGAACTCGAGTTGTATAATCTGAGCAGGATATTCTGGTTTAACTGGAGATGTTCTTCGTCCTGATTTATAAATGATATTGCATTTACCTCCCTTTTCCCTGCCGTGGAGGAGGGTCGTTTAGAGATTGCCCGTCATCCCCTTCTGAGCCACAAAGTATCATGAATGAATGGATGGTCTACATGATACTGTTATTTTCACGAGATTGCTCAGAATAAAATCAGGAGATGCGAGTGCGAGCTTTTATTACTTTTTTCAGTTTTGAGAGGCCATCGGGACTTATCATTGTTTTGGACTGTGGTCGGTCCTACGTTTAGCATTCAGTGGTATTCTAACGTAATCACTTGCAGATTTGTCTACTTCAGGGCCGGAAAAAATTTCAAGTTCATCCCGGAGAAAAGAGAAACCATCTGTCTACACCACATCAGATTATGTTGATTACAGAGGAATGCAACTTGTGTTTCTCGGGACCTCATCATCAATACCAACGTTGAAACGAAATACTTCATGTATCGCTCTAAGACTTGGTGAGTTTGTCATTCAGTATTATCTGAGTACTTCAGGCAGTTACACATGAACCTTTCTATGCTACCAAATTGTCTAAAGATAGGAAGATGTTTTTCTCCCTCTACAACTCGAGACTTAAGAATTGACAATGTTTTACATATTCTCATGTTGAGTGAACCAGAGGGATCCATATTCTTGTTTGACTGCGGAGAAGGCGCAGTGCGGCAGATCTTGAAGACTCCAATGAAGCATTACGACATCGGACACATTTTTTTGACCCACATGCACGGGGATCATGTATCCAATGATTTTCTTATATTCTGATTTGATCACATAATCAATTCCTTCAGCGGAGAAAACCGTGTGGACTTCTTATTAGGTTTGTTTGAAATTTCAGGTCTATGCTGGAAAAGCTTCATTGTTAATGTAGAGAATTCACTGTAAAACCTCTTCAATCTATAATAGTGTTGGCTAAAGGAAAAGGAGTAATCATGAGCGAGTTTCTTGACTTTAATTCTATCAGATATTTGGGCTTCCAGGTACGGTTGTTCTGGATATTAAATTTTTTCCTTCTTGACCAGAGAATTCTCAGCACATCGTCAGAAATGTCTTTTTTTTGTTGCAGCTAAATGTATAAGCCTTGCTCGTCTCGCTCTTGCTTCCTGTTTATTGGAAAAACTATCTACTTATAACAGTTGTTGAAATCATGTGTGTTTAGGAAGGCCTTTTGTGTCGCCTAGGTCTGAAGGAGTTTCAAAATAAAGAGCCGATTCAAATTTACGGTCCTCAAGGACTTCGGCAGTGGATACGAACCACTTTGAAAGCAAGCCATGCTCGTGTGCACCCGAAGTATGTTGTACACGAATTGCATCTGAGGGTAAGATTTTCAGCCGTTACTTGCCATGTTCCTGTGGTACTGCCTACTTCGTACCAGCTGCATTGTTGGTCCTTCCTCCGAAGGGTCACCGCTATAGGGTCCGAGACTGTGATGGGATCGCTTCAGGCCAAAGTATATGCAATGCCGGTGGTGTATTGCCGATAAATTCTTAGTTTTTGGCGTGGTTTAGAGAGCTACGGTTTTTGAAGTTTCGCAGCTGCCAACATTTAGAGTCTCAAATTCTCTTTGCTGAGGTTTCAGGCTGATTGTAGTTCCCGAAGAGGTTTTCTAACTGGATTCTTATATCCCATTTTAATATTTAAGCAGGATAGTGTCCAGAAATGTGTATAGTGCAACCAAGCTCATTCTCATTGTCTTACTGAAAGATCTTCTTTTTATTTACTTTGCAACGTGCTGTAAATAATCTTTACATGTGTGGGTCATGGCAGAAAAAATCTACAAATGTGGCACACAGTTGGAATTATGTGGATGCAAATCATGAAGACGAATTGCCTGGAAGAGATATTCAACGTTCAGAAGATGGTCTTTGGCAAGTGTAAGTATTTGGTTGCACTACTCATATCTTACTGTTTTGATGACAGGAAGATACATTTCTCCTGCAGTCAGGCTTTCCCTTAAGAGCTAGTCATTTGTCATCCGACTATCCAATTTTTTAAGCGCGTACTGTAATCTATGCAGCATTCTGAGTGCATGGCAGTAATTTGCCGCTAAATGAACTCTTTCACTTTTTCATTCTTCACCTGAATCCATTTTAGTATAGTCCAAGTGGAAACAAGTTAGCACCGTTGAACGAGAATAGCTTGTAATGAAGTTTTTTCAGAATGATCACTAACTCCTGGTGGTTATGAATATCAAGATTCTAAAGAAAGATCTTTTAGTAACTTAAATTTTGACAGGAAATTTGGCAGTGGACCAGAATAACCTGTCTGAGTCCTTTTCTCAAGTTTAAACAATAATCAGGAGTAAATGCATGTCATAGCCTGAAGATCTTGTATCTCTGGCTGAGCTGTGCTAGAGTTCCGAGATTAAACAAATAAGTTTAACGTACAAGGAGATAGACAGGAAAGAGTGCTCTCGTACTTGTAATGTCTTTAGTGAAAAACTTCCTCATGAGCATCGATTAGCAAGAGCAGATACATTTCCTTGGATCGCATCGAGATTGTAATTGCTCTGCTTACAAAGTTCCTGCTCTTAAGCCATGTGCTTTGGGAGCATGTTTCGAGAGTGATGTTTTTAATTTGGTGCCTTGTTATTGACACTTGACCTCAACAGGTTGAATGATAGCAAGTACGTCGTGAGAGCAAGCTTCTTAAGACATAGTATACCTTGCTGGGGATATGTAGTAGAAGAGCGAACTCGACGAGGCAGGTGAGGAGATTAACTTTCCCCTTACCTTTTTTATTGAACCTGGAGCATCTGTTCATCATCTACTTATATGTCCTCGCTGTGACAAACCAAAGCTTTACCAAGTTCTGGATCTGCCTAGATTTGATGTGGAGCGAGCCCGTCAACACGGTGTAAAGCCTGGAAAGTTCTTCAGAATGCTCGAAGCTGGTGATTCAGTCATGCTTGCCGACGGAAACATTGTGCGCTTCCAGCCCCATGAAGTTTTGAAACATTCTTGTTTTTTTCTGAATTTTAAGATGATTCAGTCTATCAGTTTTTGTCAAAAATAATTTAATCTACTCACATGATGAATGTGTTGACTGGTCTGCAGGTTTACCCATCTGATGTATTGGGTACTCCTAGAAGGGGTAGAAAAGTAGGTGAGTCTGTTATCGTGACCAGGTCCAGAGTCTAGGTTATGAGTAAGGTCAGTGCATGATCTTTTCTTTGGTCATAGTGGCAGACATGCGCTGTTGATATACTCCACCTTTGTTGCATAAGCAGTACAGCCAATTTCACGCAGGGAGGTCGAGCATTATAATTGTGGAAACATACCTCGTACGCCATACGTTCTGCTGCTTTCTACTCCAGCGAGACTCACTCGAGTAATATCCGTCTGATAAATTTCTTTACTTTCTGAGCAGTGATCTTAGGTGACACTTGCGACTCGAAATCAATGATGGCTGCTGCACAAGAAGCTGATGTCGTTGTCCATGAAGCCACAGTGCTAGAGCAGGACGCATCGGAAGTCTTACAACGTGGCCACTCCACTGCAAGTATGCACTTTTGAATCTGTCAGATCAATTCACATATAGGAAACCATATGTACATATGTATTCACGATGTTGATGGTCCTCTCCCAAGCACATATAAACGCACTACAAGAACTAGTAAAATATAGAGCAGCATTGTTCGTACTTGCTCAGACGTAGAATCGCACGTTATTGAGATGTTCCCGAAGTTGCGATTTATTCGTTGCAGAGATGATACCGTAAGTATGATAGAATAGCTTCGTTGTGTGATGGGATATCGTTATTCTTAAGTATCTTATGCTCTTTCTTGGTCCTGTCCTCTCAGGAATGGCTGGACAATTCGCACGCGACATAAAAGCTGGAACTCTTGTCCTTACTCATTTTAGCCGAAAATTAGACGGCGCTCTTTACGTTGATGAGGTATGGTGGCTGATCGGGATTTGATTGTGGACAGCATTGTCAACATCTATTTACTTCTAGGACTCCAAATGTGATTATTCCATTCTTGAAAAGCATGGATCTATGGTGATATTATCTTGATGAAATAGTAATTTATTCACTAAATTACTGTTTATTAGCGCAAGGGTATGTTTTAGGTGTCGTATTGTAAACTGTTTTTGTATTGATGGAACTTCATGATTGCTGTCCTGACAGAGGAGCCAAACGCGAGAAACGATTGGACATCTTGTAGCTTCTGCACAAGAAGCATTCGAGAAAGATAACGTAATAGCTGCAGAGGATATGATGGCTATCACCATCGAACTGGAAGACAAGGCTCCATTGAAAGATTCACAACATTTGAGACCCTCGTCCGAAAGCGAGGAAGCTAAAAATCCGCAAAGGAAAGTAGGTAGACATTCAACATCGTCCGACCTTGATGATAGTTCTTCCCGGAAGGATGTCCTGGGTGGACAATCGGTACCTTCTCAACTGGAGAAGAAGGCCTCAAGAAGCAGTGTTCGAAGACCATCATCGACCTCTGAAGTAGATCAGAAGCCTTTCAATAGAAGTGCACGCAGTCGGCATCTATCACCTGCCCAACTCACAGACAAGACGGTCTTCAAGAATCTCCAGAAACGGCGTGCATCACGTCCACCTCGATCCTCATTCCTTTCCGAATGATCGAATAGCGGGGTACAGTCTATGTTATTGTGGAGTACTAAGCCCTCGAGATAATTTTGGGTGCTCTCTTAGATGATTACCACCGTCAGTAACTGTAGTCATTATTGATGGTTTCCATGTTCATGTGCTTTCCTCTCGAGGTCAACAGTTGATTCATCTTTATATGGATGAATCATCATGCAATTTTGGGGCCCACTTAGCAAACTGAATTCCTTTTTGAAAAAACGGTATCATTTTCTTCTCGCAGGTAGTAGATGATGTACAACTCTTGTCCAGTTTACGGACGGATGATCTGGGATGATCAAGTAATTGGAATATAGCAATCTCGTTCTTCAAGTGCATTTCATCTCTCTCTGTGCCTCGTTCAAGCTCATCTCACTTGGCAGACATTAAGGAAAAAAAAAGAAACACCAGATCACAACGATCTGCCGCAGATCAGATCTGATCTGAGCTGAGCTGAGGTTCAGTCACGTCATGGGTGCTGCTCGGAATCGGATGTGGAAGGGGCCATTTGCACGGCTGCATGCAGTCTACTCTTGATATCACAGCGGTTGATGGGTCGATGGGTGTTGGCAATGGGTCCATAGCAACGGTATGCAGGATACTCTCCTACTGGACCATCTCATCAACTCCGGAAAGGGCGCGCTGCCGTGGATTCTTTGCCGTGTGGAGTGCCCAGCCCAGCCCACGATCTATCTCCAGGCCAGCGAAATGCAAATCCTGTCACCTGCCTCATGCCTGGAGGCCTGCACCATGTGCTACTTGATCCATGGTGGACACATGTGTACAATGGTATCCTAGGTTTTGGTATAGCATTGAAATTTTGTGAGTTTAACACAATACTATACAAATTTGAAATTATACATTGATCCAAATTGAATGTAAAGTCTTTATAACGCAAGGATATGACTTGGAGATACATTGGATTTATTTTAAATGTTACAATTTGAGCATTTTTCAATATCATTCATTACATATAATGTCTAACAAGTCGTATTCCACTGACATCGACACGTTATATACAATCTATTTGATTCCATCAGGTTCGGTGCAGGCAACCAAAAGACTTTGAGGGTAAGATAAATTCAGCAGTCATATCCAAGATAGAACTCTTGGAAGTGCACCAAACGCTCTAAATGTATAATCGGTTCATTGAACGGTATGTCCATATCCAAGATAGAACTCTTGGAAGTGCACCAAACGCTCTAAATGTATAATCGGTTCATTGAACGGTATGTCCCAATTGCAATCTAATGATGTGAAGGTTCACCTCACGTTTTTATTATTGTCAATGATTAGCTATTTGTTGACAAGTTGAATCAATTGTCGTTAGATGAGGAATTTGTGCAATTGATATCGTTCCACAATTCAACAAATCTTTGTCAGACCAATTTATAATTTTTCGTTGATGGTCATTCTGTCAATGATCATGATAGTCTAAACAGTATGTCTAGCAATGCAATGCATCATGCGACTACTCCATTCACCTTTGAACATGCATTATAGAAGAAATTTTTTAATGTGCTTTAATGTGTTTCGATTCATGTTACTTTTCAAACCTAGTCGCACCATTCTATTGATGGCTTCGTGTGTCAATATCATGAATAAGGTCTTTTGTAGTATGCGGCAATATTATTTTATCTGTTTTTCTCTAGATGGTATAACAAACGTGCAAAGCAAATAGTTATTGAATCTAAAGACATGTATCTCAAAAGCTTTTGTAGCATTTTGCGATGAAACTGTATTGGGATAATGCTCATAATCTTCTAGTCAAGTTATTTGAGGCAAAAGAGCAATTGATGGTGAATTTAGTTGCTACTGCTTTTGGTGTGGAGAAATGTATCAACGTCTTGCTTCTAATTCATTGATCAAAATTATGTAATTTTTTACTTCAGATAATCCCAGTGTAATGATTTTGCTTCGCAAGAAGATGTTGGAGTTGCCAAACTTTTGTGTCGCATTTGGTTATGCTCCATATGGTGTGAATAATTTTACATTTTTGAATATTTTCAAGAACTTTGATATTTTGAAAGCTAGATTTTAAACATTTTTTAAGCGAGAACTTTGATATTTTAGAAACGAGTGTTAAGAAGGTGGTATATGAGGCAAAAACCATTTACAATATTCTAGTACTTTACTCTCTATGACACATTGTGTAAAGAGAAACTTGGAATTGTTTGTGTTCATTAAATTCACCAAATCTTGTTGGATCATAAACTTGTATATATATGGTGAACTCAATTTAGTCAAGATTGTTCTTTCTCTTCTTCTTTCCAACATATATGCTGGTATCAATATCTATTTGTATATCGATATTTATCAGACTGTAAAGCAACACGTTCTAGATATCGTTTTCTGGAAGCGATCAACTATCATGGAAGTTCTTATACAGTCCATTTGGGCAACCATTGAATATTTGTAAGGCGGTGCTTATACATTCTCTTCCATGCTATGTGGTCCATTTGGATGTGTTTTTTATTGATCAACATCCTCATTGTATCTTTCTCAAAAGAAACTCTCATAGTTCTTGGTCTGCATCAGGAATATCTTATCAAGAGGTTGTCAAGTTACTTAGTCCTCGATCTATTTTGCATTCATGACATTGTTCTTATGTACAGATCAATATTACTATCAATTTTGCATTGATGTTAACACAAAGTATGGTCTGGAGTTGGGCAAGGGTTCCATGAACACGCAATGCCGAGTAGCTCTTCAACAGTTCCCAAAGCATTCGTTGATGATCATTGATTTTTGTCGATTTCTAGCATGCCGTATTGATCCGACCAATTTGTATCTTCGACTGAAGATTATGCATCCACATCTGGTTTGGGTGCAGATGAGAGATTAATTTAAGTGTCTATCTACTACCTTGGTCGGGGTTCATCAACTTCATACATGATCTTATGGTGGCAAGCATAATCACAAGACGGGCAAGCGGAGCATATCGAAACTTCAGTCAAGTTAAACCGCTCTAAAGTCTAAATTCAGAATGCAATATGCTACAACATATAGCATAGATATATATTCTATAAGCAAAGCCGCACCTCAAAAAACAAATTTGCAGCTTGAAAGGTAAGATGTTAGCAATGGTAAAGTTCTTCATTGACAGGAAAAATATATTAGAGGTGAAGAGATTTTCATCTATCATGATTAGGAGTGATGAGGTCCAAGATGCACATAGAGTCACCACAACAGTTCATACATTATGAATCTAAATTGAAATAGATTGCAAGAGATGAAGATAAAGAGTTTCCTTTAGTGTACTTAGTTTTGAGCAATTCGAATTGAAATTATTTGGATAATGAGAAGGCTCCATACTAGGTTTTAATACAATACGATTTTTTAAACTTTGTTTTTTACTGTATAATACTCTCGTTTAATACATACCCATCACTAGGGGTTGGAGTGGATCTCACATGTACAGTGGCCGCCGCTCGGAGGGGAAAATCAGTCAGCTGGGCCATGAACATGAACGAACTGGTTGAGGGGGAGTGCATGCGATTCTAGAGCGATGAGCATAAGGGCCCCGACTTGGGTCTCCGATTTATGACCGAGCATGAAGGGGCATGGAAATTGTAATTGCGTCAACTTCGGATTAGGTCCTACGGGATGAGCGAAAGAGCGAGTCGCGATCATATCAAAGGTCCACGCGAGCAATGAGTGTATGGGGCATGATGCTGGTTCATGCAACCGAGGAGTGCAAACATGCACTCCTGTGACAGTACCGGCGACGAACTTGACAGGATCCTGATCCATGGTCGAGAAAATTCATCCTCTCTCTCTCTCTCTCTCTCTCTTTCTCGGCCAGGCGATCCGGAGAAGTAAAATCACACAAACGGGAATGTATTCTTCGTGGACAGATGCATAGACGGCTCTTTTAGTTCAGATCTGAGAGTTAAATTTGACCATGAAATACTCACGGTTTTCCAGATGATTTGAACAGTTTTGATGGCAATTGATAATGCAGAAAGCACAATACTCCCATCGGATGCAATTGTATCACAAGGAAAGAGGCAGTATCCATCATTCAGAGCATACCGTCCCGGCGACATGTTCGTGCAGTAGACAGACAGGTGGATACAGCATGTACATCTCGCGCACAAACTCGAACGAGGATTTTATGCAGATTTGTGGACAAAGGTCTCTGTTCTGAGTTTTCTTCTCTCTGTTGCTTCCTGTGTACGACTCATCTAGAACGAAGGTTTACTACGGAGTAGTTGTGCACACCAAGTCCACCGCCGAAAAATATGCGTCGTCTCTGCAATGGCAGATGATGGCCGCGGGATCGATGGACCTCTGAGTATACGATATTAAGTGGTCAGGATCTTCATCTGCAGTGGGTCTCGAGGGCACGGAACCACTCCATGGAAGTCATGATGGCTCCCATCGATGCTACCATGGACGTCCACGCCGTTGGCATGGCTGATCCTGTTGGTTTGGCTGTCGCCCGTAAAGAACTGGGACGGTGGATCGGGGCGCGATGTGTGACCTGGAGATGGTACAACTTGCGCATCTCGGTCGAAGCTGTCATAGCTTGCCGTGTCAGTGGGAGGAGGCTCCTCGGTACAAGGCCATGCATTTCTCATCGGACTGACACTGTAATTGTATTTGTAAACCTTGGCACAGTACAGGAAGAGCAGGAAGAAAGCGAAGTTGAGCACGCTCAGAAGCCAGTAGAAGTAATCCAGATGACTTCGTGTGAGGTCGTTGTCCACCCAGCTGATGTGTTCCGGGCTCGATTTCATGCTGAGGTAGTCGACCACAGTGACCAGAATACTGCTGATGAAGCTCCCCACCGCCACGTTACCGAAGAAGAGTGCAGTGCCGAGGCTTCGCAAGGCTGGAGGTGCCTGCTGGTAGAAAAATTCACCTTGACCCACCACGATAAATACCTCGTAGAGACCCACCATGAAGTACTGTGGAATTAGCCAGAAGACAGACATTGGGAGAGGAGACTCAGAAGTATGTGATGAAGCTACTTCCAGACGACGGCGCTCGACGACTGCAGCCACCACCATGGCAGCAGTGGAGAGAAATAGTCCCACTCCTATGCGTTGCAGCATAGAAATCCCTCGGGGGTTCCCAGTGCATCTACGTGTCAAGGGCACCAATACCTTGTCGTATAAAGGCAAGAATATGACAATCGTCAAGCTAATGAATAGGATGAGCGATGCAGCGGGTGCTTTGAAGTGTTTCCCCAAGCTTCTATCCATGGTCGTAGCCTGGTTCACAAAGAATGTGCCCACCTGTGCGAATACAGCGCTGTTCATTATGTTGGTGGTCCATATCGGTAAAACGCCGAGAAGCAGCTTCGTCTCTTCAACTTGGGTCACTGTGCAGAGTTCCCAGTTCGACGTGTCCACTCGAGAACCGAAGGAGGGCGTAGCACCATATCTTGGTAATGCTGCCTTGTCCAAACATCTGCTCGTGACACAATCAACTTAGCAAATCAGAACAAAGACTGACGAGGAGACTAGAATAAGTATCATACCGTGCTCACCTAATGAGGAAAGCCAAAAGTTATATGTTAGATTACTGAACAGTCTACTCTGACTCTCTTAAGAGATATTATGCGTCAAATGCCTGATGTATTCTTAGAGAATATTCCGACAAACTTGCCAAATCTTCATTCAGATCGACGGTATATAATAATAACCTTAGAAAGGGAAGTCAGATTAAATTGATCACTCACCGAAGCCGAGTAGTATGAAGGAAACGGTAGTTGGGTGTTGAGGAAACTTCTGAATGATCCGAGCTCAGTTCAAACAGCTCGTGAAGATTAGGTTGCAGTTCCAAGTTTCTCTTCTTGAAAGCAGCCACCAGAACCTGGAAAACTCTCGTGAAAGCACTTCCAGAGGGGGTTTGATGGTAGTATAGAGGATGAGCGATAATGAAAGTCAGAGTTACAAATCCAACGATTCCGGCTGGAATTGCTCCGACCCATACCCAACCATACTGTTCCTGCACCCAAGGGAAGAAGGCCACGGAGACCATGATACCGACGCTCAGACTGAACCACCACCAGTTCATAAACGACACCCTCTCATGCTTCTGCCCAGGATCAGTGTCGTCGAACTGGTCTGCAGAGAATGCCGTCACACATGACTTGATTCCTCCCGCTCCTAAAGCCATCAAGTACAATGAACCATAGAAGAAGACTCTCTGGGGCACACTAGGCTTGTCGCACATGGTGGTGAGGAGATGATGATCACACGTCGGAGGTTTGAATGGCTCGAAGGACATGGAGACCGTGACACAAACCAATGCCTGCAAGTTTCCAATTCAGAATCTCGTCAACTGAGCCATGGAGCATCCGTCTTTCAGTCCACAGTTTGCAGAATATTTGCACAAGCTTTGAATATAGGAAACTTAAATCCTAGATTCTAATTTTCATGACATACGGAGAATTCGAGAGACTGTATTTGGTTGGCATAGAGCAAATTTAGAATATTCGGCACCGAGCTTTAACATGATAAAAAATTGTCGTCAAGTAGAGATATATACCAGGAAATATATGATCATGGACCAGACGATGGTCCAATAACGACCCAAGAATGCATCCGCAACAAATGCTCCAATAAAGGGAGTAAGAAACGTAGTTCCTGCCCAGTTGTTATAGTTTCTGGCTGCCTCGGCCACGGTCTCTTGCAGGACTGTCGTAAGGTAGACTGTGAGAGTGGAAGATATGGCGTAATACGCCACTCTCTCTGCCACCTCGCATGCTGAAGCAACAGTCATATCGTCAAGTATTAGTCGGGCCGAGAAAAGGAAGGCTCAACGCATCGACAAGATTGTTGATAACATGGAACGGATGTAAATTCATGATCAATATCGATCTCAATGACAATGTTTAGCACGGTAACTTCTGTCGGCTGGGCAAATAACAGTTTCAGAAGGCAGTTCAACGTCTTGCATGCGAACCCGAACGCATTTTCTCAACATGCACAGAACAGCAAGATATACGCTCCAGCATAGCTTTACTTGGAACCTGAATGTTTATACATGGACAAGAACAATTCATCGGCATGACCTGACACCAGAATACTGTAACTTGCCTCTCCATCCCATTTTCCCAATGACTGAAAAATGTTTGACAATCAATCGGGTACCACAAGATAGCTGACCAAATTAGCCAGATGTGCATGGACGGACGGATACACAGAACATGCACAACAGCATCTTACCGAAAATGACGAGACATGCCTTCCAGTGATACGGATGATCTCGTCTTGACATATTGGCACGATTAGACATCAGCTCCTGGAACTTCTTGATGACAAGATAAAGATGGAGCGTATGCAAGCCAACCAGGTAGAAATCTAGTGGAGGAAGAGGAGAATTACTACATTCAAAGAGTGGAATTTATGTAGGGGATAAAACTCGAAGCCTTGCTGCTCGAAGAAGCTGACAGACCCGTAAAAGCGCACAGGACGTTGCCCGGACCCACACCACAAAATAGAACTTTGACAATCGTTCCGAACGGAATCCGACATTCGTAGAAGAGATGACAGACTCGTTCAAGCTCACAGGACGTTGCCCGGACCCACACCACAAAAGAGAGCTTTGACAATCGTCCGAATGGAATCCGGCAGAAGAGCTGAGCGACTCGTTCAAGCTCAAAGGACTTTGCCCGAACCCACAGCATAAAAAGGAGTTTTGATTCTCGGCGGAATGGAATCCGCCATCCGCCGAAGAAAAGGCCTCACAGTGAGAGTGCTCGTCCGCATTTGCCCACATTCATTCAATACAGTTAGTTCGGACCGGTGTGCGCCGTCTGCAGCGTACTTCTGCAATGACTTCTATGATTCACAGTAAAGAAGGAGGTGAGAGTCATCCAGCCGAACTTCCAACTCGCATTGTCGTGCGAGAGAAGAGCTGCTTCTCGTCGCCACGTAAGTTATCCCGATCCCGCAGAAGACTGAAAAAAATCTGACGATCCTTCAAGTCCATGGATCTCTGACCGAGCAGCCTCTCACCAGCCCTCTGCATGACAACTTCATCCCTCCCACGCATGATTGCATGCTCGAGTGCTCGCACATAGTCGGGACAGATATGTGATGAAATATTTACACCTAACTAATTCGGATATTGTGGTGACCATATGACACGAGAAATATCTCTCGTTGATTTTATTGGGGCCTCGCATTGTGTTCCCATTAGGCTGTCCTCCCGTTCTTGTTGTAAATAGTTCTAAGGGAACTTAGAACCGTTTACAACAAGAACTATTATGAATAGAACATACTAGAACATAATAGAACATTCAACTTGCAATGATGAGACGGTTTCTGGCCCGATGATGGATGACTTTTTGGAATCTAAATTTCAGATGCTCAGAGGGCAGAATTCGAAGAGTCATAGATGGCTGAAGCCTAAACAGCGGAGCAAAAGCCTTTCACCGCGCAAATCAGGGTGCAGAAGCAGAATAGTGAAAGTGTGAATATGATCGAACCTGCCCGAGCAATCATGTCGGCAGTCGGGTGCTAAGGTCTCAAACTTCCCTCCACCCACCTTCTGTGAAAAAGTAGAATCACGAGAAAGAGTTGTTCGGGTAGTCGGTTGCTTGGCGTCCACAACCAGTAAAGTATGTCCATCCACCGATCAGTTTGGTTGAGTTATCCTTCAGCCATATCCTTCCTGACTATGATAGAATTACGCCTTGTTATTTACCAACATGCGATTACAAATAAACTCGACTTCGATACAAACTAATGTCCAGATCGATCCCCAAAAAGAGAGGAAATATTGGATAGCATGCCGCAACTGAGTCGAAGCCTGTGAAGAAGACTGCCAATATCTCCTCTTTGGTGCTGCGACTGTCCAACAATGTGGAGATATCCTTGTTATAGCATCGATGGAGATATCAAAATTGGGAGCTAGGACCCCAACTGGCAGGCTTGTACATGGAAAAGAAATGCTTCCCAACCGTGGCATTTTACAATATAAGCATAAGGAGATCCATGAAGATCTGAGTTGAGACTTTTGAGAGGCGATATGTCCACATCGAGCGCCAATTGCAACCGGAGTTCATGCATTTTTCCAGGTGGAGGAGTTTCAATGGGTGGGAGTAGAAAACTTGCTGCAAGTCAAGCAAAGTAGATCTGTTTAGGAGTAGCATTTAGGATTTATTGCAGAGATGTAGAAATAACTATAGGACGCTAATTATTTTTTACTTGCAAGTGTTCCAATGCCTGAATCGCAATTTTAGTCAAAGTAGAACAAGCACTCAAGAAGTGGAATGATGAAAGAATAATTGGCTTTGATTGGTATGGTAATTTGAACAGCTAGCCAAATTTTCGCCCATAAGCTGTAAATTCTACATGATTGACTATGAGATCTTTCATGAATATTATCCCTCGGCTTCGGATGAGGAACTCTCCCATTTTATTTTTATTTTTGATGTGATAGATTTAAGTTTTATGCTAATGAGATTGTCAAATGAAAGTCAGTAGATCGCAGAAATACTCAAAGTGCCATTTTTACCTGTGGTGTGCATAATTTGTAATCAGACGTAAGCCACATTCTCGATGATCTCTTCGGGTGCTATTGCTCTTGAGAGCAAACAAGAAAATCACCTCAGAACTCGCATGATCGCCGGCATCTTCATACTCAAAGCTTTCATCACAGTTTCCTCCTCCCTATGCTCACCTTCTCGTCTGGCGGGCCAGGCACACAATTCTCGTCTTATGTTGAAATATTCTCCTCTGTCACAAATCTTCGTCAAGAGAATCTTTGTCATACGTCGTCAAGTCGCGGACACTGAACCATTTGGACGTTTGGCCATGAAAGGCGAAACGCAACTTTTGTACATTCGAAACTTCGTTTACATTAAACATTGACTTTTTTGGTTCGACGGTAGCGGAATCTGAAACATCGCTCCGGACTTACAGAAATGATGGCAGAGCCAGGAGCGCCACCCATTACCTGTTTGATCTTGGCGGACTTTCCTCTTCCTCTTGAGAAAGCATGCTATTTTTTAATGGAGACTTTGTCCCAGAGCACCTCATTCTATACTGATCAATATTTGCACAGGATGGTCTGTGCTCGATTCGGTAGCGCATTTGGCACACCGCGTGCTCGGACACGAGTCCGGCTCATGTGCGCAGAGCGACGTGTGGGAGATAATCGGCTCAAGATGGAGATCAGAAGAGAGAGAAGTCGAACGAACGAGAGCTGGTTGGAGTTGCGCACCACTCCATCACCTACCCAGCTCTCGTTTGTTCGACTTCTCTCCGCCGCGTAGTTGCGGAGCTCGGGGTTCACAAGCACTTCATTAAGTGTCGAAGGAAGCGTGCAACTCAGCGCTTGCTAGCAGCAGACTGCTCTCGTTTGTCTCAGAGCACCTTACTAAGTCAACATCCATGACAAGCACAGAATTCGCGTCCCGTCTTTCACGGGTGAAAATACCTCGGTATAATATGTAAGAAACCTTAAGAATATAACCGAATTCTTAATATAACCTGTATCTGCAAGAAACCTTTGACCACCCATTTTGCTTTGTAACGCTTATTGTCATTTGTCACTTCTTTAACTCGACATAGTCATTTAGTTTGTAGCAACATCTTTCCTTCTAGCAATTGAATCAAGTACCATATCTTGTTCTTTTCTAGGAATCTTAACTCCTCTTTGATGCTAGCTATCATTTGACCGTATCTTGTTCTCTTCTAGGGATCTTATCTCCTCTTTCATGCTAGCTCCCATTTGACCTTATCTTGTTCTTTTCCACGGATCTTAACAACTCTTTCATTGCTAGCTTCCATTTGAAGGTGTCACTTAAATCTACTTTCTTATTGTAAATAATTGAGGGAAGATAGATACCTAGCGATCGGTTGGGAATTTGAGTAAACAACCATTCTTGTGGAGTGAACTCTACTTGATCATTGATTGCATCTTTGGCCACAGCATCATCAAATTCATAATCGGCTTCATGATCTCCTTGTATCGCATCACCTTTGATACTCTCATTGTAGTCCATATCAATTGGGACTTGCAAATAAAATAAATGAATTTTTTTCATGGATATAGACATCTTACTATATAATTCATTTTTGTTGAAGGTAGCAATTTTCGAAGTATTAATTTTTTGATATTTTTCAACCCAAAATCTATATAAAAAATAATTGGATCTATATCCAACAACAATACAATTTTTAGCCTTTTGAATCTAACTTCTTTGTTTTAGTTCACATGCACATATTTGTGCATCCAAGAATTTTCAAGTGAAATAGAGATAACATATTATTGGACTAGCTCTTTTTGAGCTGCTCAAATTCTAATGGCATCAAGGAACTTTGATTGATGAAATAAATCGCCATGTTGATTGCCTTTGCCCAAAACATCTTTGAAATATCTGCGTCAAGTCACATTACCCTTGAGAATTTGGTTCATTTTATTTTGATTGGTTGAAGATTATTCGTACTAGTTTGACTTCATGCTTCTCACAATACGTCTTGAAACGTCTTGCGGCACTTTGCATTGACATCTTTGTTATATTTCCTACGAGTACGTTATTACCTCTTTGGATCACTTTGTTGGAACACGGAAACTTGTTTATCTTCTGGTGAAGAAGAAAGCAAGCCTATATTCGTCCTATCCGTGTGACTTCGAGTATTGTTCCGAGGACTCGATAGTGTAAGATCAGAAACTGCTCATCATCATATTATCATATTCTATTTCCTTCTCTCTTTTAGATGACAAAAACCCCAACGTAGATCAGTTAGAGATCACTTGACACCTAACCTAGAATATTCTGGCTAGCAGGTCACACAAGTGAGCACTTTCGGATGCGTGAGGCTATAACGAAAAACCAACTCGGTACGTGAGAGCTAGGTTTTGGCGATCCGTGGATGACAAGTTCCACTTCCGAATCTGCTCTATCTCACAGTAGACAAAATTTCTTCACAAGTTCAGGTGAGCCAAACCTGAGTATCCCTCGGTCAGCTCTAATCTTACAGACGGTTTTTCGCTGTGAGTATTAGAGAACCAAAAAATGACGCTTCAACTTTCACGACACACCAGCAAATCCACTGCTCAATTTCGGAGTCTAGATCGATCCAGGTCTTGACTTACAACTTCCATCACCTTCACATCTGGTCTGCAACGGAGTCTCACTTCTCTCAGATCGACAACACTCAGACAAGAAGCCAGAGGTACAACAGCGTAAAAAAACACAACACTGTAAACTGATAAGGAATCTAAGAAGAGAAGATGTAAGAACAAAGACCCGGCAATACCCGCAAGCTCCACTTAAATAAGCAGAATTCACACAAAAGCGACAGCACCGAAAGCCCACTCAAAAAAACCCTAACTCTAAAACTTTTCCAATCCTATCCCCGCGAGAAATCAGTATCTCAGATCCTACTTTTACTCGAGTTAATCCAAAAATCACGTATGTACCACCTACTTGATCGTCGGCTTTGACTCCATTTTTTTATCATTGTCCTTGACTTCGTGGCTGACTTCTCTCGGTTGACTTTGGAAGAGCTGACAGATCCTTAACACTTTTAACTACTACTGGTCCGGTTTTGTCTAACTGACTAAGCGGATCATTTTTAGTATACTTTTAATTCCTTAACTAAAAAAATGAAAACTACTAGAACTCTTACTTTTGATTTTAGGCCAATCCAGAAATTTTAGTCTTTGGAGATTCTCACACAATTCATACCTGTCTTCGTCCACTAATCATAGCATTTCATTACAAGTTTATTTTCAAGAGTCTGAATTTTTTTTTACTTATTTGGAAGTGCTTTCATCAATAGTTTGACATCTATTTGAACCTATTTATAACCCTATATTTCATCACTTTAGTGTCTTTGTATGAGTAGTCTTTTATTTTTTTGGATCAAAGTGTAGCAATATTTATGATCAATTTGGGTCTATACAACCAACAACAATCTATTACTTCGTTTTAAATTACCTTTTAAAGCTGTTTATAATAGTTCAATTACTATCTGTATAGTAACACATCTACTAACTTCAACAAGTAGTAATCCAAAAACGTCAAAAAGCCATAGTTCAATGTGAGATCCGTCATATCATCCACATGTTAATTTTCCTTCCATAACTTTCATCTTTTAACTTAGCACAATAATACTATATTGTTCTTTCTCTTGAAGTTCAGATTTGAAAAACAAGAAATGGATTTTAGAATCAATTATAGATTAAAATTCTAGATTAGACCTCTATGCTTGCAAGTTCACCTCTGTTGTATGCACACGAGATTCAAATTCTTCATTCCTATTCTACACTCAGACGAAACGGGAGTGGGAAGTGATTTTGCTAGAAAATTATGTCTTTATTTTTGGTGGACAGATATACAGTCGAACCCTTGTCATCTTGAAGTCGAGCTCTTCCTACAGCCATCGACGTACAAGACAACACTTCCTATATTCTCTGAACATTGTAGTGCGTGCATATAAACAACAGGTCCGCCTTGCGTCCTCTGCATAGCTGTAGATCGTGAGCTGATTGCTAACTGAGTAATCAGGTCGCATCTCTATCCATCGTCCGCAAGGTGGAGATCTGAAGTCTGTAGACCAGCGGTATTCTCACTTGCAGGTGCAAGGGTTGCATGAGCATTTGTCACCGCACTTGCATCCTTCGTTGGCTCAAAGCTGGCTCCCTCAAAGCTGAAACACCCACCATGCAAAAAATGCATCAGAACAAATAAAAGCAAACGGCAAGTTTCTAAAGAGCCGAATCAAGTTGCAGTTGTGGAATATTGATCTTCTGAAAAGGATTGGTCGTGTCTACTTCAATGTGGTGGATGAAAGAATATTGGATCATACCCTCTCATCTCCGAACTCTCGAAGTCGTCCATGGACCTTTTAGAGCCGCAGCTTCATTGACAAGACGAGCAGATTAGATCGGATTCATTGGAATCAAGATATTCAGGTGCTAATCTTCGATAATAATAGAATTTAAATGAGCTCAATTGCGGTCTAATATGCATAAAGCCACTTTCTAGCGGACTTGAAACACAATATTCGAGATAAGTCTGTAAAATTATTAAAAATTTCACTCGAAGGACACTTCAATAACTGTCCAAGTCTTCTCATCAAAGCCAGGTGGTTAATCAGTAATCGACGAAAACGAGAACAATACTGTAAAACCAGACACGACACCGTCAGATGAAGGCCTCCACATTCGGCCATAGACCTCGAGCAGCAGAAGCTGACTCACCCGTTGCCGCTGGCGCACTTGCAGGCAGCGCCGCATGAGCAACCAGAGTTTCCGCAGCCAGACATCTTAAGATTGTTGATAGAACAAAGAAGCGCAGGCAGGCTAGAACAATGAAAGAAGGAATGGAATGGGATAGATGCGGCAGGCAAGAGGGCTTCGGAGCGATGTGTTGTGCTGCTGAAGAATCCGGTGCTCTGAGCTTGTTTTTATACTGGCCTGATCGACCTCGCCTCCATGTGAAGCTGAAGCTGATGAAAACCACGATTCCCGGCACCTCGTATGCGGTTTCCGTGATCATGTATGTGATCTCGACATTGATTTCACATCAAGCGACAAAATGTATCAAATGAGGACTGTGTCGGATACTCATATTGGTAAAAAGTATAGAGAAGGTTTGGCAACGTGAAGACAAAAGCAATTGGTGGTCACAGAAGCAGCAGTCGTTTTCTGATCTATAAACTATCGAAGTACCACCTGTCAAAGAGCATGAGCATGAAACTTTGCTCTTAAGAAGATCCAAAAGCCGCCTCACCTTGTTGTCTCTCCACGCTCGTGACCTTGTGACGAAGTAAAGTAATCTGCAAGTATGCGAATGAAAACGTGTAAGAAGCAACAGGAAATCAAAGATCTTTGGAACTCCTTGTATTTCCAAAGCAAAGAATCTTTCTTTTCTAATATGGTGTGTCTCTGTCAAGCCTGAGTATCAATTGATATGCACTAGACTTCAGTTGGGCAATATTCCAGATGGAATATGTATATTTTTTTTCTTTGTAGAATGTGCATAGAAGTGATGGATTGTACTATAATTGACACAATCGATGAGTACATAATTAGTAATATCTTTTCATTTGATTTTGAATTATCTCAATATGATATTTAGATTGAACTTCAAAATTAAATATAGATCTGCTAATTTCGAAATAGTTTTTATTCACTGTGAAAGAAGTTTAGAAACTTGTACTTTAAACTATTCTTCTCCATCCTTTATCAACAACACTCGCAGAAAGCTAGATTACGTGTCCACGAATTGACAGACGGAGAAATAATTCAGATATATATTATGTAGAACACACTACATCTGGATGCCGAACCCTTGCCGCTCTGAACCACAACATCAGAGCTGACGATGAACAAGTGCAGCGCAGTTCGTAGCAAACACTTACAGTCTCCACATTGAGGATTTCTTTCGGATTTATGTTCATAATTCAAAGCAAAACGTTATTATCTTTGGGTTTGATGCCCAAAAGAGATCTTGAGAGGAATTCGAAATAGTATATTCTTCTAAGCAAATGCTGAGCGAAGACTTGCACTTGCTCAAATAATATCCCAAGTTTTTGTGATGAATATTGCCGGGTCCAGCCAGAATGTTGCTAGTCATTGTCCAGCAGACATTGCAACAGAGGGTTGACCTGGTTAGACGTTGCCAGACTTTGGACACTGTCTACCGACTCGGTCGTGGGGTACAACACCATATAACATATACATATTTGTACAATAATATGCAGAACTCATTGACGATGTGTTGTCAGTGGGATATTTTCAGGTAAAATTAAATTTGATGGATTTCATCAAACCGATGGATTACCATCGGAACTTAAATTTACTTGATGGATTACCATCAAGTAAATATTATTTTCTTAAACGCTAAAAGATATTTCAAGAAAAATTTATTTTGATAATATCTCTAAATGCTGAAAGATAAATATATCTTTTGTATGACACTACCTCTTGATGGTTTTTTAGTTTATTTCTTCAATGTTATACATGAAAAAAATCATAAATTTGAATCTTATAACAATCGCATAGAAGAATATTCTATATCATGCATTAAGAAGGTGACAAAATCTACATATAGAAGTGTTATGCATCAAGTAACACAGATTGCCCATGAGAAAACATTTTATACATTAGAAGTACATTTGGAGCCACAAGACAGCAAGAGGTTTGAATATAAAAGTTCATCCAAAAAAATTAACCATAGTATTCACGATGTTCAAATGACCAAAATTTTGATAAAGTGAAACTTTTCTATTGACTAAAGGACACATTTAATTCAAATATCATTACAATACCCGACACCCAAACTCCACATTGGAATGAATTTGATCCATCTTGCTTGAATGTCAAAAATTAAATCATTTCTCAACCTAATTTTTCTCATAGCCAATATAGTAGGCGAATCAGAAAGAAATTAATTTAAGTTTCAAAGCAATCTGTTAACAAGTGGCTAGAAATTGATACTTTTGAGGGTCCAAATATACAGGTGATACTCTGTACTATTATTTGATTCTGAACGTTAGGTCTCAAATCTGTGAAAATGATTGAATTATAAAGAATATGTGGAAAGTATATTATAGACTTTAGGCACAAGCAGTGCTAGAATTTCAAAAATGATTTTAGTGAGTATGATTGTGATTGTAATAATTTGAAACCACTATTTACTATATATCCGGAAAAGCCTTACAAACTTAAGTTTCAGTCTTCGGAATTTGAGATATTTTACTCTACAAGTTGATAAAGCATTCAATAATAATGAAACTCCATACACGCTAGATTCGTCAGTTTGAGCAAATGCATTACTCTAGTTATACAAACGTTTAGCCAATTTCAACATTTCGGACATGAGATCTATTCATCACTTTCTGTCAGTGCGATTGGATCACACCTCTATGCTTGCAAGTTAACAATTATCCTAAACACACGAATTCTTGGTTGTTGCTCATTTACTCTCTAACGATGAGACGACACGGCAATGGGAAGTGAATTTGGACTTCTCGTCAGAACAGTATGTCTTTATTTTTGGTGAACAGATATACAGTCGAACCCTGTCATCTTGAAGTCGAGCTCTTCCTACAGCCTTCGACGCACAAGACAACACTTCCTATATTCTCTGAACATTGTAGTGCGTGCATATAAACAACAGGCCCGCCTTGCGTCCTCTGCATAGCTGTAGACTATGAGCTGATTGCTAACTGAGCAATCAGGTCGCATCTCTATCCATCGTCCGCAAGGTGGAGGTCTGAAGTCTGTAGATAAGCGGTATTTTCACTTGCAGTTGCAAGGGTTGCATGAGCATTTGTCACCGCACTTGCATCCTTCCTTAGCTCCCTCAAAGCTGAAACACCCACCATGCAAAAAATTCATCAGAACAAACAAATTCAAACGGCAAGTTTCCAAAGAGCCGAATCAGGTTGCAGTTGTGGAATATTGATCATCTGAAAAGGATTGGTCGTGTCTGCAATGTGGTGCATGAAAGAATATTGGATCATACCCTCTCATCTCCGAACTCTCGAAGTCGTCCATGGACCTTTTAGAGCCGCAGCTTCATGGACAGAACGAGCAGATTAGACTGGATTCATCGAAATCAAGTAAATTCGATGCTACTCCTGGAAAGCTTGAATCAAAACGAGCTCAATTGAAGTCTACAATTCATGAAGACACGAGAATGGTAACAGCTATTTCTTGTGGGCCTGAAACACAAGATTCAAGATGAACTCCTCCACATTCGGCCATAGACCTCGAGCAGCAGAAGCTGACTCACCCGTTGCCGCTGGCGCACTTGCAGGCAGCACCGCATGAGCAACCAGAGTTTCCGCAGCCAGACATCTTGAGATTGTTGATAGAACAAAGAAGCGCAGGCAGGCTAGAACAAGGAAAGAAGGAATGGAATGGGATTGATGCGGCAGGCAAGAGGGCTCCGGAGCGATGTGTTGTGCTGCTGAAGGATCCGGCGCTCTGAGCTTGTTTATGTACTGGCTCGATCGACCTTGCCTCCAGGTGAAGCTGATTAGATTCACGTATCTCATCGCCTCGTCTGAGGGTCCCATGGTCATGGATTCAATCTCGACACTAGATTGCACATCAAGCAACAAATAGGACCGTTTATATACAAAATACTAAATTCGGAATGAGTATACGTAAACAATTGCTGGTCATAGTAACGGCAGTCGTTGAACATGTAAGAATAAACTGTTCCAGAGCATTGAAACTCTGCTCTTTAGAAGCCCCAAAAGCCGCCTGACCTGTATTCTTTCTTATGAGTGGTAGACGTATAATAAAAGTAAATTATCTGCAAAATCCGGTTCGATGATGGCAAGTTAAAAATGTAGTAAGCAATTGCAACATGACCTACTTCTTCAATAAATCGCGTCCAACAATATTGTTTTGTGTTTCGGATTTAACCTTGCTTTCTTTAGTTATGAAAATCCTTGTGTGCTAAAAGTTTGGGAATATATAGATATATTATATTTTCAAATCATATTTTCACTAACGATTTCACTTTTGGATACTATGATGATCATAAAAAAAAATGAATTTCAAATTTCAGTTCAAGTTAATAATATACGCAACTGAATGTAGACGAACATCTTCCGGCTGCTAATCATAAGTTTGAGTTCTCATCCATTGAGACTCGATCCGCAAATCAGTTTTTGACAATTGAAAAGCAATAAACCGCCAGGTGACTTTTGGATCATCTATTAAGCAAAGTTTCACGCTCATTGAAAGGTAATGACATTTTATGAATTTTGAAGCGCTGCGCATTCTGTGATCAGAAATTTCCTACGGATTTGAATTGCAATTAATTGATAAAACTGGATCTTCAAATTTCCTTCCAAGAGGGTGATCATTCTCACATACGGACCCACATTCCTAATTTGTTGCTTGATGTGCAATTGAATGTCGACATCACATACATGCCCACTGAACCTGCAGACGACGCGCCGAGATACGTGAATCTAATCATCTTCACATATAGGCAAGGTCGATCAAGCGAGTATAAATACAAGCTCAGAGCACCGGATTCTTCAGCAGCACAACACATCGCTCCGGAGGCCCTCTTGCCTGTAGCATCTATCCCATTCCATTCCTTCTTTCCTTGTTCTAGCCTGCCTGCGCTTCTTTGTTTTATCAACAATCTCGAGATGTCTGGCTGCGGAAACTCATTGCTCATGTTTTATCAAAAATCTCGAGATGTCTGGCTGCGGAAACTCTGGTTGCTCATGCGGCGCTGCCTGCAAGTGCGCCAGCGGCAACGGGTGAGTCAGCTTCTGCTGCTCGAGGTCTATGGCCGAATGTGCAGGGCTTCATCTGACGGTGTCGTGTCTGGTTTTACACTAGTTTTGTCCTCGTTTTCGCCGATTACTGATTAGCCACCTGGCATTGAGGAGAAGACTTTGAGAGTATTGACGTGTCCATCGAGTGAAATATTTATAATTTTACAGACTTTTATTGAATCTTATGTTTTAGGTCCGCTATAAAGTGGGTGTCCGCAATATTGGCACGGGGATCGAGGCTCGTAGGGGGGCATGGTAATATTGGCACGGGGATCGAGGCCGGGGGCTGGCTCGGGCAATCTATGGGCCGGTCGAGAGTCAACGGCCGGCGTGCCCGTGTGTGTGGCCCCCCGGGGCACGCCCCACACTCTACGAGTCTGTCAGCTCTTCTGCGTATATCCAGCCTCCCTATCTCAGCTGTTACGTATCTCAACAAAATAAATATATTTTTGAAAACAAAATATGGAATATATAGAATTTTCATGTTTCAAAAGAAATCTCTTATGTTTTCGGTCCAATTAGACGGCAATGTAATATACCTTTGAGAGAAAGATGGTGCTATTTTTTATCTATGAATATACTTTTCTCGGTTTAGCAATGCGAAATCACTTTGCACAGGTGTAGTGTTCGATCATGGGGAAGCTAATACTCCTAAAAATCTAGTCTTAGTACTTGGAATCACACGGTTGAATGAACAGATTTTTGTGAGCCCTAATGTTCTTGATTCACAAAAATTGTTTGTGTGAATTGTTTGTGTTTTCATTATTTTATTTATCTCTTTTTATTTTGAAGAAAATTTGAAATTATCTTAATATTTTAGAACTATCTGAATAACTTCTTGTATTTTCAAAACTACAAGTTACTGAAATAAAAAATTAATCAAAATATTAAAATTTGTCTAGTTGAACTCATCACATATCATCTCAAAACTTTAATTGAATATTTTCGTTAGTTTCTCTAATAAAGCCACCTAAATAAACAAAAAAATTATTTTGAAGGGGTCACCTCAAAGTTTTAGTTGAGTTACTCCGTTATTTCTCTAGTCAAGTCATCTAGATAACAAAGACTTTTTTTTTTAATACATAACTCTTTAAACAAAATATGACAAATAAATAACTCAAGAACCCTCTGTAAAGAGTCCTGCCAGGCCTCTCTACAGAGTACATGTGTTTCATATCTCAACAAAATAAATATAATTTTCAAATCAAAATATGGAACTTGACAAAAATCTCTCATGTTTTTGGTCGAATTTGAAAGCAATTCAATACACCTTCGAGAAAGAGGAGTGTTATTTTTGATATGTGAATATACTTTTCCCATTTTTAGCACTAAGAAATCACTTTTCTCATGTTGAAGTGTTCAAAAATGGTCAAATTAATACTCCGAAACACTACATGAGTTGAAGAAATTTATTATTAATACCTGGAGTCACACTCTTGAATCAACAGATTTTTGTAAACCAAAAACATTAACAGAAGTTGTTTATGTTCTTTCATTATTTTATCCCTTTTCTTTTGTTCCCAAGAAACTTTGAGACGATCTTGATATTTTAGAACTAGTTGCAAATCTTCTTGTGTTTTCAAAGTTTCAAAGGTAAGGAAGGAGACAAAATACTAGAACTTGTCACCTCAAAGTTATAGTTGAGTTTTTCCGTTAGTTTTTGGAGTAAAGTCACCTAGACCAACAAGTATATTTTCGCATACTGTCACCACGTAATTTTAGTTAATAATTCCGTTAGTTTCTCTAGTACCGGTTCCTAGATGAACAAAGATATTTTTGTTGGAAATTTTGTTGAAAACAAAATAATCGAGTTCCGAATTTGACTAATTTAGAGAAGGCTGTGTGTGACTCTTTTGTGGTGTGTATCGGGTATTTTTCCTTCCAGTGAGGTTGGTTGTGAAGTTCGTGGGGTGGGTCCCACACCACAAAGAAGAGCTTTGACTATGGGCTGAATTGAATCCGACATCCTGAATGTTAGGTGTCAGGTCATTCAATCGTCCAGAAGAGCTAACGGAATGGAAACCTGCAACTCAGCGCCAGCAGACTGACTCAGAATCTACAGAATCTTTATCTCTGTGCTTGTGAGTTGCGCTTCGCTTCGTCACTCACATTGTCGCGACTCAGTTTCACTGTGTAACCGAGACGCGTCCTTTGAAAACTATTTCCAAACTATTTGATCCTCCTGAACTTTTTGCCTGCCTGCCACACCACGCCTGCCCTCGTCACTACGGGCTCCTCAAAAATGAGGGCTGCGGGCAGAAAGCCCGCCCGGGCTTTCTGCCCGCAGCCCGACCTCCCCCACTCCGACCCCATCCCCCCTTCCCCAGCCCGTCTAGGGATGGGAGGCGGCCATCCCTGGCCGCCTCCCGATCACTCCACTTTCCCTTTCCCGTCCCTTCGCAAAATGTCTGCAACCACTGTTCTGCTAATGCCAGTCAATGCCAATGCCAGTCCCTTCGCAAAATGTCTGCAACCACTGTTCTGCTGATGCCAGTCAATGCCAATGCCAGTCACCGAGTCCTTCACGCTAAATTACATTAAATTTTATCAAATAGTTTAGCCCCTTCTGATTTTGTCCCACGTTTGAAGAGAACTGCGAACGACAAATGTATTGCGAGGCATGTCATGTCTTCCATTTCGGAGATTTGGTTGGAAAAATTAGACGCAGGCAGGCGCTGCGTTCAAGCAGTAAATCGGAAAAAACAAACTTCTGATTAATAAAAAACGCAGGCAATAACAATCGAGCCCAACAATGGTGTTGAGAATTATGTCCTTCGTCTGGCCATGTAAGTTCAGAGAATGAGAGTATTGAGTGTGTTTTTTCCGCCTGAGGTAGCTGCCAACTTAATTATTACGGGCGAGTCTTCTCCAGAGTGGATATAATCGTCGATATTTAATACGTTCGTCAAGACGTTACATAACTTCATGTGGGGAAAAGTTTACTGATTCGGTTTATCAACTTATCAGATTCCTTTTTTTCAGAGGAGCAGATTCTATTTTTTGCAAAAATTGTAACCATGAGATTTTTGTGAAATAAAGTTTATGATTTGAGTTTTTTCATTGATTTTGTTATCACTTTATAATTTTGCCTTTATGAAATCTTTCATTATGGGTTCTCTTGTGATTCTCCATCATGTTAATACATGAATTTTCTTAAATATAAAAATTGAAGAGAAATAATTTCGTTAGGAACTAAAACTTTAGAAGAAAAGGACCTAGTTGTTTTTTTCTCCCAAACATGCTATTTCTCCCATTTCTCCCATTTCTCCTCCCCTTTGCGAGGGGAGGAGAAATGGGGCATGGGGGAGGAAAAAAATTCGAAATACAAGTTCCCTGCGGGGAAGGGAGGCCGCGAGGGAAAGAGCCCGACGGTCGAGCGGGAGTGGGGCGAGCTAAAGCGGGAGGGCCTCCATGGTCGAAGCGGTAGGTCGGGCTGGGGGAGGGGGTCGGGATGCGGGCCCGGGCGGGCAGAGCTCGCGTTCCCCTTTTATGACGAGCTGACAGAGGCAGAGCGGGATGGTCTTCTCTACCCACTCTCTTCGGATGCATCCCCTTGCCTTAGTGTTTGAGTTCTATCTCTATATAAACTCCAATTCTTGAATAGTAATCATCCTTGTTGTTCACTCGAATTCTACCTGGTTGGTTATAGTACACTTCATCTTGATCTTGTCATTCAGAAATTTAAAAGTTCCAGAGTTGATGTACAATTGCCCCAACATGTCGAGACGAGATCATTCTTACAACTGGAAGGGATGTTTCGTAATTTTCGGTAAGATGCTGTTGGGCATGTTCTGTGTATCAGCCAGTCCATGCATGCACATCTAGCTAATTTGTTCAGCTCTCTCGTGGTTGTACTCGATTGATTGTCAACATTTCTCCTTCATTGGGAAAATGGGATGGAGAGGCAAGTTACAGTATTCTCGTGTCAGGTCATGTCGATGATTTGTTCTTGTCCATGTATGAACATTCAGGTTCCAAGTAAAGCTCTGCTGGAGAGTGTATCTTGAAGAATTTGCTGTTCTGTGCATGTTGAGGGACCATGTTGAGAAAATGCGTTCGGGTTCGCATGCAAGACGTTGAACTGCCCTCTGAACCTGTTTGTTTGCCTAGCCGACAGAATTTACCGTGCTAAACATTGTCATTGAGATCGATATTGATCATGAATTTACATCCGTTACATTTTATCAACACTCTTGTCGATGCGTTGAGCCTTCCTTTTCTCAGTCCGACTAATCCTTGGCGATATGACTGTTGATTCAGCATGCGAGGTGGGAGAGAGAGTAGCATATTACGCCGTATCTTCCACTCTCACTGTCTACCTTACGACAGTCCTGCAAGAGACCGTGGCCGAGGCAGCCAGAAACTACAACAACTGGGCAGGAACTACGTTTCTTACTTCCTTTATTGGAGCATTCATTGCGGATGCATTCTTGGATCGTTGTTGGACCATCGTCTGGTCCATGATAACAACTTTCCTGGTATATATCTCTACTTGACGACAAGTTTTTTTCATTTTGAAGCTCGGTGCCTAATATTCTGGAGCTGCTTCATGCCAACCAAAGACAATCTCTCTAATTCTCCGTATGTTTTGAAAATTTAATTCTAGGATTTAAGTTTCCTATATTCAAAGATTGTGCAAATATTCTGCAAACTGTGGACTGAAAGACGGATGCTCCATGGCTCAGTTGACGCGATTCTGAATTGTGAGTGATTTTGTGAGTCTTTCTTATAATAAGGTTTTTCCTGATATACGGCAAAGTATCTTTCCAGTAGCTTTGATTTGCACCCTGCCTGACACATATGTGGTGTTGCTTGACAGAGGTTATTATTCAAAGTTCGAAAATATCGATGCGTGGCTGAAGACTGATGAACAATTTCTCATCCAATCTAATAATTTTGAGACATCTAGGCTCGAAGGGACACGTCAGCTACGAATTCAATGAAAAGAGCTTTGCATTTGTAATACAGCTTGGGATCATGTCAGTACACTAGTAGTCTGGAGCAAATCTTACGAGTCCTAGACTCATCCAAAAATGTTCGTTTCGTACCTTTTCGGTGACGAAATCATGATGAATTCAATTTACTTTGAGAAGAAATCTGAAAATCAGTTGGTATGGCATTCATGCATTGGTTCGCTCCTTTGATGGTTGTGGGAACAACAGTACTCATGCTTGTGGCACACTGGAAAGGCGTTTACTGTCATACGAAACGTAGATCTACTCATGTTGCATTACACACGATCGTCCTGAGCATTGAAGGTGTTCTCTTAAGACCTCTGTTCAGCAAAGCAAGTTTTAGAGGAGACCAATACTCCGGAGAAAGGCCAACTACAAGATTTAAGCGGAACCCCGTACTCTTTCGTAGCTAATAGTCAAACATGTACAGGGGATTGTGAGTCATCAGTTAAATGAGACATAGGAGGGATACATGTCTGAATTCTTCTGAATTGTCAGAGAATGTAGCAGTTCTTGTGCAGGCAATGAAGTGATATCTAAGCACATATTTCAACTCACCCGAAAACCCCCGGGGTGTTTTGCGGTCTATTCCCGGACGAGACGTTTATAGGTGGAGTAAATAGGTGATTGGTGGGGATTTAATTAATTCCTCACGGGAATTGCACATCTCAACTCATGCCCTTACGATGAGGTGGAGATACTGTATTTCCAGTAGTCACTCCATTTCCGGCAGTGTTCAATTAAGGCATTGTCAAGAGAGAACGAGCAAATTGCGTCTCACCGCAGTTATTGATCCCTCCGTGCTCTCGTTGATAGAATCCCTGGTTTCATCGATCCACCTCGTCCTATTTTATCTTCAAAGGAAGATTTGCCCGTGCAGTCTCCTGGTAAGCCTTTCAATGTCATCCTGAATACTTGCAGATCGGCGATCCAGTCTTGTTCCAAATCTCACATCTTCTTGTTCGATCGTTACTCTTGCAGCAGAGCTTCGCCGCTTCTCTTTTAACAGCCGTCGTTGAATGACGATCGGTGCGTATACCGGCCATCCTCTCCCGGGATGGGACAAGCGCTTTGCGTCGGCTGGGCGAGGAATGAATTTTTCTCTGAGCTAAGCTTCTACTCCTCAAATCGACTGTTTCGGCAACACAGGAAATGAATGTGCCCATGGATGTAGAACTCTCAAGACCAGAAATTTCAGATTTCACATCAGCGTCAGCATCCGCATCCTCTGACTATTAGCACCTCTTCCGTGAAGTTCTTCACGAGGAGTCTTAGCCGTCTCTTCGTAGGTAGTGTTGGAGGCACAACAAAATTCTTCCAGGCATGCCCATGTCCTCTTTCAACGTCAAAAGGCATGCCTGTATTAAAATACATATATTTTACGTATCAGAAAATCTACCTCTATGGATATATATTAATTCTTACATACGAGCATGACATGTATAGAAGAATGCAAATAACGCAGGCCCCGCCCTGTGGCAGCCTTTGAGGTTATGACTCTAACTTTATTCGTAGGTCTTGTCAACCGATATGGCAGGTTCCAAGGTGGAGTTATTATCTGCTTGCAAGTAATACTTGCGAATGGATTTTGGCAGCAGAGGCCAACACTTTACTTCAAATCTGCAACCAGACCATAACCATCTGCGATCTAACGTCACCCATGCTATTCAAATTTAATAATTTACCCAAATTATTAAATAATCCAAATTCCTGGTTGGATCTTGACAAACACTGCCCTTAGCATTCCTTGTGCCCATCCATGGAAAAATAATGTCACCGAAAACCCAGGGGCATGGGTACGGGCACCCAATGTCGGGCTCTGGATGGCAGTCCCTTCAAGTACCACCAAAACCTTCAATCTTTCAGGATAGGGTTCATCGACACTCTGCAATTGATTGATCAACCTCGTCAGTTTGATCGAGCATTTTCTAATGGATTCATCAGGCTTCTTCTTTATCCTGCTGAGTTCGGTCAGCAATCTGTGAGGATTTCGACGAAATTTCTTCACAAGCGCAGCGCGGAGGCTCTCCCAATCTCCTCGTTCGTCTGGATTCAAAGACGTGTACCAACTGAGAGCTCGTTCCTTGAGCAAATTGGGAAGAGTTCGCAGTTTGTCTTCATCCGAGACCTGTTCATTATACATGCCTTCGAAATCTTGGAGGAAGTACTCGACATCTTCAGATGGACTTCCATTGAAATCTGCGTACTCAATGGTGTAATTCTTTTCGCAGTGGGAGTCATCCATTCTCAGCCTAACCGGAAACGTTGGTCGTATGAGGCCCCAGAGCATTTCGTGCCCCTCATGACAGATTCTGCGTCCAGCTCTAGCCGCTTTCCCACCTGCATCGAGCCTCGTCCTCTTCCTCTGCTTTCCCAGAGGTTCTCACTCCGACAAGTTAGAGATGGCCGACCACGTCGGTTTAGAACAGCGCTTCCATGCCCACCCCTGCTTCGAGATAAAGTTTTCAGAAATCGAGAATGAATTGTTCATTTGCCCGTGCACTGAGTTATGTACAAACCAGAGTTCAGCCGCAGTGATTTCAAAAGTGCCATGTGGAGCAATTAGCTCGCTTTCAGAAAAGCCCAAATTCTGTCGAAATGTCTGAATTGAACCTGTCGGTGGTCTTCTACGAAACGAGACAGTGCCTCTGATATCTAAGCATTCACGTCTATAATTTACAATCATCGGTGTTTCTCTGCAGAATTCTATTTACCTCTTTCTCTCGATTCAACAGCCACACGAGCCCTCTTCGGCAGTCAGATTGAAGAGCATCATCGAACAGCATTGCGACGATTGCAGAACGACAATTTTGCAGAAAAAGAAGCTCAGGGCTTCTACTCAATTCGAGTGTTGAGAGAGATGGTCAGAATCTCATCCTCCATCCACAGTGCGTACCTCACCTTAAGTTAAGACCATGGGTCAGACTGCAGCGATAGTGTCTTTGACCGTTGTATTTCTAGTTACCTTCAGAGCAGCAATCGCAGAAGAATGCATTGTTGGAGATGAAAGTCGTTGGGTACTTGCAAATCGAGCCAATGCCATTGGCAACAATTATACGACTGGGGCCGACAGTGTCATCTTCAAGGTCGGAGACTACGTGGGTAAGTCTGTGGGATCCAACTTTTCAATCTGCTTCAGAATGGATAAACTTTCACACTCTAACATTTACGAATCTATTTCCATTCTAATGATCAGGACCAATTATATGAATCATTTCTCGGGCCTCACTAGGAAGTACGATCAGAGTGGACTGTGAATCTATTTCTGTAATAGTTGCAGAATTCAAGTACAAGAAAGAAAATCACAGTGTGCTTCAGATGAATGGACCTGCAATTCCGGATTGCATCACATCTGACCATCCAGGTTCATGGAAAGACTCCAGTACTTCCATCGAGTTGAACACGAACAGGACGGTGTGGATCATCTGCCGAGCTCCTGGTCACTGCGAACACGGACAGAAGTTCAGAGTAACTGTCCTCGCTAGCTCTCTTCCTGTCTCTGACGGACAAACGCAAATTCCTCGCGCATCTGGTCCTCAACCTGGAGCTGGGAAGGGCAATATCGAGGTCCTCAAACTCTGCTGCCATCATCGGGAGTATCATTGCACGAGCATTCTACCTCCTGTAAATTCGGATTGAATCATAGTTCGTATAGGAATCAATCTCGTTTGCATATGTATGAACTTTGCAAAAGAAGTGGCAACATTTGGAGTACCGTCAGTCTCAAGTATCTGATAATAAGATTCTTTACACATAATTTTAAGAGATAACATCTTACAACCTTTATAAAAAGAAAACTCGCAGTTGCAGTACTTGGTAATATCCATATCTAGAAAGTTAAGAGTGTGGTTTTCACTATGATCGAATAATCTTAAGGATTAAAAGTGACTTATAATCCCACCCTCTTGATTTGATTTTCCATATTTGTATGATATCACATCATTGATTCACAGAATCCAAGTAGTAATAATTTCAGAGTGAAAAGTGAAATGTGTTTCGGTCTTTATTTCAAATCTGGATGTTTTATGTAACCAAAGTCATGAGTTGTTTGAACTTTAGAGAGTTTTGATAGTTAGCAAATATAAAGTCTCAAAAAAATGTATACAGAGTCTATTAGTTTCTTTGCGTATTTATAAAATTTTATATGATTGTAAAAGAAAAGCTAATCTACTTGAGGTCAAAATTTCATTTACAGATCATGTCTAACAAAAAAGTTATTATCTTTCAAGTTTTAAAGGTCTCAAAAACATGAATTGAGTGCAAAACTTTTTGCTTTAGTTGTTTGCGAGTTTTGGTCATTTACAAAACGTTTTGGAATAAATCTTTAATCACATTATTAACAAACTCTTGTAAAAAAAATTGGAGAATTAGATTATCCAAAGACTCTCAAGTCTTGAATGTTATAGTTTCCCTAGACTTTAAACTGGAGTAAATTCAAACTAGAGTTTTATTAGAGAGTAGTAAATCAATCTTTAAGAATGAACGCAAAATGTGTTTTTATTACAGACACTAAGTACACAAGTTTGTTAATTGTATTTTGCGTAACAAAAAATGAAATTTCAGGAATCAAAGAAATTTGAAAGATTTGAAACATCATTTGGGATTATCTTCTCCACACGATTATAAAAACACAATGTATTGTGACTATTGTGGAGTGATTTGTGATCATTACAAGTGAAACACAAATGCATCGATATCAAGGCATTTCTTGAATCATTGGTAGAAAATTTGGATGACAAACTTATTAAGGAGACTAAGAAGTTGATATCGGCGGGCTCAAATTCAAATTGAAGATTGAGATCTTCATTTAGATGATTGAGAAAATTTTAATGAGACTAAAACTCATTGTGTGTTTGAAAAAGAAAAAAAAACAATGACTATTGATGAACTAATCAAGGACCGAATTATTGTTATTTGTGTTAAGTTAGAAAGTTTCATATAAATTTCTAATAAAAAAAAATTAAATTAAATTAGAAATGGCGAAACTTACGGAATTGTATGTCAAATATATTACTAAAGGTATTCAATACTATCTCCACTCTGAATCCAAACTCTCCATTTTTGCTTCAAAACTCCATGTCAATTTGCCAATTCTCATCTGCCGTGGAATTGAAATCTCTCAAACCTACCTTCCACTCTCCAGAATTTCCAATGACTTGTAATTGCTAATTGACTTTAGCACTCGAAGATTACTTAGCTTCGACATCTTTTGTTAGTTGAGAATTCACTAAACTGCTTTACAGTTTAACATGGTAATATAGTTGGGAGAACAAAAGTGATTAAACTATGCAAACATGGCTTTCTATACCATTGATCTAATATTTATCATTCTAATAATTATTCTTTGAAAAATATTAAAAAACTCTACTACTATTTTACTAAATTGAAAAAATTTAGACTCACATGCTTTTCTATAACCACCAATTGTTTAGGTTTTTACAATTAAATTTCTTCACTATATTTGATCAATGTGAGTATCGGACTGTCATACAGCACCACAATCCTAATTTGGCACATTTGTAGGTTGATGTGCAACCCGATGTCGAGATCACATACATGACACTTGAAACCGCAGACAACGCGCCGAGATTAGTGATCTAATCAGCTTCACATGGAGGCGAAGTCGATCAAACCGTACATAAACCAGCTCAGAGCACCGAATTCACGAAAAAACACATCGCTCTGGAGGCCTCTTGCTTGCCGTATCAATCCCACTCCATTCCGTCTTTCCTTGTTCTAGCCTGCCTGCGCTTCTTTGTTCTATCAACAATCTCAAGATGTCTGGCTGCAGACACTCTGGTTGCTCATGCGGCGCTGCCTGCAAGTGCGCCAGTGGCAACGGGTGAGTCAGCTTCTGCTGCTCGAGGTCTATAGCCGAATGTGGAGGGCTTCATCTGACGGTGTCGTGTCTGGTTTTACACAATTGTTACGCTCGTTTTTAGCGTTACTCATCGGCAATTGAGGAGAAGAAAATTCTGAGAACTATTTAGGTGTCCAATGAGTGAATAATTAATAACTAGCCAAAATTATTTTATCTTGTGATTAGGGGCCACTGGAAATTCTCGTGTCTCTATGAATAGTCTGCAATGAGCCTTTTTGGCTTCAATCATTCGAGTAGCATCTGAGCTACTTGAATTAGTATTCCAGTCTAATCTGCTCGTTTTGTGAATGAAGCTGCGGCTCTAAGAGGTCCATGGACGACTTCGAGAGTTCGAAGATGAGAGGGTATGATCCAATATTCTTTCATGCACCACATTGAAGTAGACACGACCAATCCTTTTTAGATGATCGATATTCCACAACTGCAACCTGATTCGGCTCTTCGGCTCTTTAGCTCTGATGCATTTTTTGCTCATAATGGTTCTAATCGTGGTAGTTTCAGCTTTGAGGGAGCCAACGACGGACGCAAGTGCGGTGACAAATGCTCATGCAACCCTTGCACCTGCAAGTGAGAATACCGCTGATCTACAAACTTCAGACCTCCACCTTGCGGACGATGGATAGAGATGCGACCTGATTGCTTAGTTAGCAATCAGCTCATGGTCTACAGCTATGCAGAGGACGTAAGGCGGGCCTGTTGTTTATATGCACGCACTACAATGTTCAGAGAATATAGGAAGTGTTGTCTTGTGCGTCGAAGGCTGAAGGAAGAGCTCGACTTCAAGACGACAGGGTTCGACTGTATATCTGTTCACCAAAAATAAAGACATAATCGTCTAATAAGAAGTCCAACATCACGGCCCATTGCCGTTTGATTTCCATGGGTTTGCGATAGTGGGTGAACTTGCAAGCTTACAAGTCTAATCTGATCATGATGGCCTTACCTTGCCTGTTGAGGACCCAGGAACGGAAGGGCAGGTATGTGAAAACAAGAGAAAAATTGCTTCCAAGAACGGGGATCGAAAATCTTAATTTGCAGTGCTTTATAGTACCTAGTTCTGGACAGGAGGCACCAAGGGGTCAAATCCTCGAATGGAGATCTATAAGCAGCCTATTAAACAACATTGGTCTGATTCTGTTTGTCCCAGTAAAGTGCTGCATCACTCGTCCATTGGAGGTGTTGAGAGAATCACAGCCGCGTAGGACTTTGTCACTTCTGCAGCTTCGTATTATCATTTCGAACGTAAGTTATGATATCACAGAAACAGTATTCGTCATGGGGTAGTGAGGTGAGGTAAGAAAAAAAATGTTAGCAGGGATTTGGATCGTAGCCAATGAGTCAGACGAGGGGCTGGAATATACATCCTCGTTATATGCAACTGCTTACTTCAGCTGCTCAAAGATGGAGAGACAGCAATAGCATCACCATCATTACATAGACAGAGATGGTTTGCACATGCCTCCACGAGAGGTGATGAGTTGCCATAATGACCTCAAGCCAATATCTTTTTGCATTCTTATTTTACATTTAGTGTTTGTTGGATTTCTGATTCTATATATGCCATCTAGTATGCTCGCATGACAGGCTCTCACTTCATCTGCACTTCAAATAAGGATGCAAGCATTTCAAGATTTTGAAATGACCACTGTTTCTCTTGGTGGTGGTCTCATTTCCCTCGACACGATAAAAAGATATTACAACTATTAACGATAGCGCCATTTGAAGAATAGACCCAAATCCACCCACCACAATCATCCAACCCGTCACATTGTAGCTGTTAGGTCGGCTTCATCACAAAAAACGGGTTCTGATGACAAAAGTCCGTAGGTGGGAAGTGAGCGAAGCCGAGCAGCTACGGCAGTGAAGATGGTCCTGAGTGTGGCTCTTTAGACCTGGAGATGGAAGAGCACCAGATGTCGAACAACAATATGCTGTAAGCGATGGCAAAACGGATGAATCTGTGTTGGTCTTGGCGGATGATCCAATCGTCCGGTAGTGAAGGGACGCGAGATGGCCGTCTGGTGGTTGAATCAGCACACGCTCTCGCGCTGGTTGCTGGAGGTCCTGTGTTGGGGCCGTATGGTGTACTAACTGTGCTAACTATACTCTGAACCTTTGGTCGGTGACTTTTCCCAACACGTATGCCCTTTCGCGCCGGTGTGCTTCATCAATTTTAACTCGTTCGGCCTTTCGCAACCCGATGGATTGAGACTGGACTTTGGAAGTGGATGGAACACCTTCTTACCCCGAATCTTCTGACAGGACCATCTTGCAAGGCGACGCGCTACCTGCACTACGTAGGCCCCCACATTGGGATTCTCGTTGCAGCTCGAGGAACTCTAAACGCCATCTGTGATCCCAGAGTGCCCAGACGATAATCTAATATTCAACTAGAATTGAGGATCTCTCTCGACCAATTTCTACTCTTGGATTGTTCAAATTAGACAGTCCCAGACTCGGCTTCATCCGCGCCGCGTATGCACAATTCAACAAAAATCGAGAACATTGACATCTGCAGGTGCTCGATGCATGGGCATTCTTTGATCGACCCTTCGCTTGCCTGTCTCGTGGTTGGTCGAGGAACAGTCAAACGATCTTTTATAGCGACCATAGTGCTGTGTAAATATGTGAATGCATGCGCGGATGTAGTGTGAGGTAGTTTGAGAGCCGAGATGACCCCGTGCCGGATTATCAAATGTTCACAGAACGAGAGTACGAGTAGAGCTCAGCGCGATCACAGAATAAGCCCCGCCGAGCTAGAAAAACGATTCCAGGAGCTATCGGCAGTTCTGCAAAAGGCGCGAGATTCTTTCAGCTGTCGATTGGACGAAGACCAACAGAACCCTCTGGTAGAGCTGCGCACGCGCTTGTTCAAAGCCAAAGATCGCTTCCAATCTCGGCTGGCTATGGCTGAGAGGTTCCCAGACCCCGGAGGCTTCTACCCCGTGGAACCAGAGAATCCGTTCCAGGAACTGCGATCCGTGTTGAGAAGCGCCAGAGTCAACTTCGTTCCTCTCTTGGATCAATACATTCTGGACAACAACAGCAGCAGAAGCAGCAGCCAAGGATGGAGTTCGAGTCACAGTCGTTCGGATGGAAGAGGAAAGAATCCCTTTTCCGGACAGCCTCCGCCAATTGAGAATCTGAAACTGGACGATGACAATGATGTGAATTCGTTCCCACATCGACTGCATTGGCTACTGGAGGAGGAAACGCGTTCCAGACGCAGGCAACTTGAGGCGGACCTGGATTCCCGAGACCCAGTAAAAGATGCTGCTGTCGCCTCTTCCTCGCCTGCTGAGCGATTGGACTCGCTCATCAATGAGGAGTTGAATCGCAAGAGGGGGCCAGGCCTTGATCGTAAAAATTTCCTTTGAAGGTTTCGGAGAGATCATGGCTGGAGCAAGTTCCGAACTTCGGGCGTACCAATTTGTGGGATCACGACAGACGAAATCTGGTCGCCGAAAGTTTTCTCATCCCCGGCAGGATGTCACCGTGATCCTTCTCCCTTACAGATCGTGTGGAGCTCATTCTAGTTTACATTCTGAACACGTTCACGGGAGAATGAAAGTTTATTTTCAAGTGGAATCCCCACATCACACCTTGCAGATTTTACACATGCATGGTCAGAGAGCTGGCTCCTCGAGAACTTCTCGAGACCAGGAATCTTCTCGGTTATGAATGCTGCGAAGATAGTCTGATGGTATTCGGGAATCGAATTAACCAGCATCCAAAGGCAGTGGAGCGTGCGATGGTTTAGCTCGATCAAATGCTGGGCACCGGAATTCATGGACCGTGTGAAGCTAATTATCCAGCGAGGCGGTACAATACTGGAGGAATCAGGCCAATCTAGAGCATTTGTGCTGGAGATTTCAGGAGAAGGTATTCGGGCTCGTATTTTTCAATTTTTGCCTTAGATACCTCGTTTCCGTCTCCAGCTTCAGTCCACTCCTTCATTGGGGTCGTTACAAATACACGCTTGCCTTGATGTGTTTCACCACATCACAGCTCGAGGTTCCCCACCTCATCTTCTCTGCCTGAAATAAACGATAGCATCAGATCAAGTGAAGAAGAGAGAATTCAGAAACAAATTGAGGTTCTGGATATGCCCTTCTATTTCCAAATACAGGACATCAGCTCGGCATCTTCACTCTGATAGCATTTAACGACATCATCGGATAATGATTCACAAAGCCCATGTCCAAAGTTTCCGTTGATAGTCTTCCATCAGAATATAAAACATGTTACTCCATCTTTCGAATTCGGAATTTGCTCCTGAAGTAAAACTTTTCTCGCTTTAGCATAACCTATAAGTTGGGTTTGGAACCGGAGGACAGGATGTTTACACACTCATCATTGCCTCAAATTTTACGAGTGTTATTTCAATTCCTTGGGTAATTGTTGAAATCGCTGCATTGCATTCAGATAGTGGTATGGTCCACCAGCTTTAGCTTCAAACGAATTGTGAGATTGCAATAGCAAGAGAAAACCCACACACACCCAAAAAAAAACCCCGGATTTCAAATGATTGCCAGTGTATCTTATTTTCGACCGAGTCACGAGCAAAAGGTCTGAACGCAATGACGACGTCGATTGACCTGCTGGGGTACAAAAGGTCATGATTCCTTAGACTGCTGTTGAATGATTGGAATGATGAATTCTACTACGTTTAGCTGCTTACGATGGTTGCTAGCAGTCAACTGACGACCCTACAATTTTTGGCATGGAAAAAGAGTACGCGGGTTTCTCTTTACTTAAGACCGAGAAGAAATCTAAACTCAAGCATGTCGAATACCTGAAAGAGTATTTTACGATACAAATCTTCTGCAATAAAACTTATCACAACTACGAGGTCTGCGTTTTTTAGAAAGAAAATTCATGACCTTTTCAATTACGATATACGAGCTTTTAGGCTAAAGTCAGACTTAAGGGTTTGCAATTCCAGTGAAATATAGTTACCAGTATAATTTAGATAATTCTTAGACCGAATCTAAGTCAATTTTTTTCCAAGAAATTAGAGATAGAAAGTTTGAATACATAATTCAAACAATGCTTGTTGTGTTGAAAATACAGGATAATTTTTAACTTTAAAGAAAAATGTTCGATTTCTTATAGTTCTATTAGGGTTGTATTATATTTGTTATAGATTATCATTGTTCTTTTGCACCAAGTCCCTAACTTAAAATGTCCTTACACAACCGAGGGTCCGAATCAATCTGTCAGCCTATTAACAAAAGTTTACTGTTTACTGAAACGTAATATTCAGATTCTGGTTCATAATAATATATGAATTTACCTACTGAATAAATCAAGAAGATCCTGATTTTAGGAGGAAAAAAATCCGATTTGACTTTTGTTGATACAAAGGAAAATTATGTTCAATATAAGGGTTATTTATTTCTTAGATCTTTACTGGGCTGGGTGCAAATTAAATTCGGTGCTTGCCACCTACACCTCCTTATTTGACGTTTCCAAATATGTTTTTATGACATACGTCTAATTCATTATATAAAAGCGTTCTGATATTTCCGAGGTTGATTTCATATTTTACTCATAGTAAAACAAAATTCACGTTCAAAAAGGTTCAGTGTAATACATCACGATTAATAACACTGTCATTGAACTTTACATGGAAGATCCGCACATATTCAAATAATGATGAGGAGAAAAGTGATAGTGTGAGCTCCTCATAGTTTTCAGATATGACAAAAGAATTAGTCCTAGATTCTATTGACGATTTATGTGATATCATACAAATGAATTGAAAGATTTCATGACTGCACGGATATGTTACACTAGTTTTTTGTCCTGTAATTCTAGTAAATACAGAGTTTAACCTCCCATCAGTGACTTACATTGTTGCTAGGTTGTAAGTCTTTATTGGGAGTTGTCATTCACAAAACAAAAGTGTGCAGCATTGACTATCAATTTCCAATAATGACATATATTGGTGCTAGGATTATACTTCATTATTGAGAGTTGTAACTCACAAATAAAACTTTGTAAAGTTCTTATGGAACGTTACACCCTTCCTAGAACATATTGTAAGTTCTTTCGAAGTTTAAATGAATGTATGTGATTTCATTATTTAATTTCAAAGCTTTGTATTGTAATCATGATAGAAATTGTACTTCCAAAATTATATTTGGAAATTTCATTATTGGATAATCTCATGTCACTATTGTACATGGGAGGATGTTACTCGTACAAGGTGACACTATTGTAGACTCCTGCTTAATTACTCAATTTATGAAATTGCCATGTATCAACATTTTTTAACGTAACATATCATGAATCGTCATGAGGTGTACATTTTGAATTTTTTTTGCGTCTGGCTTTGAGTACTACTTCTCAGACCTTGGCCTAAAACTCTTCAAGTAATTTTTTGATATCTTTGAAAAAAAATTTGCCTTAGTTTTGAACAATAGAGCAAAACATCTGAAATCCAATATCAAAAAATATCTTTTACAAAGAATCAATTCCATGAAATTCAACTTCTTCATTGTTTTTCTCATTAATCTGAACATATTCTTCCAATTTTGATTGGTTGATAGGTAAAATAAAGCTTCCTATGATTAAAACTAACTTAGTGGCAATGACGTTAATTTTGCTTTAGCCCCTGGTCCCAGTTCCAAGTTCATGAGCTCCGCACTACTGAAGGAGTTTATTGATAGACCTTGACGAGACAAAATTTCATGTTTCTTTTACATAACTTGCGGCATCCAGCAGTAACGCTGGATTTCACTAGAAAACTATTGCTTTATCTCGTCTTAGTTGATTTCCAATTTTCTTTCCGTTGTTTTAAATTCTGACCAAGCTCGTAAAAGTCAAGGATATCTTTAAAGTATAAATATGTGTATCGTTTCTTGAGAGAGAGATAATGATTCCCATATCACAAGATTGTTTCTAGTTAATAGAGTTAGAGAAATAAAAATTACACTGATGTTGTCGCGTTTGAGGTCATCAATATTATAATTCAGTAGGAGAACAAGATGTATTGTTGTTCTTTTGATTTCTGGAACAAAAGACTTCGGTGAATCATTTTCACCAAGTTTTCAAGTCTATCTATAAGTTCCATTTATTGAAAGAAGTAATTGGATAATATCAATATTTAATATACAATGAATATTTTGAATTTCTAATATTTACGCAATGAATTTCATGCTTTCTACATATGTTGGCGTCAATTGTGAGAGAATCACTAGAGTTAACAAGACTCTTGTGTTTAGATTGTAGTTGGTGTCCATGAAGATGAAATATACGAGAAGTAGACTAGAAGATCTAGTCTAGAAAATTATGAGTAAAATAGAATTGTGAAGAGAAATAGCGATTGTTGTGGATTATAGACACTGTCTCATATCGTAGAAGATCACCGAAGGTTCAATTTAAACATTTCGACAGAATTTGGGCTTTTCTGAAAGCGAGCTAATTGCTCCACATGGCACTTTTGAAATCAGCGGCTGAAATCTGGTTTGTACATAACTCACTGCACGGGGAAATGAACAATTCATCCTCGATTTCTGAAAACTTTTATCTCGAAGCAGGGGTGGGCATGGAAGCGCTGTTCTAAACCGACGTGGGCGGCCATCTCTAACTTGTCGGAGTGAGAACCTGTGGGAAAGCAGAGGAAGAGGACGAGGCTCGATGCAGGTGGGAAAGCGGCTAGAGCTGGACGCAGAATCTGTCACGAGGGGCACGAAATGCTCTGGGGCCTCATGCGACCAACGTTTCCGGTTAGGCTGAGAATGGATGACTCCTACTGCGAAAAGGATTACACCATTGAGTATGCAAATTTCAATGGAAGTCCATCTGAAGATGTTGAGTACTTCCTCCGAGATTTCGAAGCCATCGCGCAGTACAACGAACAGGTCTCGGATGAAGACAAACTGCGAACTCTTCCCAATTTGCTCAAAGAACGAGCTCTCAGTTGGTACACGTCTTTGAATGCAGACGAACGAGGAGATTGGGAAAGCCTCCGCGCTGCGCTTGTGAAGAAATTTCGTCGAAATCCTCACAGATTGCTGACCAAACTCAGCAGGATAAAGAAGAAGCCTGATGAATCCATTAGAAAATACTCGATCAAACTGACAAGGCTGATCAATCAATTGCAGAGTGTCGATGAACCCTATCCTGAAAGATTGAAGGTATGGTGGTACTTGAAGGGACTGCCAACATCCATTTGCAAGTATTGCCTGCAAGCAGGTAATAACTCCACCCTGGAAGCTGCTATATCGATTGCCAAGACCTACGAAGCGACGGCTAAGACTCCTCGTCAAGAACTTCACGGAAGAGGTACTGAAAGGTCAGACGATGCGGATGCTGACGCTGATGCGAGTTCTGAAATTTCTGATCTTGAGAGTTGTACATCCATGGGGACATTCATTTCCAGTATTGCCGAATCAGTTGATTTGAGGAGCAGAAACTTAGCTCCGAGAAAAATTCATTCCTCACCCAGCCGCCGCAAAGCGCTTGTCTCATCCCGGGAGAGCAAGACCAGTATACGCACCGAACGTCCTTCAAAGACGGTTGTTAAAAGAGAAGCTGCGAAGCTATGCTGCAAGAGTAACGATCGACAAGAAGATGTGAGACTTGGAACAAGACTGGATCGCCGATCTGCAAGTATTCAGGATGACATTGAAAGGCTTACCAGGGGACTGCACGGGCAAATCTACCTTCGAAGATAAAATAGGACGAGGTGGATCGATGAAACCAGGATTTCTATCAACCAGAGTACGGAGGGATCAATAACTGCGGTAAGAGATGCAATTTGCTCGTTCTCTCCTGACAATGCCTTCAATGAACACTGCCGGAAATGGAGTGACTTTTGGAAATACAGTATCTCCACCTCATCGTAAGGGCATAAGTTGAGATGTGCAATTCCCGTGAGAAATTAATTAAATCCCCACCAATCACCTATTTACTCCACCTATAAACGTCTCGTCCGGGAGTGGACCGCAGAACACCACGGGGGTTTTCGGGTGAGTTGAAAAATGTGCTTATATATCACTTCATTGCCTGCACAACAATTGCAACATTCTCTGACAGTCCATAAGAATTCACATATGTATCCCTCATGTCTCATTTGCCTGATGACTCACAATTCCCTGTACATATTTGACTATTAGGTACGAAGAGTACGAGGTTCCGGTAAAATCTTGTAGTTGGCCCTTTCGCCGGAGTATCGGTCTCCTCTAAAACTTGCTTTGCTGAACAGAGGTCTTAAGAGAACACCTTCAATGCTCAAGACGATCGTGTGTAATGCAACATGAGTAGATCTACGTTTTGTATAAGAGTAAACGCCCTTCCAGTGTACCACAAGCATTAGTACTGTTGTTCCCAGAACCATCAAAGGAGCGAACCAATTCATGAAGGCCATACCAACTGATTTTCAGATTTCTTCTCAAAGAAAAATTGAATTCATCATGATTTCGTCACCGAAAAGGTACGAAACGAACATTTTGGATGAGTCTGGGACTCGTAAGATCTGCTCCAGACTAATAGTGTACACTGACATGATCCCAAGCTGTATACAAACGCAAAGCTCTTTTTATTGAATTCGTAGCTGATGTGTCCCTTCGAGCCTAGATGTCTCAAAATTGTTAGATTGGATGAGAAAAATTTTCATCAGTCTTCAGCCACGTATCGATCTTTCCGAACTTTGAATAATAACCTCTGTCAAGCAACACCACATATGTGTAAGGAAGGGTGCAAATCAGAGGCTACTGGAAGGATACTTTGCCGTATATCAGGAAAAACCTTCTTATAAGAAACTCACAAAATCACATTGAAATTGACTGCGCTCCTGGAAACGGAGAGGGCTGGAAGCGTGAGGGACAAAGTAGAAGTTAAGGATACAGCATACAACCCGCTAGGAGTGCCAAGGATTGGAGGCTATTACCGCAAGAATTTGAGTGTAGGCCTTAAATCCTGTCAAAAAGCGGATGTACGTGCTTGTCTTGCTTTGGCTTTCTGCAACTGCCCTGATGCGAGGTACCAAGAAACTTGCAACCTTCAAAAGGAACATCATAAATTAGAGGCTAATCCCATATCATCAGAGAAAAAAAAATGCTCTCATGGATCCTAGGATACACAATAATCACAAATTTAACACTTACATTCGCTTAAAGCATATACCAGAACAGACACACATTCATCTTCAGCAGTTCCAGTCACAAACCTTATCTGCTGGTTCAGCTAAAATATTGACGAAGAATTTTGCCTGCGACGAGGTGAAGAGTTTTTCATGAGTAAAATTCTTGAAGTTTCTTAGATTTACTTTTGTGCATGGGCCATGAATGACGGGCAGTTTCACTTAATCTGTCCTCACCATGCACCTATCATTAGCTTACTAAAAAAGACACAAAATAGAATTCAAAAACAATTAAGTCAGATTATCAGCCAACAAACACAGATAAATACCTGCCCTGTTTCAACACCCGACATAAGAAGGTCCGTAGTCACCATGCCCGGCTGTTTTACATTCACAACAAAACCTCGCTGATCAATTATGTAATGCGGAGTTCAATTCCCTCTGTAAGGGCCTGTCCAGTCGTCTCAAGAATCATTATATATTTGTGTATGTATGTGGTGATTCACAAACGCTGCTGATAAAAAAAAAACAGCGAAACACACGTCTCCCATCAACAAACACTTAAGAAAATCACCACAGGAGATGAGAGCTGCAGGGTCCGAGCTCTATAAAGACCGCCTTACCGATAGATTGTGAACAACCACGTTCTTCACCCCTTGCATGCGCAACTCTGCCTGGCGGATCAAAAGATGACAGACGTTTTGTTGATGAAAATCTCACAGCATGAAGGTAATGATAGTCGGCAAGAAAATAATTGATACTATTGATGCGGTGAAGCTTCTTCAGCTTCTTCATTTATCTAGTCAAAGCTGTTATAGCCAGATCTGTGACGAATGTGACAAGAAATCAATACAATTAGTTGGACACTCCTCAGGACTAAACCTGCAAAGATTTCGTGAACTGAGCTAGGCTGCGTTTGGTTGCTCCATACACTGCGAATCTGCAAACATAAGCCATAATTGGTTAATTTCGAACAAAATGTCCTCTCCATAGAACATGAGAATGTTGAAGAAAAGATTATGGAGTAGAAAGAACGTTGAAAACGTTCTGTACAAAGTTCGGATTTCATAAGAAAACTAGATTCATTAGCATCTGCCTGTGACATAGACCATAGAACCCGCTCTCTGCCGAACCAGTGCTTGCCTAAGAAGATAAAAGCTTTGACATATTCAGTAGCAACAAAACTTCATCACTATTAAGTAAACAGAGAAAGTAAAACTATCAACGAGTTCTTAAGCCAGACCTGGGAGTGGCATTCCCATCAGCACCCGCACCGTCCATGTTAAATATGTGTCCTCCGCGGGGCTGCTCTCTCATTGTTCTAATTGCCTGAACTCAATCCAAGAACTCACTCAGCATCAATAGAGCTCTCCAGTTCTAGTTTAGTTGTAGATAAGGATCTACAACTAAACAACAAACTACAACTTGAATCTTACATCTGTAAGACATCCCAATTACCTGCTAGAACAAAGTTCAGAATATCAAAATAACAAACATCAGGAGGTGAGATGAAGGTGCTATCGTGTACCTGCCGGCAACAAAGCATGACACCTAGCGTATTGGTCTCCACAATTTCCCTGCAGGCAGACAACTGAATCTATGAGCAAGTGAAGAATAAGTCGAGCACTCTTCTTTACTGCTAGATTACCTTGAAAAATAAATTTCAAACCTTCCAACTAAGATCAGCCAAAACCTACACTGTCACTTGTACTTACGCAATATCTGCGTCTTCTGTATCTACCAGCGGTTTATACGAGTATGCATTCGACCCAGCATTGTTGATCTGCGTATGCAACATAGATAACTCAACGTCAATGTCGTTACGTCCTTACCCACAGTCAGATATACAGTGCATTCCAAAGACATGTGGAAATGACTGCCCTTACCCATATATCAACGTAGCCAATCTCGGATTTGCAGAAGTTGGACAACGCTTCCACGCTTTTGGCGCTACTTACATCACAAGTAGTACCCTGTCATAAGAGCAAATTTGTTAACGTCATGTTCTCCAAAACTTCTTCCGGGAGCTTGGATCAAAGAAATCTTCTTTACAGTTTTTCCAAATGTGGTGATATGAGCAATGTCGATTCATGTGATCGTTTACAATAACTTACCCAAACCCGTCTTTCTCCAAATTCTTCGGTAAGCTCCTTCAAAACATTCTGTACACGCTCCTCTGGAAATTTAGGGAATCATCAAGTGCAATACAGCGAGCAGCAGGATCCACATCTCCATCAGTGCCTTGTGGCATTGGAGTAAGAATGGTAGGAACACTGTCCACACAAGGGGCCAAGAATTGGCAAGTCTGAAGAAGGCAAATTGCCATCTTCCAGGCCTTTAGCTCCAAGCAAGCAGTATATGCTTGTGTGCCAGACTCAGGCAAGTAAGCTACAGAACCAACAAAAAGCTACCCCTCGAGACCAAAAATTGCATTTCTATTTCTTGTCTCTTTCCATCATCCGAGAAACTTATCTCAACACAGCACATTCTCACTTCTTCAGCTCATTCTTGTTCCAAAGAGTGACTTCGTCAAACAAAACTAGTTGAAGGTAAAATGAACTCAATTAGCGTTACGTGCCTGAACGAGAGCAGATAATCACATTGTCCCCTTCTTGTAGGAATACTTTAGCAAGCGCGTACCCAACACCTGTGGCGGGCAATCAAGGAATCACACATGTTGAGAACTTGCTGTGACAGACCTTGAGCGGAATGAGATTACAGGAGACTATAACTGAAATACAGCGGAGAAATGTCAAGAGAAATTTCAGAATACAATGTTGTATCTTCAAACCAAAATATCGAAAAATCTATGCATCTGCATTACACCTTTCGTGGAACCAGTGATGAGAACGTTAAAGGGAGGACGCATCTCCTCCTGCAACACAGTCGAAGCTCGAGCAGTCTGCTCTTCCGACGCTGCAGCGGCATTGGCCCGAACGGGATTCCCACAGCTATGAAACTTCTTCTCCACACGGGCCAGAGACAATCTCTCATCGAACTGTCGTCCTACTCGAACTCTGGACCAGGCAACGACATGGCCACATGCATTCTGACGCTCTGGAGCTGAGAAAGAAGAGTCTGCTCGGGCAAGAGCCGAACCGCAGAGGGATGAGCCCGAAAGCCCAGCAGAAATCATTGCCATTCACAATCCAATTCGACACAGAGAAATCTCTCGGTGCGAATTTGCTGAGACTGACGAGCTTCCGATTTTCCCTGCCTCTGCCGCTCCTCCGTCCATAATCCTCGAGGCCTGCCTTCCGGCTGACAGCAGAATCTATCCGCTCCACTCTAACCAAGGCTCCTTATGACACAAGAACGTTCCCGGTCATCATCATCATCGAAGCCGGTTGTAGTTTGCCCACCGTGTAAAAGTGGCCGAAATGTTAGATAGTCAACATTCGGCCTTGTTCTATCCTTCTTCAGTGAATGGCGAACACATGGTGTAATGGTTTCAACAAAGATTTGTTTTTGCAATCTTTCTGAAGAAGAGGGAATAATAAACACTAAGAGATATCATCAAGTGAGTGTGAAAATGTACTGGAGCAACTAAGCAAATGAAAAGTGAAATTTATTTCAACCACATTCAATTCAAGCCGAAACACACATGCTATCAATGGTTAAATCTAAAATTTTTATCCATATTAATGGTGTAGATAAAGTCAGTCATAGATTGAAACAAATATAGACCTATCTACCCATTTACCATTTTACGTTAGTTCATAATTGAGTATACATTATTACTTCGTGAATATACATCAACTATTAAAAAAATTTGAAGACCAGAGATTTCACTGATCACTTCATTACATTTCATTTTGAGAAATAAAATGTAATGAAGTAAAATGTTTTCAGCATCAGATTTAGACATGAATTTCAAGTTGAATATTATAATCAATCAAATCCTTCTAAGATAAATCAATTTAAGTGAAATTAATCAATGAAAAGATGTCTAAAATATTTTTTCATTATCTTATAATGAAGAGAATTATTTTCTTCAACTACTAAAAAGTTCAAATCTCTTGAGTGAATATCTCAAATAGATGTTCTTTAAAACTACGCTAGATTTCAAGCTGATTGATTGAAAACTCCTTCTCATTTCCTACCAAAGCGCAACTATTATACGAAGATGTGAAATATGAGAAACGTGGAGTGAAACCTACATAGATATAATTTTATTTATATTTATAGACATAAGATTTATTATGGTGAGGATTATGGCAAAATTACTTGATAATTTTAGAAAAAATTGATATATATATATATCTTTGTTTAAAAAAATTTGTGATCTTGATATTATAAATCTATCTACTGAAGTGATCTGTCATAACTGAGAGATTATAAAATATTATTTAAATAAAAAGATAATGTAATCAATATATAATATTAATTTTTAATAGTTTTTCAAATTGATAATATATTATTATTATTGTTTTTATAAAAATTTGTACAAGTTGTAAAATTTCTTTTTAAAAACATCTTCTTGAACTTAGAGTTTGTTACATTGATATTCCAATCGTAATGTATCAACAATGTTCCAAATAAATGTTACAATGTATTTCCAAATCAATTACTACATTAGCTCATATTTTCACAACATTTGTTTGACTATTCTCCCGCAATAAGACATCCCAACCAATGTGTTTCACATTCAGGTATTTATAGTGAATGCGCTCTCCTATCAAACCAACCACTTAGCGTAATCATTCAAGATACGTTTTCCATATGAATGGAGGTTTTTCTGGAAGGTGCATTTCAAAAAGTAAATTTCAGTTATTTATTTTCCTATTCTCATGAACCCTAAGATGGCGATTGTGATCTGCCATCATGCTAAAGGCTAGCATACTATATTGTCAGTAAAAATGGTTACCATTCACTTCCTCACTACGTAGAAGTGAAAATGCTTGTTTACGAAGGAATGAAAACAACTAGCTCCAGGGAATGACAAAAAATCATGATAATATAGTCCAGGACAAGTGCTAGAAGTTGAAAGTAGTAGTAAGCATGAATGATGAAGGAAAAAATTGAAGAAGAAAACGTCAAATAAACTGAAGAAGAGAACGTCTCGTGGGATATTGATAAGTTCACAACCTTTTTCTTACAATAGTGCCTCTGGAAAATTTCATTCGTTCTTCGTATCTTAAAGAAGGATCTTTAACATCCTTGATATCAACCCTGTGCTCTTTAAACAGTTTGTAACGTTGTTTTTTAAGATCATTAAGATTGTTGTGAATTTGAACAGATAAGTTGTGAATTCGAGAGGAAATTGCTCAATACAGAATAGAGATTGAGTCCAAGAGGGAAAAGTAAGAGAAGACGTGAGAACTCGTCGCTGCAGTCTTTCAGTCGAATGTGCGATCGATGGTCGTCCGAGGGGGAACCCAATAATTGCCCGAGACGTATCTCCCGACGGAATCTCGAGGGAAAATACGGCTACGGTATCGTATTCGGCGTCGAGATTCCATCCAAAAAAAGACGCTCGACAATGTGAACGACAGAGGACGAGCTCTTGGGACCGAAACTGGAATGCAGCAGCGAGGCATTCGGGTCCGCTCCGGCTCTGGCTCTGGCGCTGGCCAATTCAAGAGGAGGATCGGCTGAGGGCCGAAGTGTGAGAGAGGAGCCCGGGCGCAAATCGGAGACACGGGACGGGAGAGAGCGAGGGAGGGGGAGAGGGTGAGAGGGTGAGAAAGGAGGTCGGAGCGTGCTTCCCTCGCAAATTGGATTGGGTTTGGTTTTGAATCTCGTCGCGATGGCCGAGCGTAAGGTGGATCCTCTGGATGCAATCAGAGCCTTGATGGCAAATTACTCGCCAGTGATCGATGCGCTCGTCGTTCCGTCCGAGGATTATCATCAGGTCGGTTATACTGCTGTTTCTTGTTTTCTCGGACTCTTCTTCCTTCCTGCTTTTAATTCTGTTCTCTGTCCATCGGTTGGGTTCTGTATCTGTGACGTCTGGCTCTGGCTCTTTCCTGATCTGCCTGCCGTGTTGTCTTACGATTTTGAATTCTGGTGGACTGATCTTACGTCGGTTTCGGCGTTGGTGGTCGTTTTAACATGTTCCACCTGTTTTTATCATTTTTTAAGCTGATTTCTAACATTTCTGGAAAGTCGTCAGCAATATTACTCAATCTTGCTTTGGTTGCTTGGATTTGCCCGCTCATGAGTCGATATTTGAATATTTGAATTGATTTGATGCACAGTGGCCAGACATGTCTACTGGCGAGTTATGCCTATTAGTGTTCCGACTGATGTGTCACAGAAGATACGTCTTTTTTTTCTGGAGCAAGATATTTTACTTGAGTATGCTCAGTAAGTAATATTCTCATGGAATGTGGCCTAAGAGTATTTTGAAGCCCGGGACTTGCTCCAAATTTCGTTGGAAACTGGACGGTCAGTGTGGTGGGAGATTAGTGAAGCGCTGCAATGCAAGGCAGGGGCACCTTTTCCTGAAACCTTTCTCCATCCCTCAATGCACAAGCTGGGTTCTAGAAACGTATGGGTTTTCATTGGTTACGCAGCTGCAACGTACTTGGTTCAGACGGTTCAGACTGCTCACTGCCTCTTGTTGACAAAGTAATGATATTTTCGAGGATGTGGTTGTATTTGACTTCAAATCACTCTGTTCTGTGCCTAGTTGATTGCCAACGTTGAGGTTCAATAGTTGATGTTTCGTGTCCCTCGAGACCAATTTGGTTTGATCTTATGTGTACCTGTGTGAAGTGTTAATTGATGTAGAGAACTTAACTTCGAAGTAATGTGACTATCGGTCAGTGGGGTGTGATTTTAGTGGCTCTAGTTCTTCAGATGTTTCGTATCGTTGCTGGACTGTCATATAATTCCCTTGTTTGCTGTACATTGATGAAAATATGATATGTTGTAACAGTTGTGTTCACTACTTTTACGAATTCTGCCAGTGAATGTGGTGTGATGTTCGACAACTGATTCTGTCATGGTATATAAATGAGTTCAGAGTGAGTACACAGCCGACGCCGACAAGCGGCGGCAATTTGTTTCCGGGTTCACTGGAAGTGCAGGTACGCTACTGGTAGCGTTGTCCATTAATTTTGTTGTGTACCGTAGCTAGCCAGAAGTATATATTGAGAACCTCTGCTGCACCTACTCTACTCTCGTACCACCATGTTTAATAGCCATTTTCTGCATTTGACAGTTGTTTAGTTGGGGGACCAAAAATATACTGAAACTAGTTGTCTTGTTCAATTCGCATGAAACCACGAGTAGAAAAACTATATAGGAAGATACAACATATATTATTTCGGAAGGCTCAGATGGCGGCAGGAAAAGTCGTGGAAAGAGGCTTTAGAACCAGCTGAGATAAGAGGAAGATCAAAAATATTCGCAGAAGCTTCTTCGTGGACTGGCCTTTTTATAACAAATTCCCGCATTGAGTAAAGAAAGAATATGGCCGGCGAGGTGTCTCAATGCATGTCCCGTACATGCTTTCATCAGTAAGCGGACTCTGGGCTGCGGTATGTTGAAATAGCACTTCATGGTCCCTGCACAGGTGTAGCCGTGATCACGAGTACAGAGGCTTTGCTGTGGACTGATGGACGGTACTTTTTGCAAGCGACTCAAGAACTCAGCGACAGATGGAAACTCATGAGGATAGGAGAAGACCCTTCCTTGGAACAATGGTTGGCTGATGTAAGACGGAGTTGTGCATCATTACAAATCAATGCGTACATACAACCATGCATGTTCATTGTGATGGTTTTGGCTTGATTCTTTCAGTCTTTCATGACCTTGAGTTCTAGTCAACGCATGGGATTGGTATTACTATGTCTGGACTCCGCTTGATATACTGTGTGCTCAAAATTGAACTTCTGAATTTGCCAGAATTTGGACAAGAATGCACATGTGGGTGTGGATCCTTGGTGCATATCCGTTGATACTGCAAACAGATGGGAACAAGCTATTTCCAAGCAATCTCAGAAAGTTGTACCACTCAAACACAATCTTGTTGATGCTGTTTGGGAAAGTCGTCCATCCGCGACGATTGTTCCTGTAACTGTCCATCCTTTGGAGTACACAGGTCGGTCTGCAACAGAGAAAATTGCAGAGTTGCGGGCAAATCTGCTAAAAGAGAATGCATCTGCAATGATTGTTTCCACTCTAGACGAGGTAAGTGTTCAAATCTGAAAGATTTCACACTACTCTGCGTATTTATGCTTTGTACGCTGCTGTTTGCGAATGTGAATATTGTTTTTCTTGAAGAAAAATAGAGCAAGTGAATTGGGACACTCACAAAGCCAATTGCCGCGTTGGTACAGGTTGCATGGCTGTATAATATAAGGGGTGGGGATGTTCTGTACAACCCAGTCGTGCATGCATTTGCTATTGTTACTCACAAATATGCCTCGATCTATGTGGACAAGAGAAAAGTAGATTCTAAGGTAATACTCTCTCTCTATCAAGTATATTTTAGAAATATGTAAATTTGAGCCTTTTGTAAGAAACGATCGTAGTTAAAAAAATCGATGGTTCCGCAGATTTTCAAAGATCCCCAGTTATCTCTCCTGTTACATCGTTCAACTAACTGAAGTAGCAATACGTTTTTTTACAGCAGACATTTCAAGTATATTTTCTAACTGCCAAATTCTGCTAGGGAGTTGCAAATGCAGGGAGTGGTTACGCCGTTAGTTAGCCAGTTGGAGAACGCAAGATGCGTTCTCCAACTGGCGCACCTGGCGCAACAACAACCGCTTTGAAGTACGAATGACGGAATGCATTTAACTCGGTTGAGATTGATCTGTCGGTGTAGGTCGAGGCTTATTTGGCGGAGAATGGCATCGATGTATACGATTATGACTTGAAAGCCATACTGCAAGATGTTGAAGGACTTGCAACGTTAGATGCTCCAAAGGATGATATTGTATCAGATAGAGTTGAAAATGGAATTGGTTCTGATGGACCGTTGCCGAATTCGGGTCATGAGAATGGGTTCAGTTCTGTACAGGAGGATAACAACAGCCCCATCAAAATTAGTACTCCACTTGTCTGGATGGACCCAGCAACCTGCAGCTTTGTGTTGTATGCCAAACTTCCTGCGGACAAAGTGTTCTTACAACAATCACCTCTGGCGCTTGCCAAAGCACTTAAGGTAATTTGCAACTTCTTTCAAGTTTTTACCTTGTTTTGTTCTTTCTGTACAATATCTTTTTCCCAAGGAGATGGACTGAGTTGAGAAGCTCCGCACGCATTCAGCCATAGAAGATAGTCCCGAAAGAAAGACATACATTTGAATGGGTATTGGCAATCCGCTGGTTATCCTCCATATTTTGGGACCATCTTCTATAGTTGAAAATGTTTAAGTTATTTACTCTATCTATATCTCTACCTTCATAAGGACCCATAAATTCCTGAACTTCACTGTAAATATGTGATTTCTATGGATCACATTTTCACATTGTTCAAAATCCTATAATCCAAGAATATCTTATCAAATTGATTACATGAATGTCACACACAACATTGTGTAACGACTTTTTTATTCTTCTTTGATCCTTCACAGCATCCAGTGGAGCTTGAGGGCCTCAGACGATGTCACATTCGAGATGGAGCTGCTGTTGTGGAGCATACGGCCTGGCTTGATGCACAGGTAAGTAGATCCTACATTTTCTTCGCTGGACAGCATGTGTTTTTCCTAAATCTTTGCTCGGACATACTCATGCATCTGTTTCAACCTTCACGAATGAAACTGCAATCGGTGACGGTGTATGGAGAAAGGCTGAACAAGTTTCGAGGATGTTGTGGATATTGTTACCTTGCGTGGTGTCAGCTCAAGAAATCAACGGTTAATTGGTTAAGATGTTGTTAATCTGGTGATGTACAGATGCAGGAATTGTATGGAGCTGCAGGTTTTTTCACAGAAGCCAAGGATACTCTTAAACGCAAGCGCACGTGAGTTGCTGCAGTCAACCTGTAGACGTATATTCTTGGATGCGGACTTTCATTAGATGAAGGTCTTTAGAAACTGAGTCCTGAAATGTACTTATTAAGGAGCAAGTCATAGTCATTGTCCTTCGTCATTTCTATTCGCTTGGAGGACTGCTTATGTCGAGTTCTTAGGATGTATTACAACTTCAGTTAACTGGTGGCAGACCTAAGCCCATGAAGTTCGAATAGTGATAAGCTGGCTGAAGGTACGTCATCACGGTTCTTGACCTTACTAGAATGCCAGAACTGTTGCTCTTTGTCTTTCAATAATATTCTCTGCATTGTTTTTGGGTAACATTGCAGGGAAGCAGAGAAGATGACAGAAGTATCTGTTAGTGACAAGTTGGAACACTTCCGCTCACAGCAAGAGGTTGGGCAAGAGTTTGAAGTGCTCCTGTTCAGCTTAAATTTTTACCGTTACTTTCATTTCACAAGTTCTCTGTGATCTGAAGATTGTGATTTTGGAGCTGAACCACTCTTGGGTTCAGATCTCACCATAGATGTCAGTATGAACATAGTCTTTGAAATGTATATAGCTACATTGACCTAGTGCAGCATGCATATGACTTAGACTACTCGTACTTACATATATGTTCGGATCCATGTTGCAGTTTTTCAGAGGTTTGAGCTTCTCAACAATAAGTGGTGTCGGCTCCAACGGAGCTATTATCCACTACCATCCAGAGCTTAAGACCTGTGCAGAAATGCAAGCTGATAGCATGTACCTCTGTGATTCTGGAGGGCAGGTACGTTAAAGGCTTAAGGTATTTAGTACTGTAGGTACTGACTCGTACACTGCCGAGATCTTGGACGTCAAGTTGATGTTTTTGAACCTTGCATCAGTTTCTTGTAAATGATGATTGACTTTGTAGAGTTGAGATCCCAGTTTGTGATACCTTCATATACATGAAAATCAGTACGAACAGGTTTTTCTCATTCAAGAATGTAGATGTTTGTAGATACTGATCCCAGTGATGTGCTATTTTCACCTAATAACAGTATTCAGACGGAACCACTGACATCACACGAACAATGCATTTTGGTAAACCGACAGCACATGAGAAGGTCTGCTATACACAGGTAAAGTATGTTTCTCTGAACAATATCAAACGATTAATTTGTCTGCTTCAACACCTCCGATGGTTGACAAGGAATTACATACCCAAGTATTCACCAGTTGGTTCATAGGGATGTGAATTATTCACATTTTTCACTTTGAACAGAATTCCTTTCCCTTTATTCTTAGGCTGTTGCTCCATCTATATCTGCTGTACTTGCACATGAGGATAATTTAGTGGAAATTTTTACAGTAAAAGCCCTTTTGTGCAGGTTTTGAAGGGCCATATCGCTCTGGACATTGCTATTTTCCCCAATGGCACAACTGGTATGTTACAACAATTCAAATGCGTATTCTGTTTACAGTCTTTCATTTCTTCCTCTCCGCAAGAGATCATCGTTTGGTTTCCAGTGTCCCTCCTCAGAACCCACAAACCAAACAAGAAATAAAGTTTAGCCAACTGATTTTGAAACTTTCGGTATCTCTTCCCGCAGGGCACGCCCTTGACATCCTAGCAAGAGTGCCTTTGTGGACAGAAGGATTGGATTATCGACATGGCACCGGACATGGTGTCGGTAGCTTCTTGAATGTGCATGAAGGTTTGTTGGCCTCCTTCTGAAACGGTTATTAAAGTGAAAATTTTGAAAAGTATCACACATACGAAAGAGTTTGTACATCTAATACTTTATCGTATCTTTGACATAAGAGTGTTAACGTAAGTAGCTCTTTTCAGTTTAAGTCATTGATTATCAATATCATTTGTGTCAATGTTTTTCTTCGTGCTTCAAGATCTTCTTCTGCAATTCAATATTTTTCATGCCCAAATCTGTGTGGCTATACATATTTAATCTTGACACGAGTGTTGATATTGGAATTTTGGTTTGCTTCGTATAGGTCCTCATTTGATCAGCTTTAGGCCTCAGGCTCGCAATGTTGCTCTTCAAGCAACCATGACCGTTACCAATGGTAAGAGTCCATCAGTTGACGACTGTATTTGATCCACCGTGTTATATTCCGCCTAGATTTACAACCCAACCATTAGTGTCTGAATTTGTTGCAATGGATTAGTCTTGAAGCATATTTTGGAATGCTTTGCGAGGCTAATTAGGAAGCCAGAGCGATAATAATTCAAGAGATGAAGTTTTGTGGAAATAGAAACTTAGAGATCAGCTAAGGAGCAAGTTGTCTTTCTATCTGGAACAGAGCCGGGTTATTACGAAGACGGTAATTTTGGGGTGAGGATAGAGAACGTGATGATTGTGAAGGAGGCAGAAACGAAATTCAACTTCGGCGACAAGGGTTATCTCGCTTTTGAACATGTCACCTGGGTACGCATCACATCCTTATGATCAACTTTGGCTGTTTGCAGTTTTACATTACTGATATACTTCTCTCTTCTTTTGTGGATGGTGATTATGTCGACTGTGGAGGTGCTCCATGTAAATTTTTTTCAGCCTAGGATTGAAATTCTGCCCCTGTTTATTGGCAGGTTCCATATCAAACAAAGCTCATGGATCTTTCTCTTCTCTCGGAGGCCGAAAAAAACTGGATTGATCTGTATCACAAAGAATGTCGGGAGAAATTGACACCTCTCCTCTCTGGCTATAGTCTGGATTGGATGATGAAAGCTACTGAGCCGCTTCCTCGGTAAATCCAGCTATATTTGCCAGCTCAGTTTCTTCACATGTCTCATTGATGGCACTATCTAGGGTGCAATCACCCGTTGTAGATAAGTGAGCATGCTGGAAGCTTTATGCTTGTACATATCCAGCTTGAAGTGATCACTGTCATCAGATATTTAGGAGAAGTCAGGGAACTTATGAGCTGCCAAAAGTTGGCCTCTTTGTCCAGAGAAGAAGAGTTCAACGTCGCAGATCAATAGAGACGGGACGACAGGTTTTCAATGACAAGCTGAATGTGAATGAAATTTCAGTTCTTTTTTTGCACATTGGAGAGAATTTGGTTGACTGTGCGCATTAATGTGTTTTGTATCTTGTCCTTTTACTTTTTGAAAAGAACAAACCTCGACCTGTAGATCTTTCTCGTCCTGGCCAAGTGGCGATAAGTAAACAATTATGCACATGACATCTCCTTCCTCACTCGTTCTCAGGTGGCTTTGCTTCGCACCTCCGGCCCGTTCCCGGCAGGTCGAGCATTATGTTCTAAAAATATTTCTTTGTCAACTTTTTTAGCATAATAAACTGAGGATAGCAAATAAAAAGTTTACTTCGAGGAATAGGATAATCTCGCGGCCTCTTGATCCATGAGGATATGGAGGATAATGTCTAACGGGTGAAACTAGTAATTGTAGGGGTTATCATATACGTAGCAGTAAGATGCAAATGGGAGAGTTTTGATACCTATGGCAAAAATTTCGTGACGGGTCTCTTCCATTTTATCAATTTGACAGTTTAATGGCCGGCCGTGGAATATCTACCCAACAAGTTCCTTATTGTCGCTTAGTGGATTCAAAATCACAAAGAAGTGGGTATCGCAAACGTCAACTTTCAATGTGTATTTCGATGGCGGATATTCGAGATTTATCAATTTAATCGAATTTCAGCTCAACGATATCCTATTAAAACTTGAGACTGACAGTCGATTTTTCACGGAAAGTCTAAGGGAGTTGGTCAAATTTCTGGTAGTGGAGGTGAACATGTTCACTGTTAATTTTTTATCACACATTTTTTTCTATTCTAAATTTTTTACGACATTTTTTGGAAGATTTTACAATATTTTTAGTACACTTTTGCCATGGTCGGTACCATAGATAGTTTCACTCCTTTCTATAAATTACCAACTTACGTTTTTACTTACTGTAATTACTCAATTTTAACAATTTGATTTTTCTCGAATATTATCTGTAGCATATAATTCTTTCGTACGTTTGTACATCTATGTATACAAACGTAGATTTAGACATATAAACGTACAAAGGTGTTATATGCTTATTAAATGTTTTGAAAAGATGAATTATTTCGAAATAAATGTGATATTTAAATATTGGTGTGAAATATATGTTTTATGTTTTATATAATTTTATTTTTTTTCCTACTATTTCTAAGTTATAATAATAAAATGGTTATTATATGAGATTTTCAATTTTTTAATCATATGTTTCACATCATGTTTTTCTCATAAGTGGAAGAAAAGGGTCAAACTTATAAAATATGTAGGGGTAGATGCATGTTGCAGACGACCATTTGTCTCACATAAGACCACAATTACAATCCATCAATTTGTTTACTTCGACACAGTATAGAATTTAACCTCAACCGTTTTATTACAATTGTACAGTCTTTCAATAGAGAGTATTCATACACATTTGAGGTCTAATGTATAGTACAGAAAAGTTTCTCTTCTCGTCCCCTTTGACAATTATTGGGAAAAAGCTCCTGACGATGACAGCAATTAGCAGTCATTCCTTCAGCACATGATACGCTCCCGTTCAAACTTCGTTTTCAGTATTGATGTGCGGCAGCTGCTGCACCTTAGAGCTGAATGGATCACTTACTGGGGGATAGAGTCCTACAAAATGGACAGTAAACACAATCATCAGTCATCTGGCGTTAAGTATTCTATAAGCTATCGACTTCTACAATAAGAGAGTACTTGGTCTATAAACTATGAGGCAGGAGGGCACGCTTTGATTTCATAGATGTCTCGACCGCTCTCCGAATTTCATGTTCACATTATCTTTAAGAAGGGACTCCATGTGAGCTCGAAATGTGACTGGAGAATGATGACTTACTGTGATCTTGTCCTTGAGGTTACTCAAAAAATCTTTGCCTCCCTCGACGGCATCGCTGGCCTTATCCTGAACCTGATCAGCGACATTGCCAGCCTTGTTGCTAGCTTGCCTGGTCACACCCTGGGTCGATGCGATGTCACTCTTGACCTTGTCTCCTGTAGTCTCGACGTCGGACTTCACCTTGCTGGGTCCGTTGTTCACGAGGTCCTCGATTCCTCCTCTGACATTGTTGGCAGCATCCTCGATCGAGCTGGTTGACAAATCTCCAGCATTGTTGTTTCCCTTGAACAGGTCTCCGAGTCTGCTTCCAGCTTCCTCAACATTCTTCTTCGCCGTTTCGATCGTCTTGTCTGCTCCGGCTTGAAGACCTTCGATAGGTCCACCTCCGGCCCTGTGTGCTCACACATGTCAGATTTGGCACCAGCTGAGGAATTCTCAAATCAAAGGCGATCTATTCATCTCAGCGCAACAATTCATGCATCGAGAAAGTATTGACACTTACTGCAGGGCGAGCTTGTCGGGCTTCAGGAGAGATCCTTCGGGCAGGCGCTCACCACCGAACCGCTGCGGTGATTCGTTGGTGGTGAAATCGTCTCCGGCTTTCAAGAGATCGTTGGCCTGCTTGGAGGTGATGGCGGCTCCGTCATTTCCTGGGCCCGAGGCAGCCAAGGAGCTCCCGGCTACCATGAATGAGCTGCCAGCGACAGCCAAAGCAGCACCGGCTGCCACTAAACCTGCCAGCATTTCCTTCCTCGCTGACCTGGGTTCCTGCGGTCGTGAGCATCCGGGGTTACGTTACTCCACCATGTATCAGATTCGCCCACTTGCTACTCGAGGATACAATCTGATCAATCACATTTCACCAAAAAATCTACAATCCACATATTCAATCGACTCCTAGATCATTCCTGGGAAGTGAACTTGAAATTCCTTTCAGCCTCAAAATTTACAGACTGGAGACAAGAACTCGAGTGCTACACTGATTACCAGACTTCAGACAATTAAGCATCAGGATTCAGAGCAACCCTTACCTCGGATGCACTAGCCCTGATGCTCACGACGCCTCTCCGGGCAGTCTTGCATGGAGCAACACTGACGACCGGGGTGGCGAAAGAAGTCCGAGACGAGAGGAGGGAAGGGGCAGCCACAGCGCTGCTGGAGAGGGTAAGAGATGCTGTAGATGCTGCCATGATTGTAAGTGAATTCGACGAATTGATAGGAGTACAGAGATCAGAAAGTTGAGCTGCAATCTGCACTGGAAATCGTAGAAATGATCTAATTGAAGAATTGGAATCGGAGATACTGCTTGATAATGCTTACTACAGATTGCTGCTGCTCGAATGCTGTGTGATACAAGTGGCACGGCGACCGGAGCTTATATACGTGAGAGCTTCGAGGCCCGAACATCCAGCGCCGAGGCCCGATCTGACGGCCTTGAGCCTGCGACTCAAGGCCCGGCACGTGGTCTAGAGGCAATGGAGCTGCGAATTGCGCCCGAGGAACAATGCGTTGAGGATAATCAACGCCCCACGTGTCGCGAGGAAAGTCGGCTCGCAGCCTTCGTATTGGCCCGGGGATTTCGGCCCGAGGACGAGGTCGCGATTCTGCTGTAGACGCACGACACTTGGCTCCAACGATGGTACGATGTCACGGCTGCGGGCACTTGGCACTTTGCATGCCCATGCTCGCCTTCGTTCTCGTGCTCGTGCTCCCTCCCTCCGTCTGAGACTCTGAGACTCTGAGCGAGCGAGCGAGTGAGTGAGTGAGTGACTGCCGCTGACAGTGGTCGCCTAGATCGATCTGTTGTAGCCAGGCAGAGTGGGCCTCGGGGTCGTCGAATCGAAAACGTGCGGAGTTTCGTTTCGTGGTCGTTTGGGGTCTATTGATCTGAAACTTCACTATTGATCCCTTGGATTGAGACTCGTGTAATTCGTTTGTCTCCGGTGTTCGACAATTACTGTACTCCCCCCCTCCGACATCCCGATCTGGGCTCGGGTTGTTGGGGATTCCCGTACGAGGATGGATGCCCATGACATTAGTCCGGTCTGCCTGCCAGACCGACGAAGACGGCCAATCTCCTGAAGATGCATCAGGGTCCATGGAATGCATTTGTTCCAACTGATGAGTGTCTTATCTACAGCGTATGCATTCGAGCAGACCATCAGTGCTCCATGCTGAACGATCGGGCTTCTTGCTTGCGCTTGCTGTTAGTGCGAACTGGGCCAGTAATGAGCTTGTGAAACATGGTCAGGCCCATGTTAATTTACTAGATAATTAAAGTTTAAAATGAGCATTTTAATGTACAGTGATCAGATTATTGTTATCATGAGAACTTTCGAAATCATAATTTTGAGCTTATGATTGTGAAGTACATTCCGGTTAAAGATAAATGCTACATATTTTGCCATAGATTGTAATAAAAAATTATCGTGAAATTGTTATGGATAGATTGTTTGATGATATACTTGAAGATGGAAATTAGGTTGTTTTAATATATTATATTGAATGATGTTTTATCCTTTGTAGTAGAGTAATTTTATTTTTCTTTAGGTGAAAGAGAGAAAGTGTAAATATTTATTACATATATTTTGTAATGTCTAACTTGTGTTTCGGCGGTTTGGAGACGATGATTGTGAAGGCTAGTATCAAAGTATTTCAATCAGATTTGTCTTTGTTTCTGGTTGTTTCTAAACTTCATTCACTCTTGATAATTTCGCATGGAGCTGTTCGGTACTGAGCGATTGGTGAGACATTGTGTAGATTGGAACATTAAGGTTTTATTCATAATCGTGTCATGCATATGTTACAACTGTACAACCTCTTGCAGAGGAACGTCGTCGAGCTTTGACGGAAAGAACGTCGATGGCTCTCTATCCTCTACGATACACTACAAAACGCGCCTACTGACGCTCGCCTTCGTATAAACCCATGAGTACAATATACAATCGCCATCGCCATGTAGTCTCTTCTCTGCTCTTCGTGGCACGGTTGCTTCGCTCGCTCGCTCGCTCTGCGCTGCCTCGAAAAAATGTCGTCTGTCTACTGAGGAATAGCATCCTGCCACAAACATAACCAATTCTCACATTCAGTGCGTGCAAGTGAAACACTCCATGAGATAGTCGAAGGTTATCGATACTTATGGAGAATGTATCACATGAACGAGTGAGTGCTAAGCAAGGCAACTGTCAGACGAGATTATGGCAGAAGAGGATGGTTGCTTACAGTGACCATGTCTTTGAGGTTGCTCAACATTCCCTTGCCACCTTCGACGGCATCTTTGGCCTTGTCTTGGGCCTGGTCGATGACGTTGCTGGCGTTGTTGCTAGCTTGCTTGCCCAAGCCCTTGGTCGAGGCGATGTCGTTCTTCACCTTGCCGGATCCGTTCTTAACGAGATCGTTCACTCCTCCCTGAACTTTCTCCACGGGGTTGCTGGCCAGGTTGTTGTTCTTCTTCCCGAAGATTCCGTCGATCCGTGCCTGTGCGTTTCTCAAGTTCTTCTTCGCTCCCTCGATCGTCTTGGTGGCAGTGTTCTCCGCTCCCTCTTGAGCTCCTCGAACTCCGGATCCAGCTCTGCGAATTCGTCGTCATCAAATCATTAGCTTCCATTCTCTCATTTCAATACAAACAAATTCAAATAGCGCTCTGTATACTCTCCAAATCCTCTGCCTAGTCTGGGCTCAGAGGATGATCGACTTCCAAAAGCACGAGTGCACGAAAGAATGCCCCTTACTGTTGAGCGATGTTGTTATTTCCCGTGCGCAGTCCATCGGGACCAGCGAATCGTGGAGGAGAGTCGTTGTTGATCAGGTCGTCTCCGGCCTTCAGAAGCTGATCGGCCTTCTTAGCAACTCGCTTCGCTCCCTGGTTCCCTGGGCCTGATGCAGCCAGAGCATTGCCAGTGGACACCAGCACTGCACCTGCGGCCAGCAGACTAGCCAGCATCTCCCTCCTAGCAGCCTTTGGCTCCTGAACAATAACCCACCGATCATCGACGTCAGCACGTGGATCCGAGACACACATTCGATAATCTATCGACAAATCCATAGCACTACGACGACACCGAAACTCAAGAGAATGTATACGAGAACAGGGGAAATATAATTCTGAAAATGTCATGAATGACGGCGGTTCCTCACCTCTTGAATGGAGGCACAGATGGTCATGGGGCCGGTGCGTGCTGTCTTACATTGTGCAACACTGACAACTGGGGACGAGAATGCGGACCGGGATGAGAGGCTGGACGGAGCGACCGCGCTGGTGGCGGCGAGAGCCATAGTCGATGCGCAAGCTGCCATGATAATTTTCGTCGAATTTAAAGACTACAAGAGACTTACTGAGCTGAAAGTGAGAGAGAGAGGAAGTAGAGGTTTGATTACAGAGGGGAGAGAGGGAGATGATTGCCTGCCGATGATGCCGAGAGTCTCGACCGGGACAGAATATATAGTGCAAGGCTCCTTGAGAGTGCAGCGTTCGAGGCAGAAAACACGGTCAGATTGAGCGATTTGAACATTCCGTCAAGTTCCGGCACGTGGCTTGCTCAGAATGGGTGTCCATTCGTGGAGTCAGATCTGGAGGGCGTCCGTCCTTTGCAATGGTGTCGAAGACCCACGCGTCGTGAGTACAACTGGACTGATGCGCATGCCCCCTCCTAAACCTTCCCGAAGATTTGACACTTGGCCGCAGCATGAGAGCCATAGCCAGCCAGCCAATTCCTTGCCTTCGCTTCACAAGAATCGTCTTATTAGACGCTGGAGCCCGTGACAAAAGACGTAAATGGACTCGAGAGTCTACACAACGAATCATCTCCATGCTGATAAGCCTCGATGTAATAATCACCCTGAGCCATAACCATCCCGACACGAGTGTTATTACTGCGCCCTCGGCTTCCTCTTCTGATGATCTGGATCTAGGAAGTTACTTCCATCTACGAGGTCCATTCATCGTACGCTCGGCTTTCCTGAACTTTCTATCATTCGTATCGCAGTTTTTCATAATCATCATTTTGTCTGTTCCACTCTTTTGTTCTCATGCGAGAGCGAGAGCCTTTCTCTTCCCGCCAGTGAAACTGATCAGTCGATGGTGACGATGCCTTCTTCACGATCCCTCCCGGAGAGATCATCAGAGTCGATGATCTCTCAATCAATCTTATGGGATGCTAAGCGGGTGACGTTTTCATCGACGTATATCTCGCTCTGGAGCCAAGTGTCGGCTCTGGACGTGCTCGATGAAATCGACGCCTGTTTCGTAGTTCGATCTGTCCTATGTCCAATTACAACCATGCACTTTAGGAATCATTCGTACATGGAGAACACGTGCTGTACCTACCTACCTCTTATAGCTTTCAGACAGCAGAGTTGCAGTGGGTTTTGGGACTCACTTCCGTGGTGGAGCATCTCTCAGAAGATACCCTTCCAGATGCCTATCCTCTTGGCTATGGTTGTTTATGTGATCGTCGGCTCATGACGCAAGTTGCGATTGAGTAACTTGGTTGCACTCATTCTCGGCAAGTCTTCATTGACTTCAGCTAGTCGGGAATTTTAATACGTCAGTCTACACTTATGCGGTTCGATGACAGTTTTCATGCGTGATGTTGTAAGTCCGTGTGACCACGATTACATTACGTGGATAGATCAACGACGGCAGCAGAAGTGATTTACGCGGACAAATTTCGAGCCGCTCTTGATTAATACCTTCAAGTTAGTCGAGGTGATTTGAATCTTGTGCTGAGTAAGATATCGATATGATACGGCTAGGTCTGTTATGAATTTACGAATGGTTCTCTTTGATGTGTGACCCTGAAAGGTGGAAGTAGAAGTTTTGCAATTTCTTTTAAGTTTGCCGTTTCCATCTGACAACCATTCGATAACTCTCGAGTGAGTCAGCCGATATGGAATTGTGATTCTGGAACGATCGAGCGACTGCAGTGCAGCTGTTCATTTTACAATTCTGCAAATGCTCCTAGTTTTTGCAGCTGTGTGCTGCAGAGACTGTATAGCTTCGTAGAAGCAATTGCTTGTGGTAGTTTATCTTGGGCACACGAGAATCTACAGAAGACAAATATCTGGGAAGCTCTGATAGTACGTACGTTCAGTTTGTACACAAACCCATTGAGTGCGCACGATCGCTCTTACCCACTCCTCGTGATTGCCCAAGAATCATAAGCTGTCGTCAGCAGCAGCAGCTCTGCATTATTATGCAGTCAGTCAACAAAGCTTCCTGTCATCGTTTAGAGCTCAATTGGTTATGCGAAGCGCATTTGGTCAAATCGATTTTAGCGAGAACTCCCTCAGCGACACTTGGGTCAGATCGGATCACCCACACACGTTTTCGTACCTCGGCCATGTGCAGAAGCGTAGGACCAGCTACTACTACACTCTCGGAAGTTAGTTGCTGGGACCGACGCTCTCGATCGATGCTGAGGAAGAAAATAAACGAAACGAATTTAAGGTCGGCCCTCAGCATTGCAGAGTTTGTGTCAACGCAGTCAAAACAAAATGACAGCATGAAAAGCTGCATGTGCTGAGCCCCAGAAGAATGTTCGAGATACACCAGAGTTCCCGGTTCGTACGGCCATGAAAGGTCAAGTAGTAGAGAAACAGGACGTGGTCCGCCCTCGGCATCTCGCAGACGTATATTGCGGACGTACTCGATTCATACAAAAGTTGTGGTACGTGTCCACAAGAGAAGTCTATTGAGGCTCGTGAGTCCTTGCTTGCCAAGATATGTGGACTTTGCTTTATGGCATCTGGATTCATCGTTGGAGTTTCTCGATCGGACACTTGGCTGCTCGAAGGAATCTCTCCCCTGCAGACCGAGGTGAAAAATCCGTAGTATGGTCGACGATCCAAGCTTGAAGTCAAACGTCTTTTCTTGAGTACATTTCTTCAACATTCTTCGAGGCATATAAAGTGGTGACTGGCCATCCATGAATTCTAAATAATACTGATCGAGTAGAAAGTAAAATAACGACAACGATGGTAATAATAGCCCCTATCCTGTCTAAACCAACCCACTGTGAAATATGTTACACTACACATTAAATATATGTTTTAAACTGAAAAAACGTTCCAGAAACGAAGGCTGGATTGAAATAAAGGCTTCGGCAGTTGCAATTTTCACGATTGTATAGAAAGAATCATAGTTCATTTTGCCTTACTAATAGATGATGCCTTTATTCGAAGATTTTTGGGCTCTGTACCCTCCCAAACTATGATTTTTATTACTAGAAATCCAAGTACGCCATCTAGAACAAAGTACGATACGAATTACCAAAACGTAGCATTTTAATTTTTTTCACAATTCTGTAATATGTAACCACAACCACGGTGGCTTCACCGCCCACAGGCTATAGGGGTGTTATGGAGTCACGTAGATTACCTTAGGCAATAGTCCGGCAATCGATAACATAATGAAAAAGTTCTCACTCGTCTTTGAACGATATTGGTCTCCATGCTTTTGCATTCAAAGTTCATTTCTGTGGCCCGATGTAGCACTTCCATTTCTTCCTTTAGTGATGAAGTGAACATCGGCTGCAGTCAAGTGGCATGCCCCGAGCTGTTCACAAGATCAGAGTCGCAACCTTGTTCTGTGATCATAACTCCGAGCCCAATATAGACTTTCCATAAATCAGGGTTGCTAGTACATGGTTGACACGTATCTTCCTCGATAGCTAACGCCAATGTAAGCAGAGAAACCTAAGAACATGACCACGTGTTGTCATACAATTTGGCCAGGGCTGAAGTGAGATCCAGGCCAGGTCTCGCGATGGCTAATCTCCAATGTATAAAGGATGTCATTCCTCTGAGTGTAATCATTGAAAATTCAACCTCTCAAGCACCAACTTCCGCACAATTCTCCACACCAATTGTCACCCAGGAAGTGAGCAGCTTTCCCAGCAACTAAGTACTTCAGTCTTACGACATCACCAGCGAAGTATGGCAGCTTCAGCACGAACAATGTCGCTGTCCAGCACGGCTGCGGTAGCTCCTTCCCGCCTGTCTTCTCTTGCCGCATTCACAAGTCCCGTGGTCAGTGCAGTTCCATTCAATTCTGCTCCATCTCTGAAGAACTCGATCAACATACGGGCCACTTATGAGGTACGTGATCTTTACAGAAGATTATTGAAGATTAGACGGTCAAAATATCAGAAGAATAGAAGCGGTGATCTGCAATGCATCAGATTTCACGTCACAGGATTAGAGCTCTTAGAGCTTCGATTGTCTCTCGTGTCAGTCAGAGCACTCAGATGAATCTTGGCAAGTAGCATGCGCGTCATGTGTACGGACAAGCTTGTCATCCTCCAATCATTCAATTGTTTTCCATTTTCTTGCGTGCTCATTGCCATCCTGAAGCCCACAGCATCTCTCGTCGGTATTTCGAGCACTATGTTAATATGTTGCTCTCTTGAATGTACTGCCATGACCATAAATGACTTCAGGAGCCACGCGCTGCCAGAAGAGAAATGCTGGCTGGTTTGATTGCCACCGGTGCCGCTTTGGCTTCAGCAGGAAGCGCCTTGGCCGCATCGGGTCCAGGAATTCCAGGAGCGAAGCGCACCGCCCAAAAGGCAGACGAACTGCTCAAGGCAGGCGATGACCTCATCAACAACGACTCTCCTCCACGATTCGGTGGCTCTCGCGTCGAGGGCTCTCTCAAGAACTCAGGCAAAATCGCTCAACAGTAAGCATCCATATCCATCAATATAGATTTTTCTGATTCCCTGCACAATGACGAACCTCGATGATGACAAAGGATCCAGTTTATTACCTGCAAGGAGGCAACCATTTAAGAGTCTTATAAAGAAATTAAAGCACCACTTAACATACTGGAAATCACAGGGCTGGATCAGGGGCTGTTGAGGGACTCCAAGACGGTGCCAGCAAGACCATCGAAGGTGCCAAGAAGAATGCAAAGATAGCTCAAGCACGAATCGATGGAATCTTCGGAAAGAAGAACGTAGTGGCCAACAATCCCTTGGAGAAAGCAGCTGGCAGTGTGAAGGGTGGCGTCGACGATCTCCTGAAGAACGGATCAGGCAAGATCAAGGCGGACGTGAGAACCGCCGCAGACAAAGTCAAGAGCGATGTCGCATCTACCCGCGGTCTGGGCAAGAAAGCCAACAGCAAGGCCGGCAACATCGTCGATCAAGCCCGAGACAATGCAAGCAACGCAGTTGAAGAAGGAAAAGGGGTGCTGGGCAATATCAAGAACCAAATCACTGTAAGTAACAATTTCACAAACTTCTGTTTGCGGTTGTGTATCAGTGCTGTCGCTGATTTCTCTTAAAATCTTAAGCTTGTGTGTGGTCCTGCCGAATCAGGAACTGACAGATCGTCTCTGCAATTCTTATATCCTTTTGCAGAACGCTATTCCTCAGTAATCAAATTGATAAGCGGACCATGATCACAAGAGAGTGAAGTTATCAAGTGTAATATAGTGGGCTATGAATGATAGGTTCCTAGGAAGTACAACTTGTACACTTGCCTGTACATTAGACTGCTGGAAGCACGATGTGAGTCCTCGAAAGGGGATTATTGTAACATAACCATTTTTTAGCTCAAGTGCAGTTAAAGCCGGACAAAAGCCCAAATTTTCTCAAAGAGCGAGTGGCTGTTTCTAAAAGTGACATGAAAATTGAGTTGAATTTGAACGTGCAACATACAATTGTTATATTGTGATAATTAAAACAACGAAACTGCCAGTGAATGTTTCCGGTGTTTGTAATCAACTTGATATAACCTTTCATCATGAAACTATGTACAAAACGAAGATGTAGAAAAATGGAGGAGAAATTTGATATAACGAGTATGTTGTACGTGAAGGATACTCCCCTCCGTTTGTAAAAGAAGGGGAAGGAAATAATCTTAAAAAATGTTCTATTTTGTCAGTCTAAAAGTGTCGAAAGCTCAAGCCTTTGTGCTTTAGAAAGCCAGCAAATCACCATCTTGTCTCTTGATAATAACACTATACATGCTCGAGACATTCAATTGGATTCGTACAGGGAGAAACGCGTCTGTTGTTCTCTCTTCGCAGGACATGTCTAGCTCCTATAGGATCATGGTCTCTTGGAAACAATATCATGAGCGATTGCGTATAGCAAGATTTGGGCATATAGAAGGCTCTCATCTTCACAACCATCTCGACGGGAAAGCAATAGCAACCTCATCAGTAGTCATAGCTCTTTCCGGCAGTTCCGTGACTTGTGACCTCTCATCTTCTGCAGGCTTTGCACTTCCCATTCCAGTCCGAAGGGAGTCTATCAGCTTCCGGGCCGCTTTATCTGAGGTGAGAAAATTCCGAAGAAGGTATTCGATCCTGACTCTGGACCAGGACTTAATTATCAGTACAAGAGTTGCTGCGATGATCAGTTGATTGGATGATCGTCATGACATCATGCCTCAACCTGAGCGAAGGATTTAAGTGCTAGCACTTGATTACCTTCTGGCTATATTACTCACGAATTTCGGGCTTTTCCAACTTTCATTCTATGATTCTCTGAAATCTCTTCACAACGGTGCTGGTCCGTGACTGGACAGTCTGCTGAACAAATCTTTGAGTGACTCTTTGCTGAGTTCTGAGGCCTGCACCATCAGCTCACCTCATCTCGAATTGCCGATTATTCCAAAGGCCATGTTGTTACTTGTTACTTAATTGTTACTTGATTGTTACTTGCTTGAGCCTACTTGTTACAATTACTGTATGTAATGGACGTCGTAACTTGCTTTTCCATCAAGAGCCATAAGTTGTTTGAAGTTGCTGGTTTGATGGCCACTTGTGCCGCTTTGGCTTCAGCAGGAAGTGCTCTGGCTACGCTGCATCGGGTCAGGAGTTTTAGCAGCAAAGCAGCAGACGGTACTCAAGGTCGATGAGCAACTGAAAGCAGGCAAGGAATGACTCTCCTCCACGATATGGCAGTTCTGGGTTTGGAGATCTCTGAATTGGTATGGCAGAGTTGCCAATGCTAAACATCATCGTCCAACGACTGAGAATTTTCCACTTCCCCGATCACTGTCAACCGTTTGACGAAGCAACCCATTCTATAACACGTAACAATGACGATGGACTCTGAGACGCGTAGATACTCAACCGGTATGACTTGACGACATTACAGTGACGGATCAGGAGCTTTTCATAGACTTCAAGATGGTTCCAGCAAGACAACCGAAGGTGCGAAGAACAATGCTCAGATGAGACTGGATGGAAATTCCATCCAGTCATCTGCATTCCATCATGGAATCCAGTGGCGAGCAAGCCTGTGGATGAAGCTGCGGGGTTGACGATCTACATAAGCACGAACCAAGTGAGATGAGGTGAGGTGAGATCGGACGTGAGCACAGCAAGTCAACATCGTCAATCAAAACAAAACTTCGCAACGAACTCGAGCCCTTGCGAGGTCATACCACTGATTGAGTGGATTTCTCAGATAGTTCAGTTGTCGGCCCAGCCTTGAGAACGGGTGCAAAGCCTTCTGTCTTCTCACCCAGTGTATTGAGCAAGCCTAATTTCACATCCAATCCTGAAACTTTCTGCAAGTCACAATGACTCATGACTAGTTTGTACAAGAGATTCAGAATTATGTGTCAAATTCGAAGAAAATCGTACATTTCTAATGCATGGAATAGCTTATAATGATGTAATTAGCAACATGGTGTTTGCCAGTGGTGTTTATGTCAATACTAGAGTTAGAAAGAATCTACATTGGTTAGTGAATATCATATTAGTTTATTTTACTGGATATAAGTTTCATCCAAAGAGTGGTACGAAATAACACCTCAGTAATGAGAAATAAAGTTACTGAAGATTGAAAAAACGAAGATTTATAGAAATTATATTATTATTGTGATGAAGATTGAGAGGTGTGGTTATAAAACTTCCAGTTGCAGTAACCCAACATCACCCAGTATAGAGGTTTGTACTATAGCATAACTCAATCTTTGTTATCAGGCACTGGGTTTACATAGAGAGTATGTTAACCCTCCAACATTCATGTACCACGTTAGTTTCAATATCTTCATGTGTGGTTCATTCTGACGTCTATTTTAGTTAAAGCGTTTAAATTACTGAAAAAATTGCACTAGGTTGAGCTTTATATAGTATAAAGCAATTGTTTACCTCTTGGATGAAAGAGTTTAGATTTTCCAGGTCATTGTAAGCTTTAAATCTTATTGACATTAATGCATATAACTCTTAAATTAACTGTTTCATACTCGTAACCTCTGATAAGAATTTGCGAGCATTTCGCTATTTATCTGTTACCTTAACAATCACGAGGATTGATTCTTATAACGAACATAATCTTTGAGATTTAATATACAATTTTGAATTCAAAATGACTTTCCAAGTTACATAGATCCAAGTTATATGTAAGAGAATAATTTCATGGCATATGTGTCTCTCATGTTTATATTTGAGATTACTTTACATTATGTAGTAATTTAGGAAAATTTTGCTACAGTTACTAAACTTGTTTTATGATATAAGAAGTATAATGCCTATAGTTTTAGATGGTAGAATGAAAATATGAATCATCTAAAAAAAGATGTCCATGTCTTATAACTGAAAAAGTTTTAATTGATAGTTATTTGATAATATTTAGAAATTTGGAATTAATAATTTGGAAATTATCCAATTCCAAATTAATAAAATATTTTAATAATTCAATTGATAAAAAAAATTGATGTTATAGAAATTATAGCATAGGCATGATGTAACTTGAAGTAGAACCTCATGACTCAGTCCTGATTTGAAATACAAGATAGATTCTTCTGCGTTAGTAATGGCTTTGAACGTATGTTGTCATGATTGAGAAATATTTTTAAGCATTAGAGCATGCATGATTCCAATTCCAACCAATTAATCACTTGCAAAAAGTTTATTACTAACCCAGCAATATATTAGCAGATTCCGATGAGTTTGCAAACTCTTGAATATATATATGTTTGTATATATTAATGCTCATAGAGAATTGTAAGCTTGAAAACATTTGGGCCTTTCGGTCAGAAAGTTAATACTTGGGAACCATAAAAAGTTCCAAGCCACTTAGACTTTGTTGAGGAAAGCTTTAATTCACAAGTTATTTGACTACAGAAAAGTATTATAATCTATGCTTCGGATATACTTAGTTTAATACATGCATATGATAGATGAGAAAAAATCAAAGCATTTTATAATTCATCTTAAATCTTTTGCTTTTGAAAATTATGTGATATAGAATTTACTGTACAAATTTCCGATATTTACAGAATTTAGAACCAATCACAAGGAGGTTGTATACTTGAAGTAGATTTGTAATTTTTTGACAAAGTCGTCTTTTATATATTGGATAATCACGTAAAATTTTTACACAAGGTCAACTCTCCTGGCAACAGGTTCCTCCCAATCATTGTTGTATTTATCAGCATGGTTTGATGAGGATTTTTTTTAATAGTCACAGCTTGGCACTTTCTGCAATGGAGTTAGAATCAATGATCCACTTGGGTGAATACATCCAAGTGGATCGTTGATTCTCTGAAAAGAATATAAGTGCAAAAGATTTATTTTACTTGAAATTTATTCAAGGCCAAAATAATACACCCACTTCGCCTCGATCGTATTCTATACCCATTTACAAGTCAATTCAAGAAGGTTGAACAAAGCAAATACATATAGGAAACACACTTGTGGTTGGGTTCGGGATGTATCATTGTATGAAGAAAATAAAAGCAATACAAGCAACGATCCACTTGGGTGAGTACACCCATAAGCAAACTAAAAGCTTTTTAAGTTTGCTTCTGACTTTTAGTTTAGACGATCTTGAGAAGGATGCCAAGAGAAGTCATCTGAAGAAGCAGAAAGGGTCTTCAAGTTTGTGACTGAGATTCAAGAATGTCACGAGTTTGATTACAAGGCTCTTTATTCAGCAGTATGATGTTTGAGAGAGATGGTGCATGATCAATGTGGGGAGAAACACAATATTCACTTGAATGCAATCTTTGCAATATTCAGATGAAGTAGTGCAACATTCCAATCGAGCACATTCACATGGTCAACTCCAAAACTTGGACTTTCATTTGAATCATTTCAGTCTATACATTGACGTCAACTTGCCTCACAACAATGCCAGAAGTAGAATACTTTTACTTGTGCTCACTTATAAAAGTAGGAGATCTGCTTGAGACTCTTCGATTACCTCGTTGTCTCCCTCATAAAGGTGTTGGTATTTTGTTGCTGGTAATACATATAATCATTATGTATGGATCACATCATACCACATCGACTAAAATGAGAGACAAAGGAACAATGTTTTTACTATAAAATTTTTTGGGGGTTGGGTCAACGTACCTTTAATGAACTTGAAGACGACCTCTAATGAAATCATTCCTCCATTCCACTACATATTCGAGGAGTCGTATCTAGTCATAGCTCTTGAAGGCAAAATCTATGTACTCTGCCATTGTACAATTCATTCTCGAAGCAGGGAAGTTCGTCTCACAAGGACGAGGACAGGAACGAGCAGCGCCAGGTTCTTCATCAGGGTTGCTAAAACCGCCAATCGAGAGATTTATAATCAAATCCACTTGGAGCAAAGAACTTCGCTCGATGATAATTTGAATGTCACAATATTTGCAAGCTTTGATTCACGAAAACAGCAGCATCCAGAGCTGGATGAGTGATGGTGATGGGCAAGCACCCCTTGTCGGATCGACAAACCAAAGAGAGAGATGCATTTATTGCAGTGCGATTTGCAATATGACCTAAGACTTCTTTCAAGGGGCAGTGCTCGTGACTGTCAGTCAGATCGAGCTGCGGATATGGATGGCAGAGGAAGTAATGCAAGGATAAGTGTAACCCCTCGACGGTCGTTCTAGTTGTCTTATCGTGTGTGGGACTAGACTAGACTCGCAAGCGCAGAATGATACCAACAAGTATATAAAAAGCCTTCGGTGCAGGAAGCTAGGACTGCGGCTTTGGGAGGGTTCTCACACGGATCCCAGATTCACTTCCGTCTGGAGAATCACAAAACAGCTTCGTTTCGACGCCAAGGCTCGTGAACATATGCACAATGCACAACCCTGTGTTGTGAGACCTCGTGCCCACTCGCCGCCGCCAGGGGAAACTTAGCTCGATTCACAGTTGCTCACTGATTTGATCGGTGTACTTGCTAGTGTAGCACACATCACGCCCTCGAAGGTAGCGGTGCAATATTTTCTGCTGTGCTGCAGCCGCCAGCAGTGCTTTTGACAGTCTCACGGCCACAGTGGGAAAAAGAAAGCTTGGACCTACTGTATTCTATCTCTCTTGTGGTGATGTGATGTAAAATGGCCAGTGGTCGCCACTCCCGTCCCTTGCACCTGGCGGACAGAATTGGGCAGTGAATTTGGTCATCTGTCGATCGACATGGTGTCCCGTGCAACTCCCGTACATCGAGCGTGTATTCCTGTTGAGACCTTGCCGGTTCATGGAAAGCTATACTCGGCAGGCTGGTTAGCTTTAGATTAGTGAAAGCCAAATTCTGTATACTCAGTGTTATATGATGGATCCGTGCTCGGATCGATAGGTCGGTCGACTAATCGACGACCTCGTGAGCCCTCGAAGGTCTCGTCATCAGGGTCCATGACGATTCGGAGTAGACCCGCATGGTCGGCACAGTTGAGAGAATCCCTGTCAAAATTGTAAGCTTCGCATTGGTGAGCTGAAACCCGGGTCTCTGGCCTCAGTCCACTGCAGACTGCTGTGCTGGATCCTATACTATCCTCGTTGCTCATGATCCCAGTATGAGTCGAAAGGAAAATGCGGTGTAGCAGCGCCGTGGAATTCACTTTCGAGTACTCTTGGCCACCGAAAGGCCATATCTATGCATCGAGGAACGCCCGAACACTGCAGACATTTTTATCGCAAATCTGAGGACAGGCGAGGACGCAGGAGCTATGGACGGAATGTCAGAGTCTCTTCCATGGAGAGAAGTATTCTGAGGATCGGAATGACTTGCGGCAGCTTGGTGGGCACCGTGGCGATGTCTTCGTCTTGGTAGAGGTTCACGAGCGCCCAGGCTGCCTTCTCCTGCACGCTGGGATACTCGAACCTCAGCAGCAGGCCCAGCAGAGCTGCCACAGCATCCTCGTTCGCACCGACCTTCCACTTGTTGCTTTTGTCTAGGGTTAGATTGCCCAGGGCCAGCGCCGTCTGCTCCAAAATCACGCTCTCCATGCCGCTGCATCTGTACCCGGGGCTGCTGTACTCGAGGATCACGTTGGCGAGGCTCGAGACGCACTTGGACGTGACATTCAGCTGCGACAATCCGTCGATGCTCGTGAGATTCGACAGCGCCCTCGTCACCTCCTTGAGCATGCAGGTGTTCTCGGTTTTGGACAGCAATGGAACGAGGCAGGTCCACGCATCGGGAAATCTCGCTATAATGGCGTCGTTCTCGGGCGCGTAGGAGAGATTGGCCAGCACCCTCGAAACCTGTTCCTGCGCACCGGGGCTCTCGTCCCTCGTCAGGACGTGAATCAGACCTCCCACGATGCCAGGCCAATCTGCAATATTCATGATCACTGGCAGATTCTCCGGCTGCGCCCGCGACAGGTTGCTCAGCGTCCACGCAGCCTGCTCCTGCCCATCGGGATCCGAATCGTTGAAGAGCATGTCGACCATGGCCGGCAGAAATCCGGGGCACTCGACGAGCTTCGACCTGTTGGCCTTGGCCAGCGACAGATTGCCCAGGAACATGGCGACATTGTCCGTCCGATTGAACCGGAACGTCAGAGCTGCTTCGAGCACATTGGGATGGTGGGCGATGGACGCTTGGATCTCCTCGTTGATTGCGAGATTCGACAGCGGCAAAATTGCCGATGCATTGAATTGCACCAGCAGGCGGATTAGGCGCTCTAAGGTCCGAGGAAAGTGCACGCAGCGCACAACCATCTGCCCGTGCTCTGGAGTGGACGAGAGGCACGAGAGCGCCTTGCAGACATTGTCCTGTAAAGCAGGCCTGCTGTGGTCGAGGAGGAGCCCCGAGAGAGCGCCCACGATGCTGATGGGAAACTCCAGAAGCCTTTGCACATTGTCCTCGACCATGGCGAGGTGGACGAGCACTCTCGTGGCGGCCTCTTGGGATCCCCTCCTCTGGTGCATGAACAGCAGTCTGATCAGCCCTTCGAGGGCGTACGCGTTCGCCATGATCATCGCCCCGCCTTCGGTCGTGGACGCGATGTTGCCCAATGCCATCGCTGCCTCTTGGTGGACCTGCACTGTGATCTCGCGCGATCTTTCATGGGCACCGGCCCGTCCATCTTCGAACAGCAGGTTCACCAATCCCGCCAAGGCTTGTGGGTAGCGCAGAAACCATAGCTGCTGTTCCTCGTCGTCTTGGGCGAGGGCCAAGTTGCCCAGCGAGAGCGCTGCGTGAATTTGCAGGTTGGGGCTGTCGCTTTTGAATAAGAGCTTGACGAGGCCCTCGAGCGCTCGATTGTGTTCCAACACTTTACACTGCTGCTCCTCCTCGCTCGAGAGCTGCACCAGAGCCCTCGCCGCCTGCTCTTGCAGCACGGGGCTGTCGTCCAGGAAGAGCAGAGGCACAATGTCCTTCAACTGCAAACTCCCGCTCGCTCGTCGGCGGAATCTCAAGCACCGCCTGACTGCGGCTTTCAGCTTGCTGGGAGAATTTCCGATTCGGAAGCCCAGCAAGCCATCCTCGTGATCGGACCTTGGCCTGAAACTCTCCTCGACTCTGAACCAACCCGGGGTCGTCGTCGTCGTCGTCGTCGAGGTCTCTGCGGTTGCTCCTCCATCTCGAGATCTGTCCACCGGTGGTGGCGAGGACGCTCGAGTCACGAAAGCCAAACCCAGCACCTCGCCCGATTCCCCATCGCCTCCATCTAAAACAACTACGCACGGGACACGATTATCGCCCATCCGACCTTCCGGACCCGCAAATTGTCTGCACCCCTCGAGCACACCCACAAGCTCGTCTCGTCTCGTCTCGTCTCTGCCGATCACAGCAGCTCAAGGATTTGGGTACTGTTTTTGAATGTCCCAAGATTGGAATAGACGGGGGTCATCATTGCACCGCCCTGGTGCAGCTTTGCATCTTCGAGATTATCTATCTGTAGTGAGTGAGTGAGTACTGTGAGCTCGTCGGGAGCACACTCCGAGTCCGGAGGACTGGCTGCAGATGGGGTGGGAGAGGGAGTGGGCGCGAGAGGGCTTGTGTACTGGGGCAGAGCCGGATCCACGCACTGCATGCAATTAAATTAGCAATCGGGCAGTCAGTCAGTCCAGTCCAGGTTCCTTTGGAGATGTCGATAAGATTCAACGGAAGTCGCCTCGTTCAAAGTCCAAACGGAGGAGCTTGTCGTACATGGATTTCTGATCGCTGTTGGGGTTAACGTGGCGCTGAAGACAGAAAGTCAATGGGTTTGTGATGCGGTCAAGATTGGAATATGTTGAATGCCATTTGGGTGGCCCTACGACCAAGCTCTCTGGCCGCTTCTGTAGGCCTTGCCTTGGCGTATTTGGACGAGTGGGCTCTCTATAATTACTCCTCTCATCAACATCAACCGGTTGCCTGATTCTCCGATTCGCCACAGAAGCATATTATCTCACAAATATGTTGCGCTTCCGAGCCCCCAAAGGAGATTGAGCCACAGATTGGTTCTCCTCCTCTCTCTCTCTCTCTCTCTCTCTCTCTGACGTTGGAAGGAAGCTGCGAGTGAGAGAGTGCACTTCACGCCACAGCGTCGAAAACAATTCTCGTTCGATCGTGCAACGCGGTTATTTGGGAAGAAGTGCGCATTGCTAACTCCTCTTAATATGTTTAAAGCAATTTATTATTCTGCTAACGATGTTCCTCTGTACATGGTTCACTCTATGTTTAATCGAACTCGGAGATTGTCCGCAAGGGAACAACTCGGAGAGGAGGAAGCAAGCGAGTTATGTTTCCAAAAACTCACGTTAGAATTAATTCAGAAACTCCATGGCGCTTGGTCTCTCCCAAACTTGTGGTTCGAGCCTCATTCAGTTGGAAGTGATGGAAGATTCTGGCGTGGGAGTCAGCTTGCATGATTATTATAGATTAGAACTTTAAATAATGAAGGATGAAGCTTTCACATAATGAATGAAATGAAACATAAGACTTGGTTCTGGGCTGCATTGTCCTAGATGCACTCCAGTGAACTCCAATAGACCTACAATGGTCATGATTGTAATTATAATTGGCTAAGGTCTACAAAACTCGTGAAAGAAGTTTCGGCCGCGAGGGGAGCATAACGAAACTCTGACATCGAAGACTTGCCCTGCTTCTAGATTCGAGTTCTTTAAGGGAACATGTGACAATCGTCCACATTCCGCAAGAAAGGATTGAGGAGGCAACGACTTGGATTCAGATCGCGTACTTTAGTGGAAGTACAGATGTTGAATAGGATTCCAAGTTTTAAATTTCGTTTGAAAAAGATCCAACCCATCACAATCGAATAAGAACATGTCAAGACCTAAACAGATCATGAGTTTCGAGCATATTCTCCATGTTCGACGTAAGATGTACAGCCTGCAAAGCTGAGTAAGATCTAAGAATCAAAGTACTAATACCGCCCTTGACCGACCAAATGGAGGCATAATGTATAATCTATAACGAACGGGTGGAAGTTTATACTCTTTAAGGTTACGAAGCTGGATTTCGATAGCAACTCTTTCGAGATTTTCTGCTTATCATTATGATCGTGATGAAAAGAACGACTTGACAGGGACGAGGGATTGACGTACATTCTATTTAGTGCTTCTGAAAAGGAAGGATTGTTCACGACAATCAGAGTTCCAATGCTCGGGTCCGTGAATCTGCTCATCGCGAAAGGGGCTGCCTGCCGGATGCTGATCCGGCGCGCGCACGACCAGCTCCAGATTCAACACGACCGAGTCGTCTTCGTCGTTTCTGTCAAATGGAGAGATCGAGATGTGCGGGTGCATGTTGACTAGATCCGCCGGACAGACCTGCGGTTGGGTTCCACCGCAGATGACCGTCCGATCCTGGCTGCTTCCGGTCACCCATGTCAGGAGGAGCAGAATCAAAGACGGCTCTTGGACAGCATTGACCACCGCTTTCCTTCCTTCCTTCCTTCCTTCCTGCGGCTGCGCCATTTCCGCTGCCGCAAACATAAACCCTCCACGACATGCGGATGCGGATGCGGATGCGACAGAGGAGTCAATGCCCGAACGCTGCGACGGATGTTTGTTGGATGATCCTTGTGATTCATCTTCTGACCTCTAGTCCCCCTCCCCCTCCTCCTTCCTCTCCCTCCCTCCCTCCCTCATCGCCGGTCAAGGCCCGAATGTTGACCCCCAAAAGTTGACACTCAACACGCAAGTGTTCTAAACGCCTGTGCTCGACGCACGTCGCAATTCAGGCTTCCAGTAGATTTCCAGTTCTCGTTCAACATTTCGGTTCCTTCGCTGATTGATACACTACTACTGATCCTTCTGAAGCTGGAGGTCATGGCTGCGAGGCGAGAGAAGGAGCGGAGTTGGAGGCCACGATGGGGCGGGGTGAGTTTGGAAGCTTTTAAGCTCGGTCAAAAATGTCCTTCCTCCACCGAAGAAAGTCGTCGGGTCGGTCGCCAAAGCGCCTCGAGAGCCTACTAAAGACGTCCGGCATGCAAATAATGGATTTTTCGTGTCGGCTGTTCACTGTGGTTCCGCTGGTCCGTTGATGGATGATGTCCCTCGGCCGGGTGCGAGATATGGTGATCACCTTTCTACGTTCGTCATCCACAGTCCAAGTGCAGGGTTCATTTTATTGAATCTGATCTGAAATTTCCGTTCTTCGTCATCTTCTTCTTCTTCTTCTTCTTCTTCTGCAGTAGCTTTCTCAGTTTTCAACCCTCAATTGTTTGGGACGGGCTCCGATCGTCAAGCTCAGTGCCGCGCAGTCGGTCGGTCAGTCAAAGAAAGGAGCTCTCGTCGTCCTCCTCCTCCTCCTCCTCGTCGACCTCGACCTGTCTGACGACCAGCCTGCATAATTTGGACGTACGATACTATCACTCCCAGTCATTCCTCAGGCCGGCCTGCATTATCCGAGGTCTTCGGGCAGACTTCAACCCAAGCTCCATCGCTCTGTCAAATACCTCCAAAACACGCCGGATTTCTACGGCACTTCCTGCGGTCTTCGCCTTGAGTGCATGTAGCTGGAATGCTTGAATGGAGAATGATTGTTCGGCACATTCCTTCCGTCGTCTTCCACGAAAGCGTGGTTCCTGGCGTCGGAAGCTGTCCGGGCTGGCCTCCGTCGAGTCGGTTCACTGCCGATCGATCGATCGATCATCGCTTTGCCGATTTAAGAACCGGAGTCAAGGGAGTAGGCGGAAATCTTCGAGAGATCCGACTGTAGACTGGAGTGTGTAACGGACTGGAGTGGAGTGGATGTCGCAGTCGCGTGCTTCCATAGCCGGGAGACATTCGGCTGACTGACTTACAGTTAACAGAAAGTGAAATTGCGCATGACCGGGACGACTTGCACTGCATTTAGTTCGGTGAATTCTCAACAGAGTTCTTCTCTATTCATGTTCAAAGCTTCAAAAACCGGAGTTGGGGGCAATCAATGCCATGACGAAAAGAAGTGAAGAAAAGCTTGCGATCCAATCACGACCGCAGCAGGACCACTCTCGCGTCCCCCGGGGTCCCACACCACGAAAGCGGACTAAACAATCACCAGAATGATCATACCCAATCATACATTCCCCATCATTCGACAACCTGCGCAGCTCGATCGATCGCTGGCCTACCGAGCGATCAAGCTAGCGGGACCCTCCCCTCCCCTCCCTTCTCTCCTCTTCCATTCCCGTCACCACATCACATCGAGCATCTCGCCATGCACCATCGATCAGAGTTGAACGAGCAAGGGTCAATTTCATCAAAGGGGACCGATGCATGCATCGGTCGCACGTCAAGCCCTGGCCCCCAAAGCGTAACCCGACTCACCCTCCCACCTGTACGTTACGTCCAAAGAGCAAAGCGCCAAACTCGTTTTGCCCATACATTCGTATGTACGGTTGTGTATAGACATACGTATGATACTGCACCCCTGTCTTATTGTGGTACAGTACTGTATCCGATTAATATGGCTATGTACGCGTCCAGTTTGTCCATCTTGAAGTTTGAGGGAACCGAGTAAAACAGCCAAAAGGTATAGAAAAACCCCATCAAGTCGCACATGGAGGAAGATGGGCTAGTTATCAATAGCATCTCAGGGAGGGTGTACATGTTATATCACTAAACCAAGAAAAATTTACTATCTAATAAGATTATTCTCCTATACATTGGAACATCTCATGCTCTCTAAATACCAAAGGTATGTATAATACTAAAAATGGTAACTCTTTTTGTCTCTTGTAGTGAACTCTTGCAAACAGTCTCACGAATTTGTAATGTGAGTGTAACTAAAGCTAGAGCAGTAAAGAACTCAGCTGTATGCATACCACTACAATTGAAAACGTTAGATGATGAAATTCTATCTGACGTTCATTTAAGAGTATCAGATCTCAAGCTTTTATTTTGCTTTCATGTGTAACATTTGTAACAACACTTTGTGTAACACTAGCATGGTTATCTCAAACCACATAAAGCTCTGTCGTAACAAACCAATTGCAAGGCGTACATATGCTTACTTTATGTAATATATACATGCTCTCAAGATATAACAAAAACTACCTCCATAATTTCATCACCGGTAATCTATCATTTACTCTAAATGAACAATAAGTTTTATTGATCTTTTGTGCATCTAAGATTATCATTTTTATTTTCGACTACTGAAATTGCATGTGTGAATAAAGCTAAGACATGAATTCAAAAGTTCAATATTCTCATTCTTAGTACTCACATACATTTCATTTCAAGGATGGTTCGCTTTGAAATAACAATTTGGA